GTACTGCTCTCGAGCCAGGCATTGTCCCCCATTTTGTATCTTTGCATTTCGTTTTTCCTGCCAAAGTGGAGTATCTTGCATTTGTCACTGTTGAACTTCATTTTGTTAGTTTTGGCCCATCTCTCTAATCTGTCAAGATCGTTTTGAATTCTGCTCCTGTCCTCTGGAGTATTGGCTATCCCTCTCAATTTGGTGTCATCTGCAAACTTGATGATCCTGCCTTCTAGCCCTTCATCTAAGTCATTAATAAAGATGTTGAACAGGACCGGGCCCAGGACGGAACCCTGAGGCACTCCACTTGTCACTTCTTTCCAAGATGAAGAGGAAGCATTAGTGAGCACTCTCTGTGTTCGTCCACTTAACCAATTACATCATCCTCAGTCTATGTGGGATCGCCTAAGTAAGTAAGTAAACCTGAAGGATTTTGCAGCCTTTTGGACCAGGGCTTGTCTTTTGCTGCAAAGGCCTTTTCCCGCTCCTTGTCCTGCCTGGAGTGGCTTCTCACAGCGCCATCCTTCCCTTCGTCAATCAGCACAAACAAGGTATTAATGACGAGGCGAAAGATTGCCTTGCTGGCACCCCCTCAAAGGCGCTCATTATATCATCCCTCCCTGATCAATAAGTACTCCTTCGGCTGTTGATAAATGTCCGATGTGCCGCCCAAATGAGTCCCGCTGCCGTCATCCGGCCTGGCCTCCTGCCGCCATTTGTTTAATTAGATACGTTTTCTGGGTCTGTTCTGCAAATGCTTTGCAAGGCAAGGCAAACCATGCCTCTCTGTTGCTGTTGCTGCAGTTGTTGTTGTGTGCCATCAAGTCATGCGCAACCCTAAGGCGACTCAAGCATATGTGTTAAAGGCACCAAAACATGACATGAGTGGTGCTCCTTCCACACTCCCTTGACGTTTCCTCACCTTTGTGTGATGAGGATAGAGTAACGATACCGGCAAGATCCTGGAAAAGATTGTGAAGGAAGTGGTCTGCAAACACTTAGAAACAAATGCGGTCATCGCTAAGAGTCAACATGGATTTATCAAAAACAAGTCATGCCAGACTAATCTGATCTCTTTCTTCAATAGAGCTACAAGCTGGGTAGATGCGGGGAATGCCGTGGATGGAGCGTACCTGGATTTCAGGAAGGCCTTCGACAAGCTCCCCCATGACCTTCTGGCAAGGAAACTAGTCCAATGTGGGCGAGGCAAAACTACGGTGAGGTGGATCTGTAATTGGTTAAATGGACGAACCCAGAGGGTGATTCTCCCCAAGGCTTCCTCTTCATCCTGAAAAGAAGCGACAAGTGGAGTGCCATCTGCAGGATTCCATCCAGGCCCGGTCCTGCTCAGGATCTTCATTCATGACTTAGAGGAAGGGTTCGAAGGCAGGATCACCAAGTTTGCAGACGGGACCAAATTGGGAGGGAGAGCCAATACTCCAGAAGACAGGAACAGAATTCAAAACAATCTTGACAGATGAGAGAAATGATGTGCTAAAACTAACAAAATGAAGTTCAACGGGGGCAAATGCAGGAGACTCCACTTAGGCAGAAAAAACGAAATGCAAAGAGACAGAATGGGGGAAGATGATGCCTGGCTTGAGAGCAGGACGTGTGAAAAAGATCTTGGGGTCCTCATGGCGAGTCCTTCCTTGTGTTCAGGGGAATCTCCTCTCTTCTTCCTGTCATTGGAACCCATGGCCCCCTTGAGTCCTGGTCTCCAGGGCAGCAGAAAGGAAGCCCCCCCCCCCTTCCTTAGGGCACCCTTTCAGATAGGAAGAAGGAATCTTAGAATCCTAGATTCCTAGAGTTGGAAGAGACCTCCTGGGCCATCATCCAGTCCAACCCCATTCTGCCAAGAAGCAGGAATATTGCATTCAAAGCACCCCTGACAGATGGCCATCCAGCCTCTGTTTCAAAGCTTCCAAAGAAGGAGCCTCCACCACACTCCGGGGCAGAGAGTTCCACTGCTGAACGGCTCTCTCTCACAGTCAGGAAGTTCTTCCTCATGTTCAGGTGGAATCTCCTCTCTTGTAGTTTGAAGCCATGGTTCCATTGCGTCCTAGTCTCCAGGGAAGCAGAAAGGAAGCCTGCTCCCTCATTACTCACATTTGGACCACCTGAATTGCAACATTTCTCCTGTCTTGAGAAGTGTAGTCTATGTGACTTGTTGTTGTTGTTGTTGTTGTTACAGTAAGTTGTAGCAGGATCAAGTGTGTGTGTTAAAGAAAAACCTGATGATGTTAATTATTATGTGCAGCTGGTAATGTAGGTCAGCCAGCATGCTTGGGCCACATCCGGTGGGGTGTAACTGTATGGATTTTAGAATACAGTTTGGAGAAGCAATACGCTACTCTGAGGAGGAGGAGAAATAGGCTATAAGGCTGCTATGCTCTAACAGTGATGCTCTTTGCTATGGTGGAATAGCCATTTACTCAAGGTTTATGTTTTGCTTACAAGGACGATGTACATTTGTTGTCCTGTTTGAGTTTGTATGCAACACTGCAAGTTTATGCCTCTGCTAATAAGAGTAGAGTTTTTCTGTTCCTTTTTCCTCTTACCTGTGTGTCTATTGCATGGGACCTGGCTAAAATCTGCTTCTGCACAACAGTTGTTATGTTTATTGATCCCCGGGTTCCCTCGCCAGGAAGGAGGCCCCAAGCCCCTCCCCAGAGGAGGCACAGTTGCTTCATGGTGGGTACACAGTGGCACTGGTTGTGACTACGTTGTGACTGCGGATTGCCTTCAGTGACACCTGTGGTGGCTACCTGTCGTGGGTGCTTGGAAGGCGATTGTCCTGCTTCTGGGGCAGAATGGGGGTGGACTGGATGATGGCCCACCAGGGGGTCTCTTCCAACTCTTTGATTCTAGGATTCTATGTGTTGGACTTCAACTCCCAGCATTCCTCACAGCCTCAGGCCATTTCCCTTTCTGCTTAAGCAGCTGAGAGGAAAAAGGAAGGGGCCTGAGGTTGTCAGGAATGCTGGGAGTTGGGTGATAGTATGATAGCTGGGTCTGGAAGCTCCGAGCATTATGGAGATGGTGCAAAGGCAGCTGTGACTAAGGGAAGAGGGGGCGGAGTGAGAGCGAAGGAAGGATAGAAAGGAGGGGATCCTTACAGTCAGGGTTCGGGCAAGGGTTAGGGTTACAGTTAGGGTATGGTTAGGGTTAGTGTAAGGATTAGGGTTAGGGGTTAGGCTTATGGTATGGTCCAGGGTTAGGGTTAGGGTTAGGGTTAGGTTAAGAGTTAGGGTACGGTTTAGACCAGCTTAAGGTTTGGGTTAGGGTTAGAGTTAGATTTAGGGTTATGGTTAGGATAAGCGTTAGGCTTACAGTAAGGGTTTGGCTTAGCCTTTGGGTTAGGGTTAGGGTTACTGTACGGTTCAGGGTTAGGGTTAGGGTTAGGTTAAGAGTTAGGGTATGGTTTAGGTCAGCATAAGGGTTAGGGTTAGGGTTAGGGTTAGGTTAAGAGTTAGGTTACAGTTTAGGGTTTGGCTTAGCCTTTGGGTTAGGGTTACTGTACGGTTCAGGGTTAGGGTTAGGGTTAGGTTAAGAGTTAGGGTATGGTTTAGGTCAGCATAAGGGTTAGGGTAAGGGTTAGGGTTACGGTAAGGTTCAGGGTTAGGGTTAGGTTAAGAGTTAGGGTACGGTTTAGGGTTTGGGTTAGCGTAAGGGTTAGGGTTTGGGTTTGGGTTATTGTACGGTTCAGATTTAGGGTTAGGGTTAGGTTAAGAGTTAGGGTACGGTTTAGGTCAGCGTAAGGGTTAGGGTTAGGGTAAGGGTTAGGCTTACGGTAAGGTTCAGGGTTAGGGTTAGGGTTAGGTTAAAAGTTAGGGTACAGTTTAGGGTTTGGGTTAGCGTAAGGGTTAGGGTTAGGGTTTGCGTTAGGGTTACTGTACGGTTCAGGGTTAGGATTAGGGTTAGGGCAGGGGTCCTCAAACTAAGGTCCAGATGCGGCCCTCCAAGGTCATTTACCCGGCCCTTGCTCTGGGTCAAGCCTAAGTATGAAACCACTTGATAGAAGACAACAACAACAACCATCCTATCTCATCAGCCAAAAGCAGGCCCACGCTTCCCATTGAAATACTAATCCATCTATTTAAGTATAGATAAAAATGTTCTGTGCGTCATGAGTACCTTAAAAACAAAAGAACCAATGAACGAAATCACACCAAATTTGGCGACAAAAGTCTCACAACACAAGGAGTGACCATCACTCAAAAAATTCTGATTCTGTCCTTTGGGAGTTGTAGTTGTTGGGATTTATAGGTGAACTTACCTATAACCAAAGAGCATTCTGAACCTCACCAGATGGAATTGAACCAAACATGGCATACAGGACTCCCATGACCATCAGAAAACACTGGAAGGGTTTGGTGGGCATTGACCTTGAGTTTGGGAGTTTTAGTTCACCTACATCCAGAGAGCACTGTGGACTCAAACAATGATGGATCTGGACCAAACTTGGCACAAGCACTCAATGGGGCCAAATATGAACACTGGTGGAGTCCTGCAGGGAGGGAGGGAGGGAGGGAGGGGGGGAGGGAGGGAGGGGGGGGTGGGCGGGAGTATGGGGCGAGGGGCGGGGCTGAGCGATGCCCGGGCCGCCAATCAGCGGGTAGAGGCGGGGTGTGGGGGTGGCGCTGTGGGCGCTGCTCCTGTTGCTTCTGCTGTTGCGCCTGGAAGGGGGGGGGGTAGTGAGGAGGAGGAGGGGGGGCTGCGGAGGAGGTCCAGCCCTGCTGCGCCTCTCTCTCTCTCTCTCTCTCGGGGGGACGGGGCTCCTCCCGCCTGGATGGAGCTGTGGGGCGGCGGGGGCGGCGGGAGAGGAAGCTCCGGTTCCCCAGGACCAGGAGGAGGGGGAGCAGGGGGAGGAGGGGGCCCCCGGAGGAGGCGGCGGAGGCGGAGGCGGAGAGACAGCGCCGGGGGGACAGCCCAGCTCCCCGTCCCGGGGCGCCCCCCTCCATGAGGAGCCCTCCCCTCCTCCTCTTCCTCCTCCGCGGAGCAACGCCATGGCCCCGCCGGGCCCCCCTCGCCTCAGCCACGGGCCCCCCCTCGGGTTGCTGCTCCTGCTGTTCCTGAAGCTCCTCTTGGGCCTGGCCCACGCAAGTAAGTCGGGGAGGGCCGGGAGGAGGCGGACCCGCGCGGCGCTGAGAGCACGGATCCCGGCACGGCTGGAACTGGCCTCCCTTCGCCGCCGCCGCCGCCGCCGCTGTCCAGGGTGCTGAAGGGGCGCCTCACTCGGGAGGGAGGGAGGGAGGGCTCTTGGGGAAGAGGAGAGGAAAGAAGCGAGAGAGAGAGAGAGAGAGAGAGAGAGAGAGAGAAAGCGAGAAGGAAGAAGGAAGGAAGGAAGGAAGGAAGGAAGGAAGGAAGGAAGGAAGGAAGGAAGGAAAGAAGAAAGAAAGAAGGAAAGAAGGAAGGAAGGAAGGAAGGAAGGAAGGAAGGAAGGAAGGAAGGAAGGAAAGAAGGAAGGAAGGAAAGAAAGAAGGAAGGAAGGACAAAAAGGTAGAAGGGAAGGAAGGCAGGAAGAGGAGGGAAAGGAAGGAAGGAAGGAAGGAAGGAAAGAAGGAAGGAAGGAAGGAAGGAAGGAAGGAAAGAAGGAAGGAAGGAAGGAAGGAAGGAAAGAAGGAAGGAAAGAAAAGGAAGGAAAGAAGGAAGGAAGGAAGGAAGGAAAGAAGGAAGGAAGGAAGGAAGGAAAGAAGGAAGTGAAGGAAGGAAAGGAAGGAAGGAAGGAAGGAAGGAAAAGGAAAAGAAGGGAAAGGGAGGGAGAGGTATAAAGAAAAAGGAAGGAGGGAAGGAAGGAAAAGTAAAAGAAGGGCTCCTGGCTTCCTTCCTTCCTGGCTGGATGGCCCTCTGTCAGGGGTGCTTTGAATGCAATACTCCTGCTTCTTGGCAGAAGGGGGTTGGACTGGAGGATGGCCCAGGAGGTCTCTTCCAACTCTAGGATTCTATTGTTATTGTATTGTGATTGTGATTGTTATTGTTATTGTTATTGCGTGTTTTTGCTTATGGGCGGGGTGTGTGTCCGGTGTGGGGTTTTTTTCCTGTTTCATTTTGGCAGTTTGTCGTCGGTGGTGTTGGCGCGCGATGCGTGGTTGAGGGAAGGAAGGAAAAGTAAAAGAAGGGCTCCTGGCTTCCTTCCTTCCTGGCTGGATGGCCCTCTGTCAGGGGTGCTTTGAATGCAATACTCCTGCTTCTTGGCAGAATGGGATTGGACTGGATGAGGGCCCAGGAGGTCTCTTCCAAGTCTAGGATTCTAGGATTCCTTGCTTCCTTTTATCCTTCCTTGTGGGTCTGCCAGGACCCCTTCCCTCGTGTGCGCCCCCTTCTTCCTTCCTTCCTTCCTTCCTTCCTTCCTTCCTTCCTTCCTTCCTTCCTTCCTTCCTTCTTCCTTCCCCTCCTTCCCTCTTCCCCAAGAGCCCTCCCTCCCTCCCGAGTGAGGCGCCACTTCAGCACCCTGGACAGCGGCGGCGCCTTCCACACATGCTTGGCTTCTCTCCAACCCCATTCTGCCAAGAAGCAGGAGTATTGCATTCAAAGCACCCTTGACAGATGGCCATCCAGCCAGGAAGGAAGGAAGCAAGGAGGCAAGGAAGGGAGGGAACCGCCCTGAGTCCCTCCTGCTGCCTTCTTCCTTCGCCTTCCACACATGCTTGGCTTCTCTCCAACCCCATTCTGGCCAGAAGCAGGGAAGCTGCATTCAAAGCACCCCCGACCACGCAGCCTCTGCTTCAAAGCCCCCAAAGGAGCCTCCGCCACACTCCAAGGCAGACAGTTCCACTGCTGAACAGCTCTCATAGTCAGGAAGTTCTTCCTCATCTCCAGTTGGAATCTCCTTCCTTTCTTGTACTGTAGTTTGAAGCCATGGTTTCATTGCGTCCTAGTCTCCAGGGCAGCAGAAAGGAAGCTTGCTCCCTCCTCCCTCCTCCCTCCTCCAGCTGGCTTCTCCCAGCCTGCCTGCCTTCTTTCCTTCCTTCCTTCCTCCTTCTTTCCTTCATTCCTTCCTCCCGTCCTTCTTTCCTTCCTTCCTTCTTTCCTTCCTTCCTTCCTTCTTTCCTTCATTCCTTCCTTTTTTCCTTCCTTCCTTCCTTCTTTCCTTCCCTCATTCCTTCCTTCCTTCTTTCCTTCCTTCTTTCCTTCCTTCCTTCTTTCCTTCCTTCATTCCTTCCTTCTTTCATCCCTTCCTTCTTTCCTTCCTTCCTTTTTTCCTTCCTTTTTCCTTCCTTCTTTCCTTCCCTCATTCCTTCCTTCTTTCCTTCCCTCATTCCTTCCTTCCTTCTTTCTTTCCTTCCTTCTTTCCTTCCTTCCTTCCTTCTTTCCTTCCTTCCTCCCTTCTTTCCTTCCTTCTTTCTTTCCTTCCTTCCTTCTTTCCTTCATTCCTTCCTTTTTTCCTTCCTTCTTTCCTTCCCTCATTCCTTCCTTCCTTTCCTCCCTTCTTTCCTTCTTTCTTTCCTTCCTTCCTTCTTTCCTTCATTCCTTCCTTTTTTCCTTCCTTCTTTCCTTCCCTCATTCCTTCCTTCCTTTCCTTCCTTCCTTCCTCCCTTCTTTCCTTCCTTCTTTCTTTCCTTCCTTCCTTCTTTCCTTCCTTTTTTCTTCCTTCCTTCCTTCCTTCTTTCCTTCCTTCCTCCCTTCTTTCCTTCCTTCTTTCTTTCCTTCCTTCCTTCTTTCCTTCATTCCTTCCTTTTTTCCTTCCTTCTTTCCTTCCCTCATTCCTTCCTTCCTTTCCTCCCTTCTTTCCTTCTTTCTTTCCTTCCTTCCTTCTTTCCTTCATTCCTTCCTTTTTTCCTTCCTTCTTTCCTTCCCTCATTCCTTCCTTCCTTTCCTTCCTTCCTTCCTCCCTTCTTTCCTTCCTTCTTTCTTTCCTTCCTTCCTTCTTTCCTTCATTCCTTCCTTTTTTCCTTCCTTCTTTCCTTCCCTCATTCCTTCCTTCCTTCTTTCTTTCCTTCCCTCCTCCCTCCCTTCTTTCCTTCCTTCTTTCTTTCCTTCCTTTATGTCTTCCTTCTTTCTTTCCTTCTCTTTCTTTCTTTCCTCCCTCCCTCCCTTCTTTTCTTCCTTACTTCTTTCCTTCCTTCCTTCTTTCCTTCCTTCCTTCTTTCTTTCCTTCATCCCTTCCTTCTTTCCTTCCTTCATTCCTTCCTCCCTTCTTTCTTTCATCCCTTCCTTCTTTCCTTCCTTCCTTCTTTCCTTCCTTCATTCCTTCCTCCCTTCTTTCTTTCCTTCATCCCTTCCTTCTTTTCTTCCTTCCTTCTTTCTTTTCTTTCTTTCCTTCCTTCTTTCTTTCCTTCCTTTATGTCTTCCTTCTTTCTTTCCTTCTCTCTTTCTTTCCTCCCTCCCTCCCTTTTCTTCCTTACTTCTTTCCTTCCTTCTCTTTCTTTCCTTCATCCCTTCCTTCTTTCTTTCCTTCCTTCATCCCTTCCTTTTCTTCCTTTCTTCTTTCTTTCCTTCCTTCCTTTTTCCTTCTTTCATCCCTTCCCCCCTTCTTTCCTTCCTTCCTTCCTTCCTTCTTTCCTTCCCTTCCTTCCTTCCTTCCTTCCTTCCTTCTTTCCTTCCTTCATCTCTTCCTCCTCTCTCTCTCTCTCCTTCCCACCTTCCTTCTGGGCTACTTCCCCAGAATTACTATGATTATGAACTCTGCGCATCATGCAAGGAGAAGAATGGGATGATGGCGCTTCTTGGCTGAAGGGGGCTGGACTGAGTGGCGGCCCACCAGCTCTCTTCCAACTCATAGAATCATAGACTCCTAGATTCCTAGAGTTGGAAGAGACCTCCTGGGCCATCATCCAGTCCAACCCCATTCTGCCAAGAAGCAGGAATATTGCATTCAAAGCACCCCTGACAGATGGCCATCCAGCCTCTGTTTCAAAGCTTCCAAAGAAGGAACTCTTGGATTCTAGGACTCTATGAGGTGGACGAGGACGTGATGGCCCTCTGCTCCTCTCTCTCCGGGCTTTTTCTTTGGAGGCTTTGAAATAGAGGTTGGAGGGCCATCTGTCAGGAGGGCTTGAGAGGTGCTTTACCTGCCTGGAAGGAGGGGTGGAACCCTGGGGTCTCTCCGAACTCTAGGATTCTCTCCATGTGCTGTCAAAGGCGTTCATGGCCAGAATCACTGGATTGTTGTGAGTTTTCTAGGCTGCCTGGCCATGTTCCAGCAGCACTCACTCCTGTTTTCCCTACATCTACGGCTAATGGCATCTTCAGAGACTCTGTTGGCAGTGAGGCAAGTGGAGTATATACACACACACCCCTGTGGAATAAGGCAGGAGTAAGAACCCTAGTTTGTTTGAGGCAAGTGTGAATGTTGCAATGAGCAAGCTTGAATTGGGTTGTTGTAGGTTTTTTCGGGCTATATGGCCATGTTCTAGAGGCATTCTCTCCTGACGTTTCGCCTGCATCTGTGGCAAGCATCCTTAGAGGTAGCGAGGTCATTGAATTATCGAGTAGCCATGAAGTTTCAGAGTCAATCAGTGCGGGTCCCTGCATAGAGGTGGCCTGGCCTCTGTTGCCTGGAGGCACCCTCTGTTTGAGAAGTGCCTCAGTTGGGGTGATTCCACCATAAATGTAGTAGAGTGCCAGAAGTAAACTTCTTGACCAGCTGAAACTTACATGTGGTGAGCGGGGATACGTTTGTATTCCTTAGGATGGCCCAGGATTGCAGAGTCAGAACTTGAGGTTCAAAAATATTTATTGAAGGAAAAGAAATACATTCTGGATAGAAAAGGGTTTTGGAGCTCACAAGCTTACCAAGTTTCCTCTTCTAAAGACATAAAAGGGTAAAAAGTCCATGCAGCTACATTTTGCCTAAAGAGAGAGGCAAAATGTGCCTCCTCATAGGTGGAAAGAAAAGCAGAAGAGACCGGAAAATGGCAAATGGCCACCCCAGGGCAAGAAAACTTAAAAGGAAGTTCCATCCCAGAATTCCATTGCTATATCATCAAAGGGGAAGGAAGACAGTGTTCAGCAGGAGGAGGAAAGACAAAGCTGTTTTGGAAAAGCTTGCATAGACATGTGGGGTTGGGGGGGAGGATCCCTCAGCTTAATCCTATCTCTAGCCTAGCTACTCATTGAACATGAGGAAGAACTTCCTGACTGTGAGAGCCGTTCAGCAGTGGAACTCTCTGCCCCGGAGTGTGGTGGAGGCTCCTTCTTTGGAAGCTTTTAAACAAGGGATGGATGGCCATCTGTCAGGGGTGATTTGAATGCAATATTCCTGTTTCTTGGCAGAATGAGGTTGGACTGGATGGCCCATGAGGTCTCTTCCAAATCTTTTATTCTATGATTCATTGAGGACTGGAAACTTGATGTGCAGTCCAGGAATGAAGCCCAACACTCTGCTTGGGAGGTGTCATTGTCATGAATAACGTTAAGTTTTGGCATTTCAACATTTTGAAGTTTTATGTCTTGTCAAAGGCTTTCATGGCTGGAATCACTGGGTTGTTGTAAGTTTTTCGGGCTATATGGCCATGTTCTAGAAGCATTCTCTCCTAACATTTTGCCTGCATCTATGGCAGGCATCCTCAGAGGATGTGAGGATGGAGACATAATGTCAGGAGAGAATGCTTCTAGAACATGGCCACATAGCCTGAAAAACCTGACACTCTCTGAATACACCATCTCTCTCCTTCCCATAGAGCAGAGCATGGCGGGTGGAACAGACTCCTCAGGTCTGCCACACTTTGAGCATTATTAGATTGGGTCTTTTATATGAATATTCTGCTGTCATCCCAAAGTTGTTAATTAATGATAGTTTGATAATTATTAGATTGGGTCTTTTATAGGAATATTCTGCTGATGTCGTCCCAAAGTTGTTAATTAATAATAGACGTCTTCCATCTTGGAATATGTTGACCCCAACTCAGTTTCCTGGCCAGATGTTGATCTTCTTGGTTGGTGTTAGCCTTGTGTTGACTTCCTTCTTAACACTGTAGGCATTTCCCTTATCACTGTCCCAGTTCTTATCACAGTGTAATTTTCAGTTCTTATTAGCACTCTTTTAATTACAGTCCAGCAAGCAGGTAATTAGACAATGGAGCCTTAATATTTTACTGATGTTTCCAAAAGTATTAGCTCCATTCATAACATTGTAAACATTTACCTTATCACTCTCCCAGTTCTTATCAGAGTTTACTTTTCAGTTCTTATTAGCAGCTTTTAATTACAGCCCAGCAAGCAGGTAATTAGACAATGCAGGCCTTAATATTTTACTGATGTTTCCATTCATAACATTGTAAACATTTCCCTTATCACTCTCCCAGTTCTTATCAGAGTTTACTTTTCAGTTCTTATTAGCAGCTTTTAATTACAGCCCAACAAGCAGGTAATTAGACAATGCAGGCCTTAATATTTTACTGATGTTTCCAAAAGTATTCGCTCTGTTCATAACATTGTAAACATTTCCCTTATCACTGTCCCAGTTGTTATCACAGTTTACTTTTCAGTTCTTATTAGCAGCTTTTAATTACAGTCCAGCAAGCAGGTAATTAGACATTACAGGCCTTAATATTTTACTGATGTTTCCAAAAGTATTAGCTCCATTCATAACATTGTAAACATTTCCCTTATCACTGTCCCAGTTCTTATCTGAGTTTACTTTTCAGTTCTTATTAGCAGCTTTTAATTACAGTCCAGCAAGCAGGTAGTTAGACATTGCAGGCCTTAATATTTTCCAAAAGTATTAGCTCCATTCATACATCCTTCCATTTATTCCCACAAATATATTAAATTCACATTGATCAAATCTGCACATTGAATTTCTTATTACACACCAATGTATGTTTTTATGATCCCAAACAGACCGTCCCCCCTCCCCGGTCAACGTGACGATCACTCAGCTGCGGTCAAACTCGGCCACCGTCTCGTGGGACCTGCCCGAGGGCGACGGGGTCATCGGCTACGCCATCTCCCAGCAAGTAAGCAGATTGGGGAGGGGGTGTGCTGGGGAGGGGAGGGGGAGGAAGGGGGAGGGACCCTCCTCTCACCCCTCCTCCCTCCCCTCTGCCCTCCCAATCAATAGCGGCAGGACGGGCAGATGCAGCGCTTCATCCGGGAGGTGAACACGACGGCCACGCGGTCCTGCGTGCTGTGGGACTTGGCCGAGGACGCTGACTACGTCATCCAGGTGCAGAGCATCGGTCTGGGCGGGGAGGGGCCCGCCAGCAAGCGCCTCCACTTCCGCACCCTCCGCCGCACCGACAGGATCCCCGGAAGCGGAAACGGCACTTCCCCACAGGGTAAGAGGGGGACAAGGGTCAAGAGGGCAGGGGTAACACATGGACCTCTCCCCTCCTCAGCCCCAACCACACACACCTCCTCCCCTCCGCACACATTGGGTCTGGGGTCCAATCACCCTAGGATCTAACTGTGCAAAGGTCCAACCACACACACCCCATTGGAAGTGACACAATCAAGCTGCAAAAAAAAAAAAGGCACCCAACTTAGGCCAAAGTCTTTCCTCCAAGGCTTGGCTTGTTTATATTTCTTGATTTAAGTCATTGACGTGCTGGCTGATGCCCAAACAGAGGATGAGCTGGAGATGTCACTGCTTTGGTCCTTTCACTATTGGCTGCTCCTTCCAGGCGGATGTCAGGTGGTGCAATTCCGGCTAAGCAGTGTAATTTCTCCAGTGGTGTAGGGTGCAGACACCCCGTGATAATGCGGCATGTCTCATTAAGAGCCACACCCACTGTTTTAGCGTGGTGAGAGGTGTTCCACACTGGGCATGCATACTCAGCAGCAGAGTAGCATAGCGCAAGGGCAGATGTCTTCACTGTGTCTGGTTGTGATCCCCAGGTTGTGCCAGTCAGCTTTCGTATGATGTTGTTTCTCGCACCCACTTTTTGCTTGATGTCCAGGCAGTGCTTCTTGTAGGTCAGAGCACAGTCCAGAGTGACTCCCAGGTATTTGGGTGTGTTGCAATGCTCCCGTGGGATTCCTTCCCAGGTCGTCCTCGGAGCTCGGGATGCTTCTCTGTTCTTGAGATGAAAGGCACATGTCTGTGTTTTAGATGGATTAGGGATCAGTTGGTTTTCCCTGTAATAGGCAGTAAGAGCACCTAGAGCTTCAAAGAGCTTCTGTTCAACCATCTCAAAGCTCCCTGCTTGAGCAGTGATGGCACGATCATCAGCATAGATGAAACTCTCTGTCCCTTCTGGCAGTGGCTGGTCATTTGTGTAGATGTTGAACATGGATGGAGCAAGCACGCTCCCCTGAGGCAGGCCGTTCTTCTGTTTCCGCCATCTGCTTCTCTGGCCCTGGAACTCAACAAAAAAGCTCCTGTTTTGTAGAAGGTTTCCTATGAGGCGGGTGAGGTGGTAGTCCTTTGTGATATTATACATTTTTCTCAGGAGGAGGCGGTGGTTCACAGTATCATAGGCTGCTGACAAGTCTATGAAGACAGCTCCTGTGATCTGCTGCCTTTCAAAGCCATCTTCTATGTGCTGTGTCAGGTTCAACACTTGCGATGTGCAGCTTTTGCCTTTTCTGAAGCCAGCTTGCTGTGGGATCAGACAGGGGTCTATATTTTCCCTAATTCTATGCAAAATAAGTCTCTCCAGAACTTTGTAGAGGTGGCACAACAGGGAGATTGGTCTGTAGCTTTTTGGGTCATTATGGTCTTTGGCTTGGCTTGTGAAGCTAAGGTGGAAAGAAAGGGAGCATCCACCTCGTGTCCTAGTGCCCACTGACCACCTAAAGGCAAGATTAGCCTGCTATTTCCCTCTGGTGTTTATAGAAACACCATATTTTGCCTTGTTGAAGTTTTCATGGCCGGAATCACTGGGGTGTTATGTGGTTCTGCAGATTGTCTGGCCCATGTTTTCTGGCAGCATTTTCTCCTGACATTTTGCCTGCATTTAGAATCATAGAATAGAATCCTAGAATCCTAGAGTTGGAAGAGACCTGGTGGGCCACCCAGTCCTACCCCATTCTGCCGAGAAGCAGGAAAATTGCATTCAAAGCACCCCCGACAGATGGCCACCCAGCCTCTGCTTAATAATAATAATTACAATAATAATAATAATAATAATAATAATAATAATAATAATAATAATAAATAATAGAATCCTAGAGTTGGAAGAGACCTGGTGGGCCACCCAGTCCAACCCCATTCTGCTCAGAAGCAGGAAAATTGCATTCAAAGCACCCCCAACAGATGGCCATCCAGCCTCTGCTTAATAATAATAATAATAATAATAATAATAATAATAATAGAATCCTAGAGTTGGAAGAGACCTGGTGGGCCATGATCCAGTCCTACCCCATTCTGCCGAGAAGCAGGAAAATTGCATTCAAAGCACCCCCAACAGATGGCCACCCAGCCTCTGTTTAAAAGCCTCCAAAGAAAGAGCCTCCACCACACTCCGGGGCAGAGAGTTCCACTGCTGAACAGCTCTCTCTCACAGTCAGGAAGTTCTTCCTCGTGTTCAGATGGAATCTCCTCTCTTGTAGTTTGAAGCCATTGTTCCATTGCGCCCTAGTCTCCAGGGCAGCAGAAAGGAAGCTTGCTCCCTCCTCCCTGTGACTTCCTCACATCTTGATCCATCTTGATGCATGGCCCTCATCATCAGGGAAAGGGGAAAGGAAGGGGTCTGAGGCTGTTAGGAATGGTGGGAGTTGAAGTCCAAAACACCTGGAAGTTGTGGGTTTATTGACTTCAGCGTGTCTGCTAAGAGGTTCAAAAATAAATCAATGAAGGGTGCTACCTTCAGTCAGCTCCGAGCCAGGAGCGGCACTTAAAGATTTAAGACTTAAGGACACAGCATATTATTTGAGAAGACAGAAATGCTGGACCACTCTCACAACCACCATGTCAGACTACACAGAGAAGCCATTGAAATCCACAAGAAGCAGGTGGACAATTCCAACAGAAAGGAGGAGACCATGAAAATGAACAAAATCTGGCTACCAGTATTAAAAAACTCTAAAATTACAACAGCAAAACAGCAGAGAGGAAACAACCAGGCACATCTTAACACCTCTCGACAAAAGATTCCCCCAGGCTCAGTCAGGCCTTCAAATGCTAATGAAGGTGGTCAGTTGAAACATTCACACCTAGCTCCAGCAGGGAAGAGCTCTTTGCCCCACCCCAGTCATTCCACAGATATATATACCTACTTTCCTAGTTCCAACAGACCTCACTACCTCTGAGGATGCTTGCCATAGATGCAGGCGAAACGTCAGGAGAGAATGCCTCTAGAACATGGCCATATAGCCCGAAAAAACCTACAACAACCCACTTAAAGATTTACTGCTATTTCTAAAAAAATTACAAAACTATATACAGGAGTAGACAAAGACACATCTTTCCTCTTAGCCGTACATCGCTGGAAGAGGAAACGTGTTTTTATCTCATCTCTGGAATGTGTGACAAAACAGGAACTGTCCAAAGTTACAGTCTAGGCATAAATCATAGCTCTGAGCATTTAACCCTTGCACAGCATTACATCTCTACATGGAGTTTAAAGTATAAACAAGATTTCATCACATTTAAACCACAGTACTGACAAAAGTTGGGCCGTGCCTGGTTTAGGTTCTGAACTTCAGAAGCTTCTCTGGTTGAGGGCGACTAAAATGATCAAGGGTCTGGAGAACAAGCCCTATGAGGAGCGGCTTAAGGAGCTGGGCATGTTTAGCCTGAAGAAGAGAAGGCTGAGAGGAGACATGATGAGGACCATGTATAAATATGTGAGAAGAAGCCACAGGGGGGAGGAGGGAGCAAGCTTGTTTTCTGCTTCCCTGGAGACTAGGACGTGATGGAACAATGGCTCCAAACTACAAGAGAGGAGATTCCACCTGAACATGAGGAAGAACTTCCTGACTGTGAGAGAGAGCCGTTCAGCAGTGGAACTCTTCTCCCAGGAGCAGTGGAGCTCTTCTCCCAGGTTTCAGCGGTGACCAGGGGAGCATTTGCACAGCTTCGGCTCGTGCGCCAGCTGCGCCCGTACCTCGGGAAGTCTGACTTGGCCACGGTGGTACACGCTCTGGTCACAGCCCGCCTTGATTACTGCAACGCTCTCTACGTGGGGCTGCCCTTGAAGACGGCCCGGAAGCTTCAGCTAGTCCAGCGCGCGGCAGCCATGTTACTAACAGGAGCGGGACGCAGGGAGCACACAACGCCCTTGTTGTTCCAGCTCCACTGGCTGCCGATCTGCTACCGGGCCCAATTTAAGGTGCTGGTGCTGGCCTACAAAATACCTTTCTGACCGCATCTCGGCCTATGAGCCCACGAGGGCCTTGAGATCATCTGGGGAGGCCCTTCTCTCGATCCCGCCTGCCTCACAGGCACGTTTGGCGGTGACGAGAGATAGGGCCTTCTCGGTGGTGGCGCCCTGGCTATGGAGCACCCTCCCTGTGGACATCAGACAGGCGCCCTCCCTTATGTCATTCCGCAAGAGCTTAAAGACTTGGCTATTCGAGCAGGCGTTCAACTAAACATTACAACAACTGGCATTGATGACTGGAACGGAATATGGAATACGAGATTGGTTTACGATTTTACGATGAGACGACGCGGATGATTTAGAGTAATTATTGTTGTATTATTGATGTTATGTGCTTATTGTGTTGTATGAGGGTTGTATTGTAAACTGTTTTTATATGTTGTACACCGCCGTGAGTCGCCCGAAAGGGCTGAGAACGGCGGTCAACAAATGCAATAAATAAATAAATAATAAATAAACAAACTCTCTGCCCCGGAGTGTGGTGGAGGCTCCTTCTTTGGAAGCTTTTAAACAGAGGCTGGATGGCCATCTGTCAGGGGTGCTTTGAATGCAATACTCCTGCTTCTTGTCAGAATGGGGTTGGACTGGATGATGGCCCAGGAGGTCTCCTCCAACTCTAGGATTCTAGGATTCTATGATATGACGAGGGTTCACTCTGGGGAGCCCCCTCTTTGTCTTCCAGGGGACATCACCATGGAGGGCCTGGACACGGGGAGGCGCCTGCAGACCGGGGAGATCATCATCGTGGTGGCCGTGCTGCTGATGTGGGCAGGTGAGGGAGGGTCAGGTGAGGGGGCGGGGCCAGGGAGGGGTCCATTCTCCCTATTCATCCCTTTTCTCTCCCCAGCGGTGATCGCGCTCTTCTGCAAGCAGTACGACATCATCAAGGACAACGACTCCAACAACAACAGCAAGGAGAAGGCCAAGCCCTCCTCGGAGCACAGCTCCCCAGAGAGGCCCGCCGCGGGGGGGCTGCTCCGGAGCAAGGTGCGGGGGCCCCCCACATATTCACACACACATAAACATTCACCCTCCATGCATACATTACCATCCCTTCCTCCATCTCCTGGAGAAGAGAACCAAACATGGGCAAGACTGCGTCGCCTGCAAATCTGTGTCAGACTGTAGGATCTATATTGCAATATTAAATAACCACTCATACGCAGGCTTGCTTTGAAATGGATATATTGCTTGAATCTCCGCAGCAAAGAAAGACACTCCGGACGTTTTCCCACCACCACTTCCTTTTATACACCTTTCCTGCCCATCTCCCCCTCTTCTCAGTTTCCTTATTAAAACTTGTTGCTTCACAAGTTCCATAACATGGTTTCCCACACTCTCTGCTGGCTTCAGAATGTCAGAAAGAGCAAACTTTTTTGTTTCCTCTCTGTTGTTGTGCTGTTGCAATTTTAGAGTTAATCACCTAATCTAATCACCTCTCAACAAAAGATTCCCCCAGGCACTGCCAAGCCATCAAATGCTAATCAAGGTGGTCAGTTGAAACATTCACACCTGGCTCCAGCAGACAAGAGTCCTTTATCCCACCCTGGTCATTCCACAGATATATAAATCCTTTTTCCTAGTTCCAACAGACCTCACAACCTCTGAGGATGCTTGCCATAGGTGGAGGTGAAACGTCAGGAGAGAATGCCTCTAGAACATGGCCATACAGCCCGAAAAAACCTACAACCGTGATGGTGAACTTATGACACGTGTGTCAGCACTGACACGCATGGCTATTTTTGATGACACATGGCCACATGCGGCTGCATACAGAGAAGTCCACCTCATAAGAGCCAATCTAATTCCATCCTTAGAGTTGTAAAAGGCTCTACAAATTTAACATCTGTATGTTTGAGCATTGTTCGCTCCATAACTCAGCATGGAATATACATTTTTCTTATTTAAACTATAAATATTGCAAAATTATGTTGTTGTTTTTTCTCGAAGTTGACACCCCACCCAAGTTATGCTCAGGTTTTTGGAAATTTTGACACACCAAGCTCAAAAGGTTGCCCATCACTGACCTAAATAACCCATAAATAAAGTATTATCATTATTATCATTTTTTTATTATTAAGTCCTCCCTCTCCCCAACAGAAGAAGTCGCCTTCGGTCAACATCATCGAAGTCTGAGCTGGGACCAGATGTGCCCCCCTAACGCCTGATGACCCCTGGAAAAGGGGGCCTGCAGAGGAGGCAGAGTTGACCCTCAGGGCCCCAATGGAGGAAGATGGACGCCAGACAGACCCTCGGACACAAAGGAGGACGAGTCCCAAGCCGACCCCCCCTCCCCGAGACTGATTGGGACAGGGACCGCCTTCCTTCACTGCCAGCAGCAGCATCAGGGGGGGTCCTGCCATGTCCCCCCAAGAGCCGCATCACCGACTGCCTTCCCCTCTCAATGCATCTGCCAGAAGGAGACCCCAGACTGCCTTTGGGAGCAGAGACCACCCACCCTCATCCAGAGACGGCGGTGCCTCCTGCTTCCTGCCTTTTCCTCCTCGCCCTCCGCCTGTGGCACCTGCTGCAACTAAGCCTGACCCCGCTCCCCTCCGGTCCCTCCAAGGATGCTTCGCCTGCTAAATTGGGGAGGGGGGTTTCAGGGAGGGAGGGGGGAAAGGCTGCTGCTTGGGCCCACCCTTCCTTCCTTCCTGCCAATAAAGAGACACCCCTTTTGGCACCTGGGAGCCCAGCCCTGGGTCCCTCCTGCTCGGCTTCTTCTTCTTCTCCTTTTGGGGTATTTGTTTCAGGGGGGGGCTCGGGGGGGGGCTCTTTGGCAGGAAGAACCCCCTTTGCAGCTTTGCACATTTGGAAGAGGAGGGGGTCAAGGGACCCAATGGAGCAACGTCCAAGCCTGGCAAAGTCATAGAGTCCTAGCGTTGGAAGGGACCCCCAAGAGCCATCTAGTCCAACCCCAACCTGCCTTTGTTTACATTTGCATGGCATTGAATTATTGCCACTCTGAGTCCCCTTCAGGGCAAAAAATATAGTAAATAAATAAACAAATATGCAGGGAAAGCTCCATCAAAGCACTCCCGATAGATGGCCATCCAGCCAACGTTGGAAGGGACCCCAAGTGCCATCTAGTCCAACCCCAACCTGCCTTTGTTTACGTTTGTATGGCATTGAATTATTGCCACTCTGAGTCCCCTTCAGGGCAAAAATATATAGTAAATAAAAAAACAAATATGCAGGGAAAGCTCTATCAAAGCACTCTCGATAGATGGCCATCCAGCCAGCGTTGGAAGGGACCCCAAGTGCCATCTAGTCCAACCCCAACCTGCCTTTGTTTACGTTTGTAATGGCATTGTATTATTGCCAGTGTGGAAGCCACTGAGTCCCCTTCAGGGCAAAAAATATAGTAAATAAATAAATAAATATGTCGGGAAAGCTCTCTCAAAGCACTCCCGATAGATGGCCATCCAGCCAACGTTGGAAGGGACCCCAAGTGCCATCTAGTCCAACCCCAACCTGCCTTTGTTTACGTTTGTATGGCATTGAATTATTGCCACTCTGAGTCCCCTTCAGGGCAAAAATATATAGTAAATAAAAAAACAAATATGCAGGGAAAGCTCTATCAAAGCACTCTCGATAGATGGCCATCCAGCCAGCGTTGGAAGGGACCCCAAGTGCCATCTAGTCCAACCCCAACCTGCCTTTGTTTACGTTTGTATGGCATTGAATTATTGCCAGTGTGGAAGCCACTGAGTCCCCTTCAGGGCAAAAAATATAGTAAATAAATAAATAAATATGTCGGGAAAGCTCTATCAAAGCACTCCCGATAGATGGCCATCCAGCCAACGTTGGAAGGGACCCCAAGTGCCATCTAGTCCAACCCCAACCTGCCTTTGTTTACGTTTGTATGGCATTGAATTATTGCCACTCTGAGTCCCCTTCAGGGCAAAAATATATAGTAAATAAAAAAACAAATATGCAGGGAAAGCTCTATCAAAGCACTCTCGATAGATGGCCATCCAGCCAGCATTGGAAGGGACCCCAAGTGCCATCTAGTCCAACCCCAACCTGCCTTTGTTTACGTTTGTAATGGCATTGTATTATTGCCAGTGTGGAAGCCACTCTGAGTCCCCTTCAGGGCAAAAAATATAGTAAATAAGCAAACAAATATGCAGGAAAAGCTCTATCAAAGCACTCCCGATAGATGACCATCCGGCCGCTGTTAAAAATCTTCAAAGGAGCCTCCAAAGCAGGCACGGGCAAACTTTAGCTGCTAAGAATTGTGGGAGTTGGAGTCCAAAACACCTGGAGGGCCCAAGTTGGCCCAAACCAACCCTAGAGGTCATCTAGACCAACCCCCATCCACATCCTCTTCTTATCCCCAACCTATTTATTCACCCAGGCCTTGACCCAGTTAGGAAGAGGTCACCCAGAGGGTATCTAGACCAGGCTTGGGCCCTCCAGGTGTTTTGGACTTCAACTTCCACGATTATGCTAGGAATTGTGGGAGTTGGAGTCCAAAACACCTGGAGGGCCAAAGTTTGCCTGTGCCTGCTCCACTGGAGTCTTGAGGCAGAGAGTTCCGCCGCTGAACAGCTCTTCTTACAGTCAGTTATTCCTATTGTTTGCAATATGAAGCCCTTATTTGCTCTCTGGAGGTTTTGAAGTGGAGTCCGGATGGCCATCTGTCGGGAGGGTTTGAATGGGGCCTCCTTACCTGGCACAAAGTAGCAAGGTGGGCTGGATGGCCCTTGGGGGTCCCTTCCAACTTGGCACCTGCCAATCATAGCAAACGCTGGGGAGCTCCTTCTCTTGGGGGAAGTGGGGCAAGAGTGGTCATATTGCTGTCCCAGAGGAAGCCCCCTCCCCAGATAGTCCCCCCACTTCCCCAAATCCCATGAGGCGACTGCAATGAAGTCAGGAGCCGACGTACAACAGTAGAAACCATTTATTCCCCTTTTAGAAAAGGACATGAAAAACTATTTTTCTGCTACAAAGCTGAGTTTTGGCAGTGATGAGGGGCTTTTGGGGGGCGTTGGGGTGGGGGGCTTTCCACCAAAGCCTCAAGTGGTGGTGGGGGTATGGAGGAAGAAAGGTCCACCCCCCAAAATTATAGTAGAGTTGGTGGGAGGGGGCTTGGCTGGAATCTGAGAGTCCCCCCTCTGCAGGAAGAGCCCCCTCCCACTGAGAGATTGCTGCCCCCCACCAGTCACTGGGGGCGGAGTCAATGGGGTCAAGACCCTTGTGTTGGGGAAATGGGAGGACAAAGGGGAACCTGGGAGGGGCAGGGGATGGCTGGTGGGAGGGTGCCAAATTGTGGAAGTGCCAAAAGGGGGGCGGAGCCGGCCTCAGAAGAGGGTCCCGGGAGGCAGGCAGCTGCTGGGGGGGCTGCAGCTCCAGGCCCCCAAGGACGGCAGGAAGCGGTTGGACGGGGAGCCGCCACTGAAGGCCAGGTGGCCCCCACCTGAAAGACACAACAGGCGAGGGAGGAGCGGGAGGAAGAGGAGAGGTGCCCCCCTTGGCCCCTCCCTCCACCAAGCCAAACCCAAGAGGGGGGAGTGGGTCTGGGGTCCCTCTTTACCTGCGGCGGGGCAAACCCCCTCCTCCAAGCAGCTTGCGGCAGAAAAAAGAGCCCAGTCAGAGCAGCAGCAGAAAGAAAGAAAGAGAAAGAAAGGCTCCCCAACAACAACAACAACAACAACAACCCATTGTGGCCTTTGAACCCCTTCCCCAGAGCAGCCGGACATCAACAACAACAACAACCCATTGTGGCCAGTGAACCCCTTCCCCAGAGCACCCAGACGCTTACTACTCTGAGGCCCACCTGGAGAGATTGTCGTTGAGGTCGCCTTCTTCCTCGTCATCCTCGTCATCGTCTTCCTCCTCCTCCTAGCGCCACAAAATTTATTATTTTGTTTATTTATTGACAGTATGTATATTCCGCCCTTCTCACCCCGCAGGGGACTCAGGGCGGATTACAATGTACAATGCAAACATTCAATGCCATAGACACACAACATATATAGACAGAAACACAGAGGCTATTTAACATTCCAGCTTTTTGATGAGGGTATTCCGGCCACCGGGGGAGCTGTCGCTTCACCGTCCATTTGTGACACGGATGAAGTACTTCCTTAGAATCATAGAATCAAAGAGTTGGAAGAGACCTCCTGGGCCATCCAGTCCAATCCCATTCTGCCAAGAAGCAGGAATATTGCATTCAAATCACCCCTGACAGATGGCCATCCAGCCTCTGCTTAAAAGCTTCCAAAGAAGGAGCCTCCACCACACTCCGGGGCAGAGAGTTCCACTGCTGAACGGCTCTCACAGTCAGGAAGTTCTTCCTAATGTTCAGATGGAATCTCCTTGTTCTTTGCATGGTTGCTGGAGATTTTTATGGCGTCATAAATTAGCGTTAGTGGTACCTAATTTTCCTACTTGACAGATGCAACTGTCTTTCAGGCTGCAAAGTTCGACAGCAAGCTACACAAATTGGTCGGAAGCTCACTCCAACCCGGGCTGGCTTCAAACCCATGACCTTTTGATTAGACCTTTTGACCAGCCAGCTGCGCCACAGTCCCGGTGCAGAAAGTCTCATTACTCCTCAGTAATGGCCTCCCACCATCCCTATCCCCCAAATGCAGACCCACCTTCTTTGGGGGGTGAGGTCACGTACCTCAAAGTTGGCCTTGAAAGGGGGGCTCCCGGAGGGTCGGCAGCAGGCGCCTTCCGAGGAACACAGCACCAGAGAGTTCTCCCCTTGCAGCGCAACCCCTTCCTCCTCCTCCTCCTCCTCGTCTCCCCTGGAGCCTGCAATGGGGAGAACGCCCTGAGGAAGGAGAACAGGCTCTGGCCTCTCCTGTATTTAGTTATTCATTCATTTATCTATTGATTATATTATTATTTTTTACTTCATGTCTACCCTGCCTTTCTTGACCCAAGAGCGGCTTATAAATCCGGCAAAAATTCAATGCCGCACAGGTAAACGACAAAACACATATTCTCATAAAAATATAAACAATCTAAACATATAAGCAATTAAAACACACATATTAATTGTCTCCTGTCTATGTCATCAGTGGGGAGCCCCTCTCCCCGGCACCAACTGCTGCTCTAGACAGGGTGAAGAGAGAGGGGGCCAGGAAAATACTTTCACCTTGTCTCCTGTGCTAGGCTAATAATACAATATAATATATTGTATATACATATAATATTTACAATATTATAATGTAATGCAATATAATATAAGACATCACAAATTCCCTCCGTGACATCCTGACTGAATCATCCTGGCTGCCTCAGTTCTCTTTCTGTGACATTTTGAAGCCAGTAGATTGCGCTGGAAACCTTGTATTGGAACTTGTGAAGCAACAAGCTTTAATAAGGAAAGTGAGAAGAGGGGGAGATGGGCATGAAAGGGGTCTAAAAGGAAGTGGTGGTGGGGGAAAGTCAGTAGTGTCTTTCTTTGCTGAAGAGGTACAAGCAATATATCCATTTCAAAGCAAAACCGGCTTGTGAGTGGTTATTTAATATTGCTATATAGATCCTACAGTCTCACAATAAGAATAATACGATATAATTACTGTATATACTCGAGTATAAGCCTAGTTTTTCAGTCCTTTTTTTAGGCTGAAAATGTCTCCCTCAGCTTATACCCAAGTCAAGGTTTTTTTATTATTTTACTCTATTATTATTATTATTATTATTATTATTATTATTATTACATTAATCATTTTACTCTATTATTTATTTATTTATTTATTTACTTACTGTATTTGTATACCGCCTTTCTCAGCCAATCGGCGACTCAAGGCGGTTTCCAACAAATCAGTGTACATAAAACATAATATAGATTAAAAACATTAAACAGTATAAAACATCATCATTAGCGTCTCATTATTACCAAGCATTGTCCAGTTCCAGTTCTATTATTATTACATTTATTATTTTATTCTTTATTATTGTTATTATTACATTTATTATTTTACTCTATTATTATTGGAAGGATATTTACACTGAAGAAGGTTAGAATAATGCTTTAATCAGAGGACAGACTTATCTTAACTTACAGTTTTATTCAAAAACATTTAACTTACCGATGCCTCGATTAATGCAATTTTATTGCTATCTATTTTTATTTTGGAATTTACCAGTAGCTGTTGCATTTCCCACCCTCGGCTTATACTCGAGTCAATCCGTTTCCCCAGTTTTTTGTGGTAAAATTAGGTGCCTCGGCTTATTTTCGGGTCGGCTTATACTCGGGTATATACGGTATATATTTTATATTACGTGTAATATTACTAATAATATTACAATATAATGGTATAGTTGTTGTTGTTGTTGTTCATTCGTTCAGTCGTCTCCGACTCTTCGTGACCTCATGGACCAGCCCACGCCAGAGCTACCTGTCGGCCGTCACCACCCCCAGCTCCTTCAAGGTCAGTCCAGTCACTTCAAGGACTATACCTTGAAATGGTATAGTACAATATAGTAATATATAATACTGATATTGTACTATGCTAACAATATAATATAGGTATATATACCTTGTAAGTCGCTCGAGTCCCCTTCAGGGTGAGAAGGGCAGCATATAAATGTCGTAAATAAATAAATAAATATCAATCTATCAAACAGATTCAAACCACATATCAAGCGCAAAGTCATGTAGCGTCTGAGCAGGTGCAGAGAGCTTCACTGGCCACTTCATAGGGGCAGTCCAATCACACAGAGCCCCTCATTCACAGCTTGGCCCCCACTATCCTCCCCACCGCACAGGGAGGGAAGGAGACCCCTCCCCACTCTCCTGACCCACCGACTTACCAGCCTGGGCTGCCTCCCAGAGGTCAAGGGCCACCTGGAAGGCCTGGGCCACCGTCAGGGTCACTGCCTGGGCCTGTCAAGGAAGAGATGGGGAGGGTGGGGATGCAAAGGGGGAGGAAGGGGGTGCCCCTCTATCCTTCCCCACAACAGATGGACGGCAGGGGAAACCCTCAGCCCCTTTGGGTGGGGGTGGGCTCTGCGGGAAGATCTGCTTACCACCTTCTTCTTGGGGGAGAGGAAGGCGTGGCACTCCAGGGCCCCACTCCGGGGGTTTTGGGCCACGTAGGCAAAGACCTTGTTCTGCAGCTTGTCCGTCGTGCAATAGGAGATCCTGCAAATGGAGTGAGGGGGAGGCAAATATTGGGGAGGGGTCATCCTGGGGTCACAAGGTAGAAAGAGGGGTCAAGGTGCCCCTAATCCTCCCCTCCCCAAAAAAAGGGCTTCAAAGCTTGTCCGTCGTGCAATAGGAGATCCTGCAAATGGAGTGAGGGGGAGGCAAATATTGTGGAGGGGTCACCCAGGGGTCACAGGGCAAAGAAAGAGGTCAAGGTGCCCCTAATTCTCCCCCAACATGCTTCAAAGTGCAGCCAGTGATTGACACGATCAGGAGTGACCTTTGTTAAGGTATACGGGTAAGTTACAGTGGGATCGCTACTAGGTGTACAGTGGGATCGCTACTAGGTTAAGAAAAAACACACCTGGGTTAATTGCAACCACAGGCTGGGTAATCAAAGCTGATTAATTTGGGCGACTCCCAGAAGGGTAGAACTGGGCCAGCTTCATCCAAGAAGCCTTGAAAGATTTATGTCTTTGAACTCTTTGGACTGTATGTATGTGAGTGCAATGCATCTCAGAAGAAATGGTGACTGCTGATTATGATTACTATACAGCTCCGGCCCAGCTTACTTATCCAAACGTATCTCTCTCTACGTTCCACCTCGTAACTTAAGATCTACTGGGGAGGCCCTGCTCTCGGTCCCAGCAGCGTCCCAAACGCATCTGGTGGGGACGAGGGACAGGGCCTTCTCGGTGGTGATCCCCTGCTTATGGAATTCGCTCCCCAGAGAGATTAGATTGGTGTCCTCCCTCCTTACTTTTAGGAAAAAACTAAAGACGTGGTTTTGGAGCCAAATCAGCACTTTAGGCACTGAACGCGGACAATAAGATTGTTTGAAAATTGGAAATGGCTTTATGACCTGTGATTATGTGATTTTAATTTTAATTAATTTTAATTAATTTAATTTTAATTAATATAACTGCTTAATGGTTATGTAATGGATTTTATATTACTGTTTTATATTGTTTTTTTGATACTGTTGGCACTGAATTGTTGCCTGTGTTAGCCGCCCTGAGTCCCCCCCACCTCGGGGGTGAGAAGGGCGTGGAGAAATGGTCTAAATGAATAAATAAAATAAATAAATATGTTTTGAAGCCACGACTCTGAATACTCAAGAGTACACTTCTGTTTTTTGTTTGTTTTGTTTTTGCATCCTTGTGCTGCAAACTGTGCATTGCGTTACTGGGTTACACCCACTGGACAATCTGCAGTAACCATTGCCTGAAACACTGCATCCCTTTCTCTGGAGATCCTGCCTAGAGCTGGGTTTGCAAGGGTCCAAAAAAAGGGCCAACTTGGGCCCTCCTTCCTTTCAGATGTTTTGGACTCCAACTCCCACCATTCCTCACAGCCTCTGGCCCTTTCCTTTCCTTTTCCCCTTTCCTTTTCCACTTAAGTGGCTGAGGGGGAGGAAAGGAAAGGGCCTGAGGCTGTGAGGAATTGTGGGAGTTGGAGTCCAAAACACCTGGAGGGAGGGCCCAAGTTTGTTTGTTTGTTTATTTACAGTACTTATATTCTGCCCTTCTCACCCCGAAGGGGACTCAGGGCAGATCACAGAACACATATACAACAAACTTTCAGTGCCCATTATACAGTGACAAGACAGACAACAGATAGGGGTGTGTGTGTGTGTGTGTGTGTGTGTGTGTGTATATATATATATAAATTAATGTTCATAGAATCATAGAATCCTAGAATCAAAGAGTTGGAAGAGACCTCCTGGGCCATCCAGTCCAACCCCATTCTGCCAAGAAGCAGGAATATTGCATTCAAATCACCCCTGACAGATGGCCATCCAGCCTCTGTTTAAAAGCTTCCAAAGAAGGAGCCTCCACCACACTCCGGGGCAGAGAGTTCCACTGCTGAATGGCTCTCACAGTCAGGAAGTTCTTCCTCATGTTCAGATGGGATTAACAGAACTCAAAAACCACTGGACGAATTGACACCAAATTTGGACACGAGACTAGGCCCATGCCTGGGTTAAAGCAATGCTATCCAAACCCACCAAAGAAAGCTGCAAAAGAAATCTGGTTAACTGTTCTGTACTGTCCTACATCTGGGTCCATAACCTGCTGATGAATCCAACAACCACTTGGTTTATTTTTAAAATAATATGATCTGCAATGATCTGGTTTCGTCGTCACAAAGGAGGCCAAGAGAAGGAGCCGCCTCCTGCCCTGGATTCACGGGCTGGCAGCCCAAGGTTGCATTGACAGCAAAGCCACACAGCATTGGCTCATGGCTTTTGCACACAACAGCACAACAGGGGATTCCTCTTTCAAGCCCCAGGCCGTAAGGAACATTCTGCAATCCCCATATAGATAGATATAATACTTTTGATTGTGAGCCGCTTTGAGTCTCCAAATGGACAGAGAAGGCAGGACACAAACAAACATAATAATAATAATAATAATAATAATAATAATAATAATAATAATAATAATAGTGATGACTAGCTGTCCCCTGCCAGGCTTTGCTGTGACCCAGCCTGTGTATATGTGCTTTGTGTGTGTATATTTGTGTATATATTTGTGTATATGTGTATATACGTGTGTTTGCATATGTGTGTGTGTGGTTTTGCACATGCATTGTAATGTAATTTTTATTTTTTGGCTTTTTAAGTCTCTTCTACTGTGTCTTTCAGTGTTTTTATGAGTCACTCATTGGCCTGGTATGTGTTTTGTGTCCAAATTTGGTGTCAATTCGTCCAGTGGTTTTAGAGTTATGTGAATCCCACAAACAAACATTACATTTTTATTTATATAGATAATAATATCCTCCGGCTCCTCCCCCTCCCAAACAAACCACAACACACCTGTAGATGGAGATGCTCTCAATGGCCTCCTGCGTCTCGGCGTCCTGGAGGGAGAGGCCGCGCGGGGAGACCGTCAGCAACACCTTCCGGAACTTCTTGGGCCCCACGCGGGTCTAATTGGGGGAGGGGAGGGGAATAAGAAGACGATGGGCAGTGGGTTCATTTATTTATGTATTTATTTACAACCTTTATATACCGCCTTTCTCACCCTGAAGGAGACTCAGAGCGACTTACAAATAATATGTAAATACAATATATTATATTATTACCATCGCACAATATTAGTATTATATATGACTATATTGTACTATACCATTTTACTGTAATATTATTAGAAATATTACATGTAATATTAAATATATTCCCACCCTCCCCATCTCTTCCTTAACAGGCCCAGGCAGTGACCCTGACGGTGGCCCAGTCCTTCCAGGTGGCCCTTGACCTCTGGGAGGTGGCCCAGGCAGGTAAGTCGGTGGTTCAGGAGAGTGGGGAGGGGTCTCTCTTGCAGTTGAGTGGGGTCTCCTTCCCTCCCTGTGCAGTGGGGAGGATAGTGGGGGCTAAGCTGTGAACAGGGGGCTCTGTGTGATCGGACTGCCCCTGTGAAGTGGCCAGTGAAGCTCTCTGCACCTGCTCAGAGGCTACATGACTTCGTGTTTGATATGTGGTTTGAATCTGTTTGATAGATTGATATTTATTTATTTATTTATTTACGACATTTATATGCTGCCCTTCTCACCCTGAAGGGGCCTCAGAGTGACTTACAAGGTATATATACCTATATTATATTGTTAGCGTAGTACAATATCAGTATCATATATTACTATATTGTACTATACCATTATAGAATTAGAAGAGACCTCATGGGCCATCCAGTCCAACCTCTTTCTGCCAAGAAGCAGGAAAATTGCATTCAAAGCACCCTGACAGATGGCCATCCAGCCTCTGTTTAAAAGTTTCCAAAGAAGGAGCCTCCACTACACTTCCTCCAGGGCAGAGAGTTCCACTGCTGAACGGCTCTCACAGTCAGGAAGTTCTTCCTCATATTCAGGTGGAATCTCCTTTCCTGTAGTTTGAAGCCATTGTTCCATTGCGTCCTAGGTCAGCAGAAAGGAAGCTTGTTCCCTCCTCCCTAGGACTTCCCCTCACATATTTATATCTGGCCCTCATCACGTCTGCTCTCCGCCTTCTCTTCTACAGGCTAAACATGCTCAGCTCTTTCAGCCGCTCCTCATAGGGCTTGTTCTCCAGACCCTTGATCCTTTGAGTCTGTGTTCTAGTCTTCAGGACAGCAGAAAACAAGCTTGCTCCCTCCTCCCTAGGACTTCCTCTCACATATTTATACATTGTTGTTGTTGTTCATTCGTTCAGTCGTCTCCGACTCTTCGTGACCTCATGGACCAGCCTACGCCAGAGCTCCCTGTCGGCCGTTACCACCCCCAGCTCCCTCAAGGTCAGTCCAGTCACTTCAAGGATGCCATCCATCCATCTTGCCCTTGGTCGGCCCCTCTTCCTTTTGCCTTCCACTTTCCCCAGCATAATTGTCTTCTCTAGGCTTTGCTGTCTCCTCATGATGTGGCCAAAGTACTTCAACTTTTTCTCTAGTATCCTTCCCTCCAATGAGCAGTCGGGCTTTATTTCCTGGAGGATGGACTGGTTGGATCTTCTCGCAGTCCAAGGCACTCTCAGAACTTTCCTCCAACACCACAGCTCAAAAGCATCCCTCTTCCTTCGCTCAGCCTTCCCTAAGGTCCAGCTCTCACATCCGTAGGTGACTACAGGGAATACCATGGCTTTGACTAGGCAATGGATCTTTGTTGCCAGTCTGATGTCTCTACTCTTTACTATTTTATCGAGACTGGACATTGCTCTCCTCCCAAGAAGGAAGCGTCTTCTGATTTCCTGGCCACAGTCTGCATCTGCAGTAATCTTTGCACCTAGAAATACAAAGTCTGTCACGGTCTCCACGGTTTCTCCCTCTATTTTCCAGTTGTCAATCATTCTTGTTGCCATAATCTTGGTTTTTTTGACGTTTAGCTGCAACCCGGCTTTTGCGCTTTCTTCTTTCACCTTGATTAGAAGGCTCCTCAGCTCCTCCTCGCTTTCGGCCATCAGAGTGGTGTCATCTGCATATCTGAGGTTGTTAATGTTTCTTCCAGCAATTTTCACCCCAGCTTTGCATTCATCCAGCCCTGCACATCGCATGATGTGTTCTGCATACAAGTTAAAAAGGTTGGGTGAGAGGATGCAGCCTTGCCGTACGCCTTTCCCAATCTTGAACCAGTCTGTGTTCCGTGGTCAGTTCTGACTGTTGCTACTTGGTCCTTGTACAGATTCCTCAGGAGAGAGACAAGGTGGCTTGGGATGCCCATCCCACTAAGAACTTGCCACAATTTATTATGATCCACACAGTCAAAGGCTTTAGAATAGTCAATGAAGCAGAAGTAGATGTTTTTCTGAAACTCCCTGCCTTTCTCCATTATCCAGCGGATATTGGCAATCTGGTCTCTCGTTCCTCTGCCTTTTCTAAACTCAGCTTGAACATCTGGCAACTCTCGCTCCATGTATTGCTGGAGTCTTCCTTGCAGGATCTTGAGCATTACCTTACTGGCATGAGAAATAAGGGCCACTGTACGGAAGTTTGAGCAGTCTTTCGCATTTCCCTTTTTTGGTATGGGGATATAAGTGGATTTTTTCCAGTCTGATGGCCATTCTTGTGTTTTCCATATTTGCTGGCAAATGGCATGCATCACCTTGACAGCATCATCTTTTAAGATTTTAAACAGTTCAGCTGGGATCCCGTCGTCTCCTGCTGCCTTGTTGTTAGCAATGCTTCTTAAGGCCCATTCAACTTCACTCCTCAGGATGTCTGGTTCTAATTCATTCACCACACCGTCATAACTATCCTCAATATTATTATCCTTCCTATACAGATCTTCTGTATAGTCTCGCCACCTTCTCTTGATCTCTTCAGCTTCTGTTAGGTCCCTGCCATCTTTGTTTCTTATCATACCAATTTTTGCCTGAAATTTACCTCCAATGTTTCTAATTTTCTGGAAGAGGTCTCTTGTCCTTCCTATTCTGTTGTCTTCTTCCACTTCCATGCATTGCTTATTCAAAAATAGTTCCTTATCTCCTCTGGCTAACCTCTGGAATTGCGCATTTAACTGGGCATATCTCCCCTTATCCCTGTTTCCTTTTGCTTTCCTCCTTTCTTGGGCTACTTCCAGTGTCTCAGCAGACAACCATTTTGCCTTCTTGGTTTTCTTTTTCTTTGGGACGTACTTTGTTGCCGCCTCCTGAACAATGTCGCGGACTTCTGTCCATAGTTCTTCTGGGACTCTGTTTACTAAATCTAGTCCTTCAAATCTGTTCTTCACTTCCACTGTATATTCGCTAGGAATGTTAGTGAGATCATATCTAACTGGTCTGTGTGTTTTCCCTGATCTCTTTAGTTTTATTCTAAATTGAGCAATAAGAAGTTCATGATCTGAACTACAGTCAGCCCCAGGTCTTGTTTTCACCGACTGGATGGATGTCCGCCACCTTTGGCTGCAAAGGATGTAGTCAATCTGATTTCGGTGTTGACCATCTGGTGAGGTCCATGTATAAAGCCGTCTTTTAGGTTGTTGGAAAGAGAGTATTCGTTATACACAGCGAGTTTTCCTGGCAAAATTCTATCAGCCTGCGTCCCGCTTCATTTTGTTCTCCCAGACCATGCTTGCCTGTGATCCCAGTTGTCATTTGACTTCCCACCTTGGCATTCCAGTCTCCTGTAATGAAAATAATGTCTATTTTTGGTGTATTATCCAGTAGGTCCTGCAGATCCTCATAGAACTGATCTACTTCTGCTTCTTCAGCAGCTGTGGTTGGGGCATATATTTGGATCACTGTAATGTTGAAAGGCTTTCCTTGCACTCGAATTGAGATCATTGTCATTTTTTGGGTTGTATCCAAGCACCGCTTTAGCGAATTTCTTATTAATTATGAAGGCTACTCCATTTCTTCGATGTTCCTCTTGTCCGCAGCAGTAGATCTGGTGGTCATCTGATGTGAAGTGGCCCATTCCAGTCCATTTCAGTTCGCTGACCCCCAGAATGTCTATCTTTAGTCTTGACATCTCACCAGTAACAACATTCAGTTTGCCCTGGCTCATAGATCTTACCTTCCAGTTTCCTATGGTGTGTTGATCTTTAGAGCATCGGATTCGTCGTTCACCTCCAGCACCATCGGCCGCTAGCCTTCCTTTCGGCTTTGAGCTAGCTGCGTCATCACATCTGGGGCTAGTTGAACTTATCCTCTGCTCCTCCCCAGTAGCATTTTGGCCATCTTCCGACCTGGGAGTCCCATCTTCCAATGGCATACCGACATATCTCTGGTTGTACTGGTCCATTTAGTTTTCTTGGCAAGGATACTGGGGTGGTTTGCCGTTGCCTTCCCCAGGGATCACGCTTGGTCTGACCTCTCTGCCACGACCGTCCCGTCTTGGGTCGCCCTTCACGGTTTCGCTCATGACATCATTGAGGTGCTCAAGCTCCAGCGCCACAACAAGGCGGTGACCCTTTGCTGGAGATAGAATCATAGAATATAGAATCATAGAATCAAAGAGTTGGAAGAGACCTCATGGGCCATCCAGTCCAACCCCCTGCCAAGAAGCAGGAACATCGCATTCAAATCACCCCTGACAGATGGCCATCAGCCTCTGTTTAAAAGCTTCCAAAGAAGGAGCCTCCACCACACTTCGGGCAGAGAGTTCCACTGCTGAACAGCTCTCACAGTCAGGAAGTTTTTCCTCATGTTCAGATGGAATCTCCTTTCTTGTTGTTTGAAGCCATGGCTTCTTCAGTTCAGTTCTTCAGTTCAGCAGAAAACAAGCCTGCTCCCTCCTCCCCATGACTTCCCCTCACATATTTATATCTGGCCCTCATCATGTCTCCTCTCTGCCTTCTCTTCTTCAGGCTAAACATGCCCAGCTCTTTCAGCCGCTCCTCATAGGACTTGTTCTTCAGACCCTGGATCATTTGACTCACCCTCTTCCTCTGGACACATTCCAGCTAAGAGTCAACATCTCCCTTCAATTATGGTGCCCAGAACTGGACACAGTATTCCAGATGTGGTCTAATTATAATTTATTATTATTATTATTATTATTATTATTTGAAACACAACAAGATGAGGCCACAGCAGACACTCTGCTGGCTGTTGTATTGGCTCACACTTCGAACACTTATTATTATTATTATTTATGTTATTATTATTACTATCATTATCATATTATTTCTTTAATTCATATTATTATTATTTTATTCATACAACAAGATGAGTCCACAGCAAACAAGATCATTCTGCCGGCTGTTGTATTGGATCACACACCAGACACTTCCCAAGTGTCTAGGACTGTGTGATGTAATGGCGAATAATGTGTGCAGGTCCCAGTAAGGTGGCCTTCTGCAGCTGGCAGGTGGTATTTTGTCAGCGCCGATTGTGTTTAAGTGCAGGCCAAGGTCTTGAGGCACTGCACCCAGTGTGCTGATCACACTGGGTTTTTTTATTATTAGCATTATTATTAATATAGTGTATTACATAATATATATATATATATATATATATATATATATATATATATAATATTATATTATTAGTACAGTGCAGGAGACAAGATGGAACAGTTCATCTTGATTCCAGAGCAGCAGCAGTTGGTGCTGGGGGGTGGGGCTCCCAACTGATGACACTCTAGATGCCCTCTAGGCTGCTAAGAATTGTGGGAGTTGAAGTCCAAAACAACTGGAGGGCCTAAGTTGGCCCAAGCCTGGTCTAGATGCCCTCTGGGTGACCCCTTCCTAACTGGGTCAAGGGCAGGGCTAAGAAGAGAGAGTGGGCCTGTGGGTATTGGGGAGGGGGTTGGTCTAGATGCCCTCTAGGGGTGGCCTAGGCCAACTTGGGCCCTCCTTCCAGGTGTTTTGGACTTCAACTCCCACAATTCCTAGGAATTGTGGGAGTTGAAGTCCAAAACACCTGGAGGGAGGGCCCCAGTTGGCCCTAGGGCTAGCCTAGGTGCCCTGTGGGCGACCCCTTCCTAACTGGGTCAAGGGCAGGGCTAAGAAGAGAGAGCCACGCCCCTCTATTTCCATCTGCCACGCCCCCTCCCGAAGCCACGCCCCCTGGTGCTCACCATGGCCAGGATGCGCCTCACGGCGGCGGCGGCCATCTGCTCTCCCTTGGGCTCTCCCACCAGCGTCATGCCCAGGTACTTGAGCGCGAAGCCCACGCCGCCTTCCAGTAACACCGGAGAAGGAAGAGGATCCCGGCCCTCCGCCGCCAGCAGCCCTGGAAGAGAGGATCGGGAAGGCGCTAGGACCCCGCGGGGCACCTTGCTCGCTCCCTCTCTCCCCGTCTCCTAGCAACAGCCCCCCTCCCGCTCTCTGCTCTCCCGTCTCCTAGCAACAAGGCCTCTCCGCCCCCCGCCCCTCTCTCACGCTGCGGGCGCGGGCGGCGGAGGCGGGCGACGCCCAGGCGGTGCCGGGCCAGGCTCGGGCTCCGGAGGACGGCGCGACCCGCGGCTCGAAGCGCCTCCATCCGTAGGCGGGGCCTCAGGAGGCGAACCCGCCGCCGCGACCCACTTCTCCTCACAAACGCCTTCTGAGCATGCGCGGAGGAGGCCCCGCCCACAGAGAAGCCCCGCCCACCGCGGAGGACAGAGATTCTAGGATTCTTCTCCTCTCAAACGCTTTTTGAGCATGCGCAGAGGAGGCCCCGCCCACAGAGAAGCCCCGCCCACCATGGAACGCAGAGATTCTCGGATTCGTCTCCTCGCAAACGCGTCCTGAGCATGCGCGGAGGAGGCCCCGCCCACAGAGAAGGCCCGCCCACCGTGGACCGCAGAGATTCTAGGATTCTTCTCCTCTTAAACGCGTTCTGAGCATGCGCGGAGGAGGCCCCGCCCACAGAGAAGCCCCGCCCACCGCGGAACGCAGAGATTCTCGGATTCGTCTCCTCCTCTCAAACGCGTTCTGAGCATGCGCGGAGGAGGCCCCGCCCACAGAGAAGGCCCGCCCTCCGCGGAGGACAGAGATTCTAGGATTCTTCTCCTCTTCTCAAACGCGTTCTGAGCATGCGCAGAGGAGGCCCCGCCCACAGAGAAGCCCCGCCCTCCGCGGAGGACAGATTCTAGGATTCTTCTCCTCGCAAACGCGTTCTGAGCATGCGCGGAGGAGGCCCCGCCCACAGAGGAGGCCCCGCCCACATGGAAGCCCCGCCCACCGCGGAACGCAGAGATTCTAGGATTCTACCCCGTCCGGGCAGTGACGTCCCTCAAAGGGGGCGGGGCGCGGACGCCATTTTGGTTGTTGTTGTTGCCAGGGAGACGCGGCCTAGCCGAGGACGCGATGCAGCTGAGGCACGTCCGGACCTTGTTGGCGCCTCAGGTGAGGGAGTTTGGGGGGCCGGAAGGGCTGGGGCGAGGCCTGGCTGGCTGGCTGACTGACCTGTCTCTCTCCTTCCTCCAGGACGGGGCGGCGAAGGTGACGTGCCTGGCCTGGGCGCCCAACAACGCCCGCTTCGCCGTCTGCACCGTGGACCGCGTGGTCCTCCTCTACGACGAGCACGGAGAGCGGAGGGACAAGTTCTCCACCAAGCCTGCAGACCCCAAGGTTAGGCCCAAAGACTTAAAGCAGGCCTGGGCCCACTTGGGGCCTCCCTCTCTCCCTCCAGGTGTTTTGGACTTCAACTCCCACAATTCCTAGCAGCCGGCTGTTAGGAATTGTGGGAGTTGAAGTCCAAAACACCTGGAGGGAGAGAGGGAGGCCCCAAGTGGGCCCAGGCCTGTCCTCGAGTCCCATGATGGAGTCAAACTGTGTGTTTGTCTTTTTTTTTTTTTGCTTTTTAAAAGATTTTAATCCGACACATTACAATGCACACTTGTGTCCTTTTATCCAGAATTAACAGGATATCATCCACAAGATATGGAAAGAGGAAAGTTTATCCGCAAGTACCCCTTATTCCCATTCCCCTTAAACCAACAGTGTATTCAAGCCTCCAACTATTTCCAGCCCCTCCCCTGCCCTCCTCCCCCATTTGTTCCCAGGTGTGTTGAATTTTTATGGTGGTTTTTAACCGGTTAGAAACAAATTATCTGTAACAGTTTTCAATAGTGTATAAAACCAAGAACTAACTTGCTCAATGCATAGACAAACTATTGTTGACAGCAATTTAGAAACTGTATTGTCGAAGGCTTTCATGGCCGAAATCACTCAGTTCTTGTGGGTTTTTTCGGGCTATATGGCCATGTTCTAGAGGCATTTCTCCTGACGTTTCGCCTGCATCTATGGCAAGCATCCTCAGAGGTGAGGTCTGCTGGGACTGGGAAAAAAGGGGTTTATATATCTGTGGAATGACCAGGGTGAGACAAAGGGCTTTTGTAAGTTGGGCTAGGTGTGGATCTTTCAACTGACCACCTTGATTAGCATACAATGGGCTGACTGTGCCTGGAGCAAACTCTTCTTGAAAGGTGATTAGATGTCCCTGCCTGTTTTTCTCTCTGCTGTTTAATTTTAGAATTTTTTAATACTGGTAGCCAGATTTTGTTCATTTTCATGGTTTCCTCCTTTCTGTTGAAATTGTCCACATGCTTGTGGATTTCAATGGCTTCTCTGTGTAGCCTGACATGGTAGTTGTGAGAGTGGTCCAGCATTTCTGTGTTCTCAAATAAAATGCTGTGTCCAGGTTGGTTCATCAGGTGCTCTGCTATGGCTGACTTCTCTGGTTGAAGTAGTCTGCAGTGCCTTTCATGTTCCTTGATTCTTGTTTGGGCGCTGCGTTTGGTGGTCCCTATGTAGACTTGTCCACAGCTGCATGGTATACGGTAGACTCCTGCAGAGGTGAGAGGATCCCTACTATATACAGAAAACTTAAGCAAGACCCAACTTCCAAAATAACCAGAAAAACCAACACTCTAATTAAAAACTCCTCAATCAACTTCGACATACGACAGCAGCTATGTAAATCGGAAGCCCTTCCACCCAGGCTTTATGGACTCCCCAAAATCCATAAGGACTCCACCCCACTCAGACCCAATCGTGAGTGCCATTGGGTCCCCCACATATGACTTAGCCAAATTTCTTGCTGCACAGTTACAAAGCCACATTGGGCTCACAACACACTACATCAAGGACTCAGCCCACTTCATTGAAAAAATCAGCAATCTCAAGCTAAATACAAAGGACAAACTGATCAGCTTCGATGTGGTGTCTCTATTTACCATGGTCCCAGTTGCAGACACCATGGCACTCATCAACCAGAGGTTCCCAGAAGACATCACGGCGCTGTTTCACCATTGCCTCACCACCAGCTATTTCAGTGGGACAATGAATTCTACGAACAGAAAGATGGAGTAGCTATGGGGAGCCCTCTCAGCCCAGTCATAGCTAACTTCTACATGGAACAATTTGAAAAACAAGCTCTTGAAACAGCAACCAAAAAGCCCACTATATGGTTCAGATATGTGGATGACACTTTCACCATTTGGAGCCATGGAGATGAAGAACTCAACAGGTTCCTGGAACATCTTAACAGCATCCACCCTAACATCCAGTTCACTATGGAAAAAGAAAAGGAAGGAAGACTGCCTTTTCTAGATGTCCTAGTCATCCGCAAACCAGATCAACAATTGGGTCACACCGTTTACAGAAAACCCACACACACAGATAGATATCTACATAAAAACTCCAACCATCACCCAAGTCAAAAGAAGCACCATTAAAGCCTTGGCAGACCGTGCAAAAAGAATCTGTGAACCCCACCTCCTCCAAGTTGAACTGAACCACCTCAACTGGGCTCTCCAGGCCAATGGAGACTCCACCTCAGACATCAGAAGAGCTGCAAGACCAAGAACAAGCCACAAGAGTAAAGATGAAGATCCACCCAGAGGGAAAGTCCTCTTGCCATACATCAAGGGAACCACTGACCACAGAGGGAAGCTGATGAGGAAACACAACATACAAACAATCTACAAACCCACCAGGAAAATCCAACAAATGCTACGTTCAGCAAAGGACAAGAAGGATCCTCTCACCTCTGCAGGAGTCTACCAGTGTATACCATGCAGCTCTGGACAAGCCTACATAGGGACCACCAAACGCAGCAAGGCCCAGACACGCATCAAGGAACATGAAAGGCACTGCAGACTACTTCAACCAGAGAAGTCAGCCATAGCAGAGCACCTGATGAACCAACCTGGACACAGCATTTTATTTGAGAACACAAAAATGCTGGACCACTCACAACCACCATGTCAGACTACACAGAGAAGCCATTGAAATCCACAAACATGTGGACAATTTCAACAGAAAGGAAGAAACCATGAAAATGAACAAAATCTGGCTCCCAGTATTAAAAAATTCTAAAATTGCAACAGCAAAAACAGCAGAGAGAAAAACAGGCAGGGACATCTAATCACCTTTCAAGAAGAGTTTGCTCCAGGCACAGTCAGCCCATTGTATGCTAATCAAGGTGGTCAGTTGAAAAGATTCACACCTAGCCCACTTACAAAAGTCTTTTGTCTCACCCTGGTCATTCCACAGATATATAAACCCCCTTTTTTCCCAGCTCCAGCAGACCTCTGAGGAAGCTTGCCATAGATGCAGGCGAAACGTCAGGAGAAATGCCTCTAGAACATGGCCATATAGCCCGAAAAAACCCACAAGAACTGAATTTAGAAACTGCAAAGACTGCAATGTAGGTGAATCACTTGTACTATATCTACTGTTCCCAATCAGTTTCTAAGCAAGCCCCTTTTTATTTGCTGCTGAATATTCTGAAAGAAAACATTACAGGTTATCCATTTGAGGAATGTGTGTGTTTGTCTTGATGGGCTTCTAATGACTGTACTTACATATTGACATCGAGTTGATACAGAGATTGGCCCTGCGTCCAGGTGTTTTAGATTTCAGCTCCCACAGTTCCTAACAGCCAGGTGTTAGGAGTTGTTGTGGGGTTTTAAATGCTGTGGAAATGCTTTTGATGTCAGCCGCTTTGAGAGGAAAAATGGGGTACAAATAAACATAATCATAAGCATTATTATTATTATTATTATTATTATTATTATTATTATTATTGGAGTCCCCCCAGGCGTGAGAAAAGCAGTATATTATTATTATTATTATTATTATTATTATTATTGGAGTTCCCCCCCCCCCCCCAGGGGTGAGAAAGGCAGTATACAAATACCGCAAATAAATAAAGGAGCAACTTGAGAAACTGCAAGTCGCTTCTGGGGTGAGAGAATTGGCCGTCTGCAAGGACGTTGCCCAGGGGACACCTGGATGATTTGATGTTTTTATCATCCCTGTGGGAGGCTTCTCTTATGTCCCCGCATGAGGAGCTGGAGCTGATAGAGGGAGCTCATCCGCCTCTCCCCGGATTCGAACCTGCGACCTGTCGGTCTTCAGTCCTGCCGGCACAGGGGTTTAACCCACTGCACCACCGGGGGCTCCTAAATAAATAAAGGGTGCAGTACCTCAAGACCTTGGCCTGCACTTAAACACAATCGGCGCTGACAAAATTACCATCTGCCAGCTGCAGAAGGCCACCTTACTGGGATCTGCACATATTATTCGCCGATACATCACACAGTCGTAGACACTTGGGAAGTGTCCAACGTGTGATCCAATTCAACAGCCAGCATCGCGATCTTGTTTGCTGTGGAGCCATCTTGTGGTGTTTCAAATAATAATAATAATAATAATAATAATAATAATAATAATAATAATGTTAAGAGACCTAACTCGGCTCTTCCCCCCCCCCCCCCCCCCCACAGTATGGCCGGAAGAGCTACGTGGTTAAGGGCATGGCCTTCTCCCCAGACTCCACCAAGATTGCCATTGGGCAGACGGACAACATCATCTACATCTACAAGATTGGAGAGGACTGGTGAGTGGGGAGGAGTAGGGCCGTGTCCATCCCTTTTGGGTTTGCCCTGCCCTGTGCAGCCCTGCCCCCACTGGCTGACCCTTCAGAGGAAGGGCTCTGGACATCTTTCCTCCCGTGGGGCTCCATAGAATTATAGAATCCTAGAGTTGGAGGAGGCCTGGTGGGCCATCCAGTCCAACCCTATTCTGCCAACAATTGCGTTCAAAGCACCCCTGACAGATGGCCATCCAGCCTCTGCTTCAAAGCCTCCAAAGAAGGAGCCTCCACCACACTCTGGGGCAGAGAGTTCCACTGCTGAACAGCTCCTACAGTCAGAAAGTTCTTCCTAAAGTTCAGGTGGAATCTCCTTCTTTTCCTGTACTTTGAAGCAGAGGCTAGTCTCCAGGGCAGCAGAAAACAAGCTTGCTCCCTCCTCCTCCCTATGACTTCCCTTCACATATTTATACATGGCCCTCATCATGTCTCCTCTCAGTCTTCTCTTCTTTAAGCCACTCCTCCTAGGGCTTGTTGCCCACATTGCCATGCCCTTCTTTCTCTCTCTTCTCTATCTCAGGGGCGATAAGAAGGTGATCTGCAACAAGTTCATCCAGACGGTAAGCCCAAGCTGTTGGATACCCTCAATGATAACTTTTATTTTTATCTCCCTGAAGGGATTCAGGGCAAAGGGACAAGCCCATCTTCCCCCAAACCGCACCAGGATGTTGAGTGGGTCATGGGAGCTCTGTGTGCCAAGTTTGGTCTTTATCGGTCATTGGTGTGGGTCACAATGGTCTCGGGAAGTGAGTGAAGATACTGCAAATCCCATCGTCCATGGTCCATCCTGCCCCAAACTGCACCAGGATGTAGAGTGGGTCATGGGGGCTCTCTATGTCAAGTTTGGTCTTTATCAGTCATTGGATGAGGGTCACAGTGGTTTCAGTAAGTGAGTTAAGGTACTGCAAGTCCCATCATGCATGCTCCATACTCCTCCAAACTGCCCTAGTATGTAGAGTGTGTAATGGGGGCTCTGTGTGCCAAGTTTGGTCTTTATCGGTCATTGGATGAGGGACAAGCCCAGAGAGCGCAGAGTTAAAAACATAACACAATAAAAACAAAACAAAACCAAATAGAAACGTGTCGCAATAAAAACATAACATCATGAAAACAGTATCATACAGAGCGACAAAAGTGCCAAGTTGAGGGCTTTGGGTTTGTGCAAATTCCTAGATAGAGCTAAGGGAAGGTGGGCTGGGAGGATAATGTACTTGGGCTTTGTAGTGTCAGGATTGTAGAGCGGAGGGCCAGGCTGAAGTACCAGAACTTAGGTATTAAAGGGCCAGTTCTTTGGAACTGCCTAATCAAAGGCACAACGGAACATCCATGTTTTGAGGTTCCTTTGGAAGGAGGGCAGGGCAGGTGCCAGTCTCATCTCCCTAGGAAGACAGTTCCAGGGGCCACCACCGAGAAGGCCCTCTCCCTCGTCCCCACCAACCACGTTTGAGACAGAGGTGGAAGCGAGAGGAGGGCCTCCCTGGATGATCTTAGGGCTTATGTTGGTTCGTAGGGGAAGATGCGATTGCAAAGATAGGCAGGTCCTGAACCGTTTAGGGCAGTGATTCTCAACCTGGGAGTCGGGACTCCTGGGGGGGTCGTGAGGGGGTGTCAGAGGGGCCGCTAAAGACCATAATAAAACACAGTATTTTCTGTTGGTCATGGGGATTTTGTGTGGGAAGTTTGGCCCAATTCTATCGGTGGTGGGGTTCAGAATACTCTTTGGTTGTAGGTGAACTATATATCCCAGCAACTACAACTCCCAAATGTTAAGGTCTCTTTTCCCCTAACTGCACCAGTGTTCACATTTGGGCATATTGAGTATTATGTTGCGAACCAATTAGGGCCAGTACCACTCCCAAATGTCTGGGTCTATTTCCCCCAGACTCCACCTGCATTCACATTTGGGGATATTCAGTATTTGTGCCAAGTTTGGTCCAGATCCATCATTGTTTGAGTCCACAGTCTTCTCTGGATGTAGGTGAACTACAACTCCAAAACTCAAGGACGATGCCCAGCAAACCCTTCCAGTATTTTCTGTTGGTCATGGGAGTTTTGTGTGCCAAGTTGGTTTAATTCCATTGTTGGTAGAGTTCAGAATGCTCTTTGATTGAACTATAAATCCAAGCAACTACAACTCCCAAAGGACAAAATCAATCCCCCCTCCCCCCCACCTCAGCAGTATTTAAATTTGGGCATATGGGGTATTTGTGCCAAATTTGGTCCAGTGAATGAAAATACATCCTGCATATTGGATATTTACAATCCATAACAGTAGCAAAATTACAGTTACAAAGTAGCAACTAAAATAATTTTATGATTATTATGATTTTTATGATGACCAGACTGTCAGAGATTGACGCTGCCCAGCGGAAGGAATGCTAGCTCAAACAGACACTGAGTTGCAAATAAGGACTCCGCAAGCTTTGAGTTACAAAAGAAAACTAAGTTTTACAAAGCACACACAGCAAACACATCTTCCTTTAGCGAGCGACATACAGGAAGAGAACTAGTCAAAACCGAAAGCCAAAACACTTCTTCACATCTGCTTATTTTCTCTTGCCAGAGGCTGGCAACTCCCTTTAGTTTCTCACCAGAACAAAGCTTATTTTCTTTCTCAAGTTCACATAATCACAGCCTCAGTTCTAAACATTTCTGCACAGCATTGTCCATTCACAGTGGCATCCATATTTGTAATACATAGAAGCACATTTAAAACACATACATAACTCAATTGATCTTGACAGGGGTCACCACAACATGAGGAACTGTATTAAGGGGTTACGGCATTAATCACTGGTTTAGGGCTTTGTAGATAATCACCTGTGCCTTGAATTGGGACTGGAAACTCATTGGCTGTCAGTGGGGGTGTTTGAACAGGGGCTCCCCAGGGGCCCCATAGGGCCCACCTGTGACCCTTTGCCTGCATCATTGAACTTGGCTCCAGGGCACTCCTTCTTTCCCTGCTGGAGGAAGCCTCAGGCAGACCGACCTGACACGTTGCCTGCTTCTCACTTCCGTCTGAAGCCCAGGAGCCACAGGGGACCCTCATTTGGGCTCCTCTGCAGACAAGGGAGGAGCTGGGCTCTCTTTGGCCTCCTCTGCCTGGCTGCCTTCCTGCTGCTGAACCCGTCTCCCTCCCCAACAGAGCGCCGTGACCTGTCTGCTGTGGCCGGAGGAGAACACCATCGTCTTTGGTCTGGTGGAAGGAAAGGTCAGGGAAGACCCGGGACTCTCTCTCCCCCCCCCCCCCCAAATCTGGGTGATGTTCCTGCAAAGGGAAGGGCAGGATCCTGAGTGGCCTGTGGGTCTCAGCCCCATGGGTGGCTCAGCTGGGTCTTTCTCTCCCGAAGGTTCGCCTGGCAAACACCAAGACCAACAAGTCGTCCACCATTTACGGGACGGACTCCTACGTGGTGTCTCTGGCCTCCAAGTGAGCAAAGTGGGAAGAGGGGGTCTGGGGAATGGTAGCCTGCTTGTCCCCTGCCCCCCCCCCATGCAGGGCTCCCCTTTCCCCTTCTCCGCTTGACCGCCTCCCCTCTCTCTCTTCCTTGTCTCCACAGTGTCTCGGGGAAGGGGATCCTGTCCGGACATGCAGATGGGACCATCGTGCGCTACTTCTTTGATGACGAAGGCTCTGGGGAGTCACAGGTGGGGGCGGGCCTCGCCTCACAGCGGCCCTTTCCCAGCAAGACCAACCCTAAAAAGGGGGTGGGGAGGGGGAGAGCAAGGAAGGGCTCAGCTCCTCTCCCCCCCCCCCTTTTAGAAATGGACATTTGCCAACCTCAACTGAAATTGTGAGGAACAGTTCCTCCTTGGCCTTCTCCCCAGACTCCTTTGAGGACCCCTCCCCACCATTGAGGACCCCTCCCCACTTTCCCAGGCATTGCAAGAAGGCAACAATCACAGAAGTCTGGGCAGAGGGCCCATTTCTCCCCAATACTAGTAATCCACCAGGTGGGAGAGGCCCCTCTGTCTGTGCCATTTGACTGCATGTCCTTTGCAGAGGAAGCAGCACCTGCTTCTGGAGAGGGAAGGGCAGTGTGGGTATTCTCCTCTGGTGCAAAACGTTGCGTAATTATTTATTTTATCTATTATTATTTATTTATTTACAGTATTTATATACTGCTTTTCTCACCCCTCGGGGGACTCAAAGCGCTTTGCACATAGATAACGGCAAAAATTCAATGCCTTGCAACTACAATAGTAAAACCACACTTTAAACATAAATCATATTAAAAACAGTACATTACCAAATATCAAAACAGTTATTAAAACTATAAAACAGTCTCATCAGTCGAGTCGCCGTTCCAGTCCTTGTCCCACTAAAAGCTGCATACATCTATTGTCCGAAGGCCTGGTCCCAGAACCATGATTTTAATTTTTTTCCCTAAAGGTCAGGAGCAAGGGAGAAGAGCAATTTGGGAGTGTGTTCCATAGGCGGGGGGCCACAGCCGAGAAGGCCCTGCTCCTCGTCCCCACCAATCACATTTGTGCTGTTGACAGGAGCGAGAGCAGGGCCTCCCTGGATGTTCTTAAATTGCGAGGTGGGATGTAGGGGCGGATGCGTTCAGACAAGTCAGCTGGGCCGCAACCGTATAGAGCTTTGTAGGTCAAAACCAGCACTTTGAATTGGGCTCGGAGGTGGGCTGGCAGCCAGTGGAGCTGACATAACAGAGGGGTGGTATGCTCCCTGTATGTCACCCCAGTTAGTAATCTGGCAGCCACCTGTTGAACTAGCTGAAGTTTCCGAACAGTCTTCAAAGTCAGCCCCACATAGAGCGCGTTGCAGTAATCTATTCGGGATGTAACCAGAGTGTGGATGACCGTGGCCAGATCAGACTTCCCAAGGCATGGGCGCAACTGGTGCACGAGTTTTAGCTGTGCAAAAGCTCCCCTGGCCACCGCCGAGACCTGGGGTTCCAGGTTCCATTCCCAAACTGCGAACCTGTGTCTTCAGGGGGAGTGGAACCCCATCTAACACAGGCTGTAACCCTATGCCCTGTTTGGCCTTGTGACTGACCAGTAGGACCTCTATCTTGTCTGGATTCAGTTTCAATTTGTTAGCCCTCATCCAGTCCGACACAGCAACCAAGCACCGGTTCAAGGTCTGGACAGCCTAAGTGACTAAAGCAGACCTGCACAACATATTATTGTGTTTATAGGGCTTATATGTTAATGTTTTAAATTATATTTTGTGTTGTTGGGGGCATTGACTGCCGACTGTAAACTGCCTTGAGTCGCCATCGGGCTGAGAAAGGTGGTATATAAATATGGTAAATAAATAAATATGGCCTGCTGGCCGGATGTGGCTCGCAAGGGGCTTCCCTGTGACTTGCAGACGGGGCTGAGACTTTCCTTGCCTGCCTTCAGGCCCTGGAGCCCCCTCCCACACAAGGTCCTGACCTGCCTCTTGGGGTGAACCGATGAGCAGGGTCATTGTTTCAAGTTCCCCCCAGAACCACCACAGACACCCCCTCTCCCCGTGTGTGTGTTCCCTCACCCACTTCTGCCTCTGGTCTCTTCCTGGTTGCAGGGGAAGCTGGTGGTGCACCCGTGCCCACCGTACGCTATGGCCTGGGCCTCCAGCAGCATCGTGGTGGCCGGCTGCGACAAGAAGATCGTGGCCTACGGAAGGGAGGGGCACATCATCCAGACCTTCGACTACAGCCGGGACACCTCCGAGAAGGAGTTCACGGTGGCCGCCGCCAGCCCCGGGGGCCAGTCGGTGGTCATTGGCAGCTTCGATAGGTGGGTCGGTGGCTGGACTGTGTGTGTGTGTATTGTCAAGCTAAGGCGCAACTTGACAGAAGCAAATGCTAGATACACCAGATACAGCTCTGTAACATCATCATCATCATCATTTAATAACTTATTAATCGCCCTCCATCCGAGAATGCTCTAGGCGATTTACAGCTAAATTACAAAAGATAAAATACATACATACAAAAATTGAAAATCAACAGAGATCGAATGCTCTAGTAAAAAGCCAGGTTTTAAGTGCGAGAGTAAAAGGCCCAAAGTCACACCTGGCTCTCATGTAGAGCGGCCATAAGGAATTCCACAATAAGGCAGGGGCAGAAATGGAGAAAGCCCACCTGCGCCTGGTCCTTTCCAAGGGCACTTCTCTAGGACCCGGCATATGGAGTAAGTCACGTTGGGCTGGTCGTTGCGACCTCCGATGATGGGAGGAGGAGAGGCGGTCCCTAAGGTACGATGGACCCTGGCCGTAAAGAGATTTAAAGGTCAGAACTAGCATCTTAGACAGGCCACAGTGGGACTCAGTTGGAAGCCAATGTCAATGTTGCAGCACTGGTGTTCTATGGCATTATTTCATGGGCGTTCTTGTGAGTAACCTGGCTGCCGCATTCTGAACAATACGGAGCTTTCGGGTCGTAGACATCGGAAGGCCCACATACAGGGCATTGCAATATTCCAGCCTAGACGTGACCGTGGCATGGATGACAGTTGCCAGAGCCTCGTCAGACAGGTAGGGTGCCAGTTGCCTCGCTTGACGTAGGTAGAAAAAGGCCTGTTTGCTGGCAGCAGCGACCTGAGCTTCCATTGTCAGCCGTGAATCCAGGACGACACCTCAGCTCTTCACAGTGGTCGATGGAGAGAGGGCGGCACCATCGAAGGTGAGTAATGGAGGAGTCAGACCTGCCAGGCGGCCATGCCAGAGAATCTCAGTCTTCGCCGGGTTCACCTTCAGTCTGCTAGCACGTAGCCAGTTTGACAGAGCTTCCAGACATAGGGTGAACATCATGGACTCTGGAGACGTCAGATTACAGGGAAAACTCAGTTTACTAAGCACATTTACTAAGTCCATCTACAGCGAGTGACACACAGGAAAGACACAAAGACACATGTTGTGAACCGGCCTGAGTCCCTCCTTGGAGGTGAGAAGACCGGTATATAAAATTTCTAAATAAATAAATAAATAAATAAAAGGAAAACTGAAAGTCAAAACAGTTCTGTGCAGCTGCTTAGCTCTGCTGCTCCAAACGGTTAACTCCCTAAACTTTCTCAGTAGCAGCAGAGAGCTTATCTTAAGGTCACTCAATCACAGCCTCAACATAAACATTTCAGTATAGCATTACATTCTAAGTGGCATCCGTATTGGCAATTCAAGAATTACATTTAAAACACACAATATACCTCAACATATTCTGACACGTATGTGCATGTGTACCTATGTGGAGGGGGCAGTTTTATGCTGCAGGGGAAGCCTCTCCCTTCTAACTTTCCCCCCTCCCATCTCTCCAGACTCCGAGTTCTGAACTGGAGCCCCCGCCGGAGTGCCTGGGAGGAAGCCAAGCCCAAGGAGATCCCCCACCTCTACACCATCACCGCCTTGGCCTGGAAGAGGGACGGCTCTCGTCTCTGTGCGGTTCGTGTGGCCTCCTCCGCTCCAGAGCAAAGAAGGAGGAAGGGGGTGGGCTTGGGACAGGGGGCTGAAGGGACGCCTCCTGCTCTCCCCCCTCCACAGGGCACCCTCTGCGGTGGAGTGGAACAGTTTGATTGCTGCCTCCGGAGGAGCATCTACAAGAACAAGTTTGAGATGACGTACGTGGGGCCCAGCCAGGTATGCATCATCATCGTCATAATTGTGGCACTCCAGGACAGGAAAAGCCCTCTGACTGTAAACACCACACCATTGATTGGGAAACAATCCTTTTACTGAAGGTAATTAAAAAGCAACAAGTAAAAAGCACTTTAAAGAAATAGGTAAATCCAATTAGGTAAGAAGATAAGCAGGAGCAACAATAGTCCAGGGTAAAGTTCAGCAAAGTCCATCAAAACAAAGTCCACACTTCTCTAATATAATTCAGAAAACCAGGAAACATTAATCCAAGGCATGAGTAGGCATTCATACAATCCAAGAATCCAAACCATGAAACAAGATATTCTTAAACCGCTCTGAGTCGCCTCGGGGCTGATATGAGCGGGGTAGAAATAATGTAAAATTACAAATTAAATTAAACAAGAATCTTCCCAGCAAGGCTTTCATAAAACAAGGATGAGAACTGCACTTGATTCCAAACGATGCTTCATCTGACTATATTTCCCCTACTTGGAACTTTTATCCCCTCGTTAAGCTATCCCCAGCACTCAGAAATTGGTTTCGCTTTAATTGAGATTCCCTTATCTTTTTCTGTCGGATCCTGGCAGACTGCCGAAGCACTGTTCGGCTTGTCTGTTTTGACTAATCTCCTGCCTCCCATCTATTTGCTCATTAACTTCTGCAGGTGCAGAGTTGTTTTCAAGCCCCAAATCCTGGGAACCCTCTGGTAGCAATTCAGGGAGATATTGACAACCGAGTTATTGACAAGCTGGAATGTGTTCAGAGGAGGGTGACTAAAATGATCAAGGGTCTGGAGAACAAGCCCTATGAGGAACGGCTTAAGGAGCTGAACATGTTTAGCCTGAAGAAGAGATGGATGAGAGGAGATATGATAGCCATGTATAAATATGTGAGAGGAAGCCACAGGGAGGAGGAGGGAGCAAGCTTGTTTTCTGCTTCCCTGGAGACTAGGACGCGAAACAATGGCTTCAAACTACAAGAGAGGAGATTCCATCTGAACATGAGGAAGAACGTCCTGACTGTGAGAGCCATTCAGCAGTGGAACTCTCTGCCCCAGAGTGTGCTGGAGACTCCTTCTTTGGAGGCTTTTAAACAGAGGTTGGATGGCCATCTGTTGGGGGTGATCTGAATGCAACATTTCTGCTTCTTTGCAGAATGGGGTTGGACTGGATGATGGCCCGGGAGGTCTCTTCCAACTCTTGGATTCTATGATTCTTTGATTTAATGCAGGGCCAAGAATTCATTATAGGCATACATAAACATTAAAAACATTTATTTCTATATTAAAATATACCGTTAAAACCGTCTTGGTCATCTGCGTCAAATCGAATTGGCCTGGTGTAGTTTCTTAACAGTGCTTTATTGCCCTGTCCCGAAAGCTTGGTCCCACAGCCAAGTTTTGACCATCCGTCTGTAGGACAGGAGGGAGGGGGCCGATCTAATCTCGCCAAGAAGGGAGTTCCATAGCAGAGGGGCAATCACTGAGAAGGCCCTGTCTCTCGTCCCCACCAGTCGCGCCTGTGAAAATGGCAGGATGGAGAGCAGGGCCTCTCCGGAGGATCCTAATCTCCATGATGGTTCATGGGGGAGATGTGTTCGGACAGGTAAATTGGGCCGGGGCCGTTTAGGGCTTTCTAGGCCAAAGCCAGCAATTTGAATTGTGCCCGGTAGCAAGCTGGCATCCAGTGGAGTTGGCGTAACATGGGAGTTGTATGCTCCCTGTATGTCACCCCAGTTATTAACATGGCTGCTTCTTATTGGGATATTTGAAGCTTCCAAGCAGTCTCCAAAGGCAGCCCCACGTAGAGTGTGTTGCAGTAGTCTATCCTAGATGTACCAAGAATTCCTCTCGCATATTTATACATGGCTCTCATATCTCCTCTCATACTTCTCTTCTTCAGGCTAAACATGCCCAGCTCTTTAAGCCACTCCTCATAGGGCTTGTTCTCCAGACCCTTGATCATTTGAGTCTCCCTCCTCGGACACATTCCAGCTTAGAGTCAACATCTCCCTTCAATTGTGGTGCCCAGAATGGGACACAGTGTGATTCCAGGTGTGGTCTAACCAAGGCAGAAGAGAGCATGGGGAGCAGGACTTCCCTGTTTGTTTGTCCCGCCTCACATGAAAGGGACGGAAGCCCCCCTTCCCTGGGGAAGCTACCCAGGGTTCCTTGGGGGCCATCCAGAACCCAGAGCCTTGTGTCCGTGCCCAGGTGATTGTGAAGAACCTCTCCACCGGGATGCGGGTGGTGCTGAAGTCCCATTATGGCTACGAGATTGACGAGGTCAAGATCCTGGGCAAGGAGCGTTACCTGGTGGCCCACACCCCGGAAACCCTCCTCCTGGGGGACCTCACCTCCAACAAGCTCAGCGAGGTACAGGAGGGCCGACGGGGTGGAGAAGGGGCCTGGTGAGACCCGCCAGTGGGGCAACAACCCTGGGACCGGCTTCTTGGGGGGCAGCCACGTAGCCTGATGCCACTTCCCTTCCTCTCTCCCAGGTGGCCTGGCAGGGCTCTGGCGGGAATGAGAAGTTCTTCTTCGAGAACGAGAACGTAAGTCTGAGAGAGGGAGGGAGGGAGGGGGAGATGTCCTGCTTCTGGATTTGCAAACTTTGTGGCGGAAAGGGGAACATGGGGCGGAAGTGGAAGCTCACTCAGTTCCTTGCTTTCGCAAAGGGTGCCATTAAAAATGGCTCCCCTCCCCTCCTACCCCACCCCACCTCCATTTCTTTACTTATCTATATATATATATATATATAAATGCTCTGTGCATAATGAGTACCTTAAAAACAAAAGAACCAATGAACGAAATCACACTAAATTTGGCAAGAAAATGTCTCACAACACAAGGAGTGACCATCACTCAAGAAATTATGATTTTGTCATTTGGGAGTTGTAGTTGCTGGGATTTATAGTTCACCTACAATCAAAGAGCATTCTGAACTCCACCAGCGATAGAATTGAACCAAACTTGGCACACAGGACTCCCATGACCAACAGAACACACTAGAAAGGTTTGGTAGGCATTGACCTTGAGTTTTGGAGTTGTAGTTCATCTACATCTACAGAGAACTGTGGACTCAAACAATGATGGATAAGGACCAAACTTGGCACAAATACTTCATATGCCCAAATATGAACACAGATGGAATTTGGGGGAAATAGACCTTGATATTTGGGAATTGTAGTTACTGGGATTTATAGTTCACCTACAATCAAGGAGCATTCTGAACCCCACCAACGACAGAATTGGGGCAAACTTCCCACACAGAACTATCATGACCAACAGAAAATACTGTGTTTTCTGGTGGTTTTTGGTGACCCTTCTGACACCCCCCTGGTGACCCCCCCCCCTTAAGGCCATCCATTCCAACTCCCTTCACCAGGGCAAGAAAACATAATCAAAGTCCTCCTGACAAAGGGCCATCCAGGCATTCACACACACACACATATACTGTATGTATATGACAGATGCAGTATCAAAGATTTGAAAGGGACCCCCAAAGAAGGACAATGATATGTTGCATGTTCCAGAGTAGGCAAGCCAGACACTCTCCACATCAACACTGACAAAGAAACAACAAGAAATACTGTTGACCCAAATGCATAACGAAATGACATATATTGGAAACCAACACTTTCTCATTGCTTTATTTTCCTGATCACCAGACTGAGCCACAACAATGCCTGGCAGGGGACCACTTATATATATGCAATGTCATGTTCATTTATGGGATTAACTCAAAAACCACTGGATGAATTGACACTACATTTGGACACCTATCAGGCCAACAAGTGACCATCACTCATAAAACACTGAAAAACACAGCAGAAGGGACGTAAAAAGCCAAAAAACATTACAATGCATATATACACACAAAACACATACACAGGAAGAATGAAGGAAGGAGAGGAGGAGGGAGAGAAAGAGGGAACGAAGGAGGGAAGGAGAGAAAGAAGGATAGAGGAGAGAAGGAGGGAGAGAAAGGGAAGGAAGGAAAGAAAGAAAGGTACAGAAGGAAGGAAGGAGAGAAGGAAATTAAGTGAAAGAGGGAAGGAAGGAGAGAAAGAACGAAAGAAGGAAGGAAGGAAGGAAAGAAACAAGGAAAGATGGAATCAAAGAGCAAAGGAAGCGAGAAAGGAAAGAGGAAGAAGGAAGAGAGGGAAGAAAGAAGAATGGAAAGAAAAAGAGGGAAGGAAGGAAAGAAAGAAAGAAAGAAAGAAGAAGAGAAAGAGGGAGGGAAGGTTGGCCACAGCAACGCGTGGCGGGTACAGTTAGTCTATTTATATACGGTATTTGTATACTGCCTTTCTCAGCCCGAAGGTGACTCAAGGTGGCTTACAGTTGGCAACAATTCAATGCCCCATCGGACATAAATTAAAATTAAAAACATTTAGCATACAATAGAAAACCATAGAAAACCAATAAAAACATAAATCTTAAGAGTCTTCTTACTAAAATCATTTTCCAGTCGTATCGTCCAGTCGTTCCATAATTCCATATTTACCTGTTACGCTTCATTTACGCAATCTTGCTCAAAGAGCCAGGTTTTGACTTTTTTATGAAATGTTAGTAGGGAGGGGGCTGATATAATATCCCTAGGTATGGCATTCCACAGCCGAGGGGCCACCACTGAGCAGGCCCTGTCTCTCGTCCCCGGCAGACGTACCTGTGAAAAAGTCGGGACTGAGATCAGGGCCTCCCCAGACCATCTTGGGAGTCCTAGATGGTTCAAAGGGAGAGATATGTTCCGACAGGTAAGCTGGGCCTTTCCCTCCCGGTCGCTAGGTCTGCATGATCTTCAACGCTGGGGAGCTGACGCTGGTGGAGTACGGGAGCAACGAGATCCTGGGCTCCGTGCGGACAGAGTTCATGAACCCTCATCTCATCAGGTGAAGGCAGGAGCCCCCCTCTGTTCCCATTGGGCCCTGAGAAAGGAGGGTGGGGGCCCTTCTTGGTGCACCGCTCCCCCCTTGTAGAGCCCCTTCCTCCTTCCTTTGCCCTCAGTGTCCGCATCAACGAGCGGAGGCAGCGGGGCTCCGAGGAGAACAAGCGCCTGGCCTACCTGGTGGACATCAAGACCATCGCAGCCGGTGAGAAAGGACACGTTCTCCTTCTCCCCCCACCCCCCACTCCCAACCAGGTGTCATGAATGACTTTCTTTTTATCAGATTACAGAAAAACATTTAGACAAAGAATGACATAACAATAATAATAATTGGGTTGTTGTAGGTTTTTCCGGGCTATAGGGCCATGTTGTAGAGGCATTCTCTCCTGACATTTCGCCTGCATCTATGGAAAGCATCCTCAGAGGTAGTGAGATCTGTTGGAACTAGGAAAATAGGTTTATATATCTGTGGAATGACCAGGGTGGGACAAAGGACTCTTGTCTGCTGGAGCTAGGTGTGAATGTTTCAACTGACCACCTTGATTAGCATTTCATGGCCTGGCAGTGCCTGGGGCAATCTTTTGTCGAGAGGTGATTAGATGTGCCCTCTGCTGTTTTGCTGTTGTAATTTTAGAGTTTTTTAATACTGGTAGCCAGATTTTGTTCATTTTCATGGTTTCCTCCTTTCTGTTGAAATTGTCCACTGCTTGTGGATTTCAATGGCTTCTCTGTGTAGTCTGACATGGTGGTTGTGAGAGTGGTCCAGCATTTCTGTGTTCTCAAATAAAATGCTGTGTCCAGGTTGGTTCATCAGGTGCTCTGCTATGGCTGACTTCTCTGGTTGAAGTAGTCTGCAGTGCCTTTCATGTTCCTTGATTCGTGTTTGGGCAATGCTGCGTTTGGTGGTCCCTCTGTAGACTTGTCCACAGCTGCATGGTACACGGTAGACTCCTGCAGAAGTGAGAGGATCCCTCTTGTCCTTTGCTGAACGTAGCATTTGTTGGATTTTCTTGGTGAGTCTGTAGATAATTTGTATGTTGTGTTTCCTCATCAGCTTCCCTATGTGGAAGAAACACATATACAAACGATGAGGAAACACAACGTACAAACTGATTTTCATGGTTTCCTCCTTTCTGTTGAAATTGTCCACCTGCTTCTTGTGGATTTCAATGGCTGCTCTGTGTAGTCTGACATGGTGGTTGTGAGAGTGGTCCAGCATAGCTGTGTTCTCAAATAATATGCTGTGTCCAGGTTGGTTCTAAAATTACAACAGCAAAACAACAGAGAGTAAACAGTGGGTTGTTGTAGGTTTTTTCGGGCTATATGGCCATGTTCTGGAGGCAATTTTTCTCCTGACGTTTCGCCTGCATCTATGGCAAGCATCCTCAGAGGTAATGAGGTCTGTTGGAACTAGGAAAAAGGGTTTATATATCTGTGGAATGACCAGGGTGGGACAAAGGACTCTTGTCTGCTGGGGCTAGATATGAATGTTTCAGCTTATCACCTTGATTAGCATTCAATGGCTTGGAAGTGCCTGGGGGGAATCTTTTGTTGGGAGTGATTTTATGTGCCTGTTTGTTTCCCCTCTGTTGTTTTGCTGCTGTAATTTTTGAGTTTTTTAATACTGGTAGCCAGATTTTGTTCATTTTCATGGTTTCCTCCTTTTCTGTTGAAATTGTCCACATGCTTCTTGTGGATTTCAATGGCTTCTCTGTGTAGTCTGACATGGTTGTTGTGAGAGTGGTCCAGCATTCCTGTGTTCTCAAATAATATGCTGTGTCCAGGTTGGTTCTAAAATTACAACAGCAAAACAACAGAGAGTAAACAATCAGGCACATCTAATCACCTCTCAACGAAAGATTCCCCCAGGCACTGCCAAGCCATCAAATGCTAATTAAGGTGGTCAGTTGAAACGTTCACCCCTAGCTCCAGCAGATAAGAGTCCTTTGCCCCACCCTGGTCATTCCACAGATATATAAACCCATTTTCCTAGTTCCAACAGACCTCACTACCTCTGAAAATGCTTGCCATAGATGCAGGCGAAACGTCAGGAGAATATGCCTCTAGAACATGGACATATAGCCCGAAAAAACCTACAACAACCCAGTGATTCCGGCCATGAAAGCCTTCAACAATACAATAATAATAATAATAATAATAATACTTTATTTATATCCCACCACCATCTCCCCAATGGGGACTCGGGGCGGCTAACATGAGGCCAAGCCCAGCAATACAATACATAGATATAACAGAACACGGCAGTAAATCATAAAAATAAAAATACAATACAAAACCCATTAGTAACCTACGGATGTGAGAGCTGGACCTTAGGGAAGGCTGAGCGAAGGAAGATCGATGCTTTTGAGCTGTGGTGTTGGAGGAAAGTTCTGAGAGTGCCTTGGACTGCGAGAAGATCCAACCAGTCCATCCTCCAGGAAATAAAGCCCGACTGCTCACTGGAGGGAAGGAGACTAGAGACAAAGTTGAAGTCCTTTGGCCACATCCTGAGGAGACAGGAAAGCCTAGAGAAGGGAATGATGCTGGGGAAAGTGGAAGGCAAAAGGAAGAGGGGCCGACCAAGGGCAAGGTGGATGGATGGCATCCTTGAAGTGACTGGACTGACCTTGAGGGAGCTGGGGGTGGTAACGGCCGACAGGGAGCTCTGGCGTGGGCTGGTCCATGAGGTCACGAAAAGTCGGAGACGACTGAACGAATGAACAACAACACAAAACCCATTATTAATAACACATCAACAATATAAAATCACAACATTTAAAACACAGAAGTCAAGCAGTATGGGCAGGGCCAATTGTAATGGAATAAAAAAAAATGAAAACACTGGTTAAGACAGCAGTGTGGAGTATAATTAATAATAATAATAAATTAATAATATATATAATTAATATATTGTGGAGTATTCAATAACCATTATGTAGAGGGTAGGTAAGAATTAAAAGGGTTTAATTTCCTAGGAAAGACAATGGAAAATGGTCATTTTAAAAAAATAAAGTTTATTAGATCAAAAAAAAAAAAAGACAGCAATGTAATGTATCTGGATAGGGAACTGGAGGATGAAGTAGGATTGATTGCACTCGCGGGAGGAGTAAAGTGCTTCCGAGGGCTTTCTGCAAGAATCGGTCAAGTCTAGGGGTTATTGCACATTCATTCCATGAAGGCACACTGGAACAGCCAAGTTTTCAAGCTCTTCCTAAAGACTGCCAGAGTGGGGGCTTGCCTAATCTCTCTGGGGAGCGAGTTCCAGAGCTGGGGGGCCACCACAGAGAAGGCCCTCTCCCTTGTCCCCACAAGTCGCAACTGTGATGGAGACGGGAGTGAGAGAAGGGCCTTTTTGGAAGATCAAAGAGACCGTGTGGGTTTGTACATGGAAATGCGGTCACGTAGGTAGGCGGGTCCCAAACCGTTCATGGCCTTGTAGGTAAGAACTTATGGATCCGGATGGATTCCTGACGGCTCTTGGGGAGTTTCCTGCCGCTTCGGTTGGTGATCCTGTTGAGGCCTTGGTGACTCTCTGGAATAGGGAGATGACCAGGGCTATAGACACGATCGCTCCGGAACGTCCCCTCTCGAGTAGCCGAGCTAAACCAGCCCCTTGGTTTACCGAGGAGCTGGCAGCAATGAAGCGAAAGAAGAGGAGACTAGAGCGTGTGTGGCGTTCGGACCCGAGCGAGTCAAACCGAACACGGTTTGTTGCCCTATTAAGGGCATATGCCGTGGCAATAAAAGCTGCAAAGAAATCCTTCTTTGCGGCCAATATTGCGTCCGCAAAGAACCGTCCGGCGGAGCTGTTTCGAGTTGTCAGAGGCCTATTAAAACCCACCATTGTGGATGGGAGCCCTGGCAACTCGACAGCCCGCTGTGAAGCATTTGCTCGGTTCTTTGCGGACAAAGTCGCTTTGATCCGTTCAGGTCTAGACACCATGTTAACGGCAGTCTCTGAGGATGTGACGAGAGCACCTGTCTGTCCGAGTTTGTTGGATTCGTTTCAATTTGTGACACCTGAGGATGTGGACAAGGTGTTGGGAGGGATGAGGGCAACCACATGCATCCTAGACCCCTGCCCATCCTGGCTTCTAAAGGAGGCCAGAGGGGGATTGGCCGAGTGGGTAAAGGTGGTGGTTAATGCCTCCCTTCGGGAAGGCACAATTCCAGCCAGCTTAAAACAAGCTGTTATAAAACCGCTGTTGAAAAAACCATCACTGGACCCCACTCAATTCGTCAACTATCGGCCTGTTTCCAATCTCCCCTTTTGGCAAAGTCCTGGAACGTGTGGTGGCCTCACAACTCCAAGCATTCTTGGTAGACACGATTATCTGGATCCGGCACAGTCTGGCTTTAGGCCGGGGCATGGTACCGAGACAGCCTTGGTCGCCTTAGTGGATGATCTCCGGCGTGAGCTTGACAGGGGGAGTGTGTCTCTGTTGGTTCTGCTGGATCTCTCAGCGGCCTTCGATACCGTCGACCACGGTATCCTTCTGGGGCGCCTCGTGGGAATGGGCCTGGGGGGCACTGTTCTACAGTGGCTCAGGTCCTTCCTAGAGGACCGTACCCAGAAGGTGTTACTGGGGGACACCTGCTCGTCCTCACAACCATTGACTTGTGGGGTCCCGCAGGGTTCAATACTGTCCCCATGTTGTTTAACATCTACATGAAGCCGCTGGGAGAGATCATCCGGAGTTTCGGTGGTGTCATCTGTACGCAGATGACGTCCAACTCTGTCACTCCTTTTCACCTACTCAAGGAGGCTGTCGAGGTCCTGAACCGGTGCTTGGCCGCTGTGTCGGACTGGATGAGGGTGAACAAATTGAAACTCAATCCAGACAAGACAGAGGTACTCCTGGTCAGTCGGAAGGCCGAACAGGGTATAGGGTTACAGCCTGTGTTGGACGGGGTCGCACTCCCCCTGAAGACACAGGTTCGCAGCTTGGGTGTGACTCTGGATTCTTCGCTAAGCTTGGAACCCCAAGTTTCAGCGGTCTCCAGAGGAGCATTTGCACAGCTTCGGCTCGTGCGCCAGCTGCGCCCGTATCTTGGGAAGTCGGACTTGGCCACGGTAGTCCACGCTCTTGTCACATCCCGCATAGATTACTGCAATGCGCTCTACGTGGGGTTGCCCTTGAAGACTGCCCGGAAGCTTCAGATGGTCCAGCGCTCGGCAGCCAGGTTGCTAACGGGAGCGGCGCTCAGGGAGCACACCACTCCGCTGTTGAGCCAGCTCCACTGGCTGCCAATTTGCTACCGAGCACAATTCAAGGTGCTGGCTTTAGCCTATAAAGCCCTAAACAGTTCTGGCCCTGCTTACCTCTCCGAACGCATCTCCACCTATGAACCAACGAGGACGTTAAGATCGTCCGGGGAGGCCCTGCTCTCGGTCCCGCCTGCGTCACAAGTGCGGCTGGCGGGGACGAGAGACAGGGCCTTCTCGGTGGTGGCCCCTCGGCTATGGAATGCCCTACCAACGGAGATCAGACAGGCCCCGTCGCTACTGGCGTTTAGAAGGCGGGTGAAGACGTGGCTCTTCGAACAGGCGTTCGGATAAGCATGCAATTAACATCTGACTCAGAAAGACGGCATACTGAACAAGGAATGGTAAAATGACTATGAGATTGGATCTGATTTTATTCGAGGCGTGATGACGTTATGTGTATTGTTTGTGGATGTCTGTCATATGCATTGTTCAATGTTGCACTTTTTATTGTAAACCGCTTAGAGTCGCCTCGGCTGATATAGGCGGTATACAAAAGGAGTAAATAAATAAATAAATAAATAAGAACCTACAAAGGAATATTGCAAACATTTCTCTTAACTTGAAATAACCATTGTCACAGTTCTGATCAGAGTTTACTTTTCAGTTCTTATTAGCAACTTTTAATTACAGTCCAGCAAGCAGGTAGCTAGTCATGGCAGACCTTGGTCTTTTACTGGTGCTTCCAAAATTATTAACTCCATCCATACATCCTTCCATTCATACTATATATCATATCAAATGCACATTAATCAATTCTGCAAAAAAAATTAAAAAATTGTGACACAGCCCCCGCAATGCGCAAGTGACTTTGGGTTTGTGGGGCCGTGGTTGATGCCTGTCCTTCCCTCTCCTGCCTCAGTGGACCTTGTGGGGAGCTACAACATTGGCACCATCAGCCACGACAGCAAGATTGACTGGCTGGAGCTGAACGAGACGGGGCACAAGCTGCTCTTCCGGGACAAGAAGATGAAGGTAAGGGGGGCCTGGAGTGGGGGGGGGGGGAGGAGATCTCTGAAGGCCTATGGGAGCTATTCTGCTCCCTAAACTCTCTCTCCATGTACCAACCCGGGCCCTTCGATCTTCGGGGGAGGCCCTCCTTTCGCCCCTACCAATCGCCTAGTGAGTACAAGGGATAGAGCCTTCTCCTCTGTGGCCCCCCGACTCTGGAACTCATTGCCTGGAGAGATCAGGAAAGCCCCCTCACTAGAAACATTCAAAAAGAACCTTAAAACCTGGCTCTTCCGGGGCGCCTTTGGCGAGTAGATGTATAGCATGATACTATTGCTCCCCTCATTGCTTCTGCCACTGGAGTACACGCCCTCCAAATGGGAAGTTTTTACGAGCTCCCTGCAAATAACCTGCTCTTATTTTTATCTCATTAGAATCTTTTAATTGTTTTATCCTGTACATGACCCACAAGGCCTCTTCCAACTCGAGGATTCCAGGATTCTATGAAAAGCCTCTGTGGGGGCATGACAGGAGCCCTTTGCTCCCCCAGTCCCATTGATCCTCGGCCTTTTCTCCTCCTCCCCCTCCACCCCCCCTCCCCCAGCTTCACCTGTATGACATTGAGAGTGCCACCAAGACCACCATCCTGAGCTACTGCTCCTATGTCCAGTGGGTCCCTGGGAGCGACGTGGTGGTGGCCCAGAACCGGAACAACCTCTGCGTCTGGTACAACATCGACACCCCCGAGCGAGTGACCATGTTTCCCATGAAGGTAGGTAGCATGGGCCCCGCCCACTCTTCCTGCACTATGCCTATTGGGAATTCCATATCCTATTGAAAAGGTAAAAAGGATGTCACCTGCGTTTGACAAATATGAATCTCCATGAACATGTGGAGACCACGTTTTGAAAACCACTAGTCAAGAAAAGCATGGCCTTGTTAGGAGTCAACCCTTTGAACTAGTGATATTCATAAGCATTTGTGTAACGGCACACAGGTAATTCAGCTGTTAGACTGAAGAACCACGTCTTTAAACTGCCAGGGATAAAGACATGCCACTGCATAAAAATATATTGGTTAGCAGAGGATGGTTGTTTCTTTGAAGCAGAATTTGCCGTTGCCCAAAAGATATACTCTCCCTTGAAACCTCTTAGTTAAAATATGCACTCAGAGATTAAAAAAACCCAACAGTCTTCTTTGAAAAATAACATAAGTTATAAACAATTTATATTAATTCACCATAAGGGCAAATTTCTTATTAAAGTTCAGTTAGATAAGACGTTGTTTTCCCATTGTGGTCAACTGTGAATCGCACATCCGGTGTGCCTTTCTGGAGTAGGATAACCCCCAGCTCTAAGTCCCAAAAGCACTTTATTAGAGTTTAAGACTCTCTGCACATTGCACTTGCTCAGAAATCCAACATACCACCTGCCACACCCAGCACTTTTTAACCTGTACCCATCACTGGCCCGGCCCTGGTTTTTATTGCCTAATGGTGGCAAACCAGCGTACACATAGAATACAGGTTAGCAAATACATACGTTAACAAATGAATAGTGAGAGGCTTGGGAGGTTTCTCTTTCCAACCATACCCTTCCTCCCCTCCATTCCTCCCTTGGATGGCAGAGAGGCCTGGGGGGCAGGCAGTGGGGCAGTGGAAGGGCAACCCTAAGGTCATGGCTCCTTCCAGGGAGACATTGTGGACCTCCAGAGGGGCAGCGGCAAGACGGAGGTGATTGTGACGGAGGGCGTGAACACCGTGTGCTACACTCTGGACGAGGGGCTCATTGAGTTCGGGACGGCCATTGACGACGGCGACTACCACAGGTCAGGGATCGAAGGGGACCACCCCCCCCCATTGCAGGAGGGGGGGCAGGAGCAGCTCTGGGGCCACAAGCATCCTCCCACCCTCCAGACAACCAGCAACTGGGTTCTGCTGGTTCTTCTTTGATGGGAGGATGCCCTTGGCCCCTGCTTTGGGGGAGAAAAATTGGGATGGTGGGGACGGAACACCTGTAAGTCTCCCCCCTGCTTCTCCCCTTCCTGAGTGAGGGGCCACTTTGCTTTGTGTCTTCAGGGCTATGGTCTTCCTGGAGACACTGGAGATGTCCGCCGAGACCGAGGCCATGTGGAAGACGCTCAGCCGGCTGGCCCTGGAGGCCAAGCAGCTGCACATCGCAGAGAGGTGGGGGCTGGGGCCAACGTGGGGGGGGGGGGGGGGGGGGAGGCTCATTTCTCTAGAGGGAGGTCTGGGCAGACATACCAAACGTGGCCCAGTCTCCCCTCCCTGCAGTCAGCCCCCCAGCTGGAAAGCAAGCAGGTCTTCTGGAGGCAATCTGTCAGAAGCACAAGGGGAGGATAGTGCGAGGGACCAGACATGGCTGTGGGGCGCATCTTCTTTCTCTCTGGACTTTGCAGGGCCCAGAAGTCCCTGGCTTGTATAATAATAACAACACCACCACCACCACCACCAATAATAATAATAATAATAATAATAATAATAATAATATGAAGATTGAAAGATCGAACTGCAAAGACTGTGGCACAAGCCAGTCAAGGGGTCCCCAGTGGTGATTGGCACACTGGGTGCAGTGCCTCAAGACCTTGGCCTGCACTTAAGCACAATCAGCGCTGACAAAATTACCATCTGTCAGTTGCAAAAGGTCATCCTACCGGGATCTGCACACATTATTCGCCAATGTGTTATCCAATACAACAACCAGCAGAGTGATCTTGTTTGCTATGTACTAATCTTTAATAATAATAATAATAATGTATAATAATAATATTTTAAAAACCCTTTATTTATACCCCACCACGATTTCCCCAAAGGGACTCGGGCAGTTCACAAAAATTACACCATAGTGCTGCGACATTTGTGGCAGAATGAAAATCATGTGTAGTTCGCGCTTTTTACCAGTTCACACACTGTCTTTCCAGAGAAAGAAAAATACGCCACACAGATGATCAGTAAAGGACAAAATGTTTACTTTTTAAAATGCAGAACAACATATATAAATCATAAGAACACTTGCATTGACGCACACAATGTCCTTTGAGAGAGATTGAAATGTTTCTTAGGTGTCCATTTGAAAGACCGTCTTCCAGCAGCCCAGAAGCAAAGCTGTCTCTCTAAGCTGCTGCACAGCTAAAACCGAAATATGTAACTGTTGCCAATACTCCCAGGCTCAGCTAGTCTCTTGGGCATAGCCCAGAGAGAGATTGAAATGTTTCTTAAGTGTCCATTTGAAAGAGTGTCTTCCAGCAGCCCAGAAGCAAAGCTGTCTCTCTGTAAGCTGCTGCACAGCTAAAACCTATATATGTAACTCTTGCCAAAACTCCCAGGCTCAGCTAGTCTCTTGGGCGTAGCCAAAATCAACAGACACAGCCAGCTGTAAATAAAACAAGCTGCGTACCATCTCCGCCCATAAAGTGCTAACATAAACAAGCCATTAGATCCTTGGGTTCTGTGGTTTAGGTGCTAATCAGGGTATGGGGCTAATTGTGTGTTTTGAGGAGGGTGGCACCGTGTCCATAGGATCGTGGTGCAAGCCCCTCCCTCCCTTCCCCTTCCTCAGGTGTTTTGCTGCTCTGGGACACGTGTCCAAAGCTCGGTTCCTCCACGAGACCAACGCAATTGCAGACCAGGTGGCCAAGGAGTATGTGAGTGGCACCCAGCTACCTATCTATCTCTCATCTGGAACCCCATGTGCCCCTGTAAGCATGTGTGTACAGGTACACACACAGGTGTATACACCTTAGAGCAGGTATGGGCAAACCTGGGATGTCTAATGTTTTGGACTTCAATTCCCATGATTCCTAGCAGCCTCAGGACCTTTCCTTTTCCCCCTCAGCCGCTTAAGCGGCTGAGGGGGAAAAGGAAGGGTCCTGAGGCTGCTAGGCTGTTGGGAATCATGGGAGTTGAAGTCCAAAATACCTGAAGGGCCCAAGCTTGCTCATACCTGCCTTACAGCCACATGGTACTTTCCTGGCCCCAATCTCGCTCCAATTCCGAAGGGGGGCTGGTCTTTTTCTCTTTCAGGGAGGGGAGGGCACTGACCACTACCAAGTCCGGGTCCGCCTGGCCATGCTGGACAAGAACTACAAGCTGGCGGAGATGATTTTCCTGGAACAGGTGAGCGGCAGCGCAGGTTACCCGGGGCTATCCCCTCCACCACCCTTCCCTGATGCTTCTTTCGCTTCTCCAGAATGCGGTGGAGGAAGCCATGGACATGTACCAGGAGCTGCACATGTGGGAGGAGTGCCTGGCGGTGGCTGAGGCCAAAGTGAGTAGGGGGAGAAGGGAGAGCAGACCCCTCTTGTTTTCTCAGGACCCCCACTCAGCTGCGTCCCCCTCTTGTCAGGATTTATTGAGGTATTATATGTATTACGTGTATGAGTTTTAAATGTAATTCTTGTGTAGCAAATATGGATGCCACTGAGGATGGAAATGCTGTGCTGAAATGTTTATGTTGAGGCTGTGATTAAGTGACCTTAAGATAACACTGTTCTACAAATTTTCAGTTTTTCTCAGTTGCGGAAATGAAATGTGCCGTTTCTTAATAAATTTAACATGCTGAATTCAAATATAATAATTAAATGTGTCAATTGGCTCTGGTTTTTATGCAACAGCTATTTCAATTTTCTCCACAATAGGTAATTCGTTAATGTTATGATAATGCGCCTAACCTTACTGCATTTATATAAACCAGGGGTCGGGAACCTTTTTGACTCAGAGAGCCATGACTCAGAGAGAGTTTTATTTATTTATTTATTCCCCCGGCGGCCCGAGAGGGGGCGTGGCGCGCTCCGCCCCTTTCCCTCCCTCGGCCAGAGCTTCGCTTCTCGGGCGCCGTAGCTGAAGAAAGGCCCCTCTCGCTCTCCCCTCTTCCCCGCTTTCCCTGCTCCGGGCCCGGCGAGGCCGCTACGCGAGGCCGGGGATCGGCGGAGGCGACTAGGCCGCAACGGGTCAAGGTGGGCTTTCGGTGGGGAAAAGATTCCCCGTTGCTTCCCTTCTCCCTTCCTTCCCTCCTCCCTTCCTTCGGGGACTAATCAGCCAAAGGCGGGCTCAGTTCCTTTCCAAGGGAATACACGGGCGAGCCAGATGCACTCATCAAAAGAGCCACACCTGGCTCGCGAGCCATAGGTTCCCGACCCCTGATATAAACTGTGAATATTTACTAAATTTTAGTCAAATTATATTGCCAATCGTTTATACATGAGAAATATTTATTTAATTAGTCTATTGTTTATGTTTGTGCAGCAAGAAACTCTATTAGTAGGCCTAATGCAGTTGAAAAGTCTGAAAGTTTAAATGTTGCTTTAATCGTGACTTTAGTTTTTATCCTGTTTGCTTCTCTTGACTTTTCTTTTGTATTCAAGGAAAGGATTGTGTCGCGACCCACAGAACACAGATTGTCTTAAACAGCAATTGAGATGCAAATAATAGTCTTTTTAATGGATAACAAACTTAAATGAGGCACTTAAACATCAGTGCAAACAGTTCAAACGGTGTTTTCAAACAGGAACGTAAACAGTAGATAAACCAGTATCTAGCAGGCTTGAATTGCAGCCAAAAGTAAACAGGAGATACAGGAACTTGTAGCAAAATGCAAAACAAAATAGTCTCTAAGAATTACAAGGTACGAAGCAAGGTCCGGTGGGCAAACTCGTCGTCAGTCAATTCCAAGGTCAGGAAGCCAGGCGTAACACTCACAAACGAAGGTTCCAAGGTCCGAAGAAGCACGGCAGGAAAACAGGATACTGGAAATCCAAACAAGGTTAGGCAGAGTAACAACGCATAACAACACTTTGTCGTCTGCAAAGAAACAGGTCCCAATGTGCTTATTTTATTCACTATCAGAAGAATGAGATTCATTACTCGCATCTGATTCTGCTTGCGCAGCTGAGGCATCTAAGCCACGCCAAGCTTGCCACCTTTGATCTAATGCCTGATCCTGCCAAGAACATCCCTCATTCCCATTATCCTGAAAACCTTCAAAATCATCACTCGAAGTTGCTTGATTGCAAATGTCTCTAATGTTCTGAACCAGAGTCCAGTCTAAAGGCTCCTCCATCTCATCCTCACTATCACTGGAGTTATCTGCTGTGTCTCTAAGCCTTTTAGACATAGTGTCACTATCACTGCCAGAGTCACTGGCCACTCTCTTCACTCCCCTGTAATCTGCTTCCATAGCTTCCTCTGGGCAGAATCCTGCAAAGTCTTCTGAATCACTGGAAGCCAGAAAGATGTCACGAATGCGTTTCAGCTGGCACTAATTCTCCTCTGCTTCTGCATCACTCCTTCTCCTACTACTACTAGTAGTAGGTATGGTGCCAGAATGCTGAGTCTCAACAGATTGTCTCTTACAATGCTCCAGCAATAGTCTGACAGCATTGACGGAGTCCATTGGCCTTGATATCTTTTTTCCATAGTGCTTTATTGACACACGTGCGAGGAGGCAGAACTACAGTAAAAACAACAATGTAAAACCATGTTTAACAATACTGTCTCAGTCTTCAACTGACTGACCCTCACCGTTCAAAAGTCTGGCCTTATATAGGGCTTCCTGGCTTTTGCACACAGCACTAATACTGCGTCATCAAACTTTCTAGAGTATTCTAGAATCTTCCATAGTGTAAGTCGCAACATGCATTTTTTCAACCACACGTGATCACGTGATTGCTTATATCATAAAAACTAGAGCCAATATACATTTTTAAATGTCATTTTCGCTTTCAGCACCCCAAAATCATAAAAGAACAACTATTTTCAGGCCCGCCACTTTTTCTTCGTTGAACAGTGTAATCTCTCTTCTGCTGAGAACTCTAGGGAGTTGCCACTTGGAGCCCAGAAAGATTAACAGCTGCAAAGTATTGTTTTGACTTTTCGGTTTTCCTCTCTCTTCCTGTGTGTCGCTCGCTGTAGTTGGACATGTTTTTCTGTGCTTAGTAAACTGAGTTTTCTTTTGTAACCAAAGTCTCCAGAGTCCTTGATTTCAGAGCTGTGTCTGGTGGATCTAGCATTTGGCTTCTGTCAAGTTGCGCCTTAAGCTTGACACCTCTCTCCCCTTCAGGGCCACCCAGCGCTGGAGAAGCTGCGCCAGGGCTACTACGAGTGGCTGCTGCAGAGCCAGCAGGAGGAGCGTGCGGCCGAGGTGCAGGAGGGTCAAGGGGACCTGCAGGCCGCGGTGGGGCTCTACCTGAAGGCGGGGCTCCCGGCCAAAGCGGCGCAGCTGGTGGCCGGAGGAGAAGAGCTGCTGGGCAGCAGGGACCTGGTCAACCGCATTGCCACCGCCCTCCTGCGGGGGGAGCTCTTTGAGCAGGTCAGCAGGGCCAGGTACCCCCAGAAAGTGGCGGCAGCAATGGAGTGGGGGTGGGGGTCTGAGTGTGTTTGCAGGGAAAGGGTGTTGGGTGAGTGGGCTTATTGTTGCAACTCAGGGTAGCTTTCACCTTGCTCCAGACACTACCACACCAAAGCTGTAGGTTTTGTAGTTTACTGAGAAAAAAGTATGGGAAATGCAAAAGTTCCATAGGCAGGACAAAGGCTTAAATGCAAAGATAAAGTTCCCAAGATCCAAAGGCAAAAACATGAAGCATAATCCTTTAGCAATCGTCAAACAAGAGTCCATGGAAAACACTTGAAAACCAGGCCCAAATCCCAGACTCAGGAAGCCAGAAGCGTGTTGCTAAAAGCCAAAGTTAATCCACAGAAGTTTGCATGAGAAGAGCTACGTTGGACTGACAGCCCCTGCTTGCCAGCTACAAGGCTAAATACCCTTTGCAGACATGAATGCATTGCATTGACCTTTGGCCCCCTTGGCTTCTCGCTTGCTAGCCAAGCAAGTACTTCTCCAGAGCCTTAATTGCAGACGATCTTGCCTGCTCATTAATTCATTATCTTCAAGGCTATGTAACCCCTTATCTTGGTCCAGCTGGACCGGATCACTGTGGGGAGGAAAAGACGTCTCCACCTGGCCGTGTGAGAACTCACTCTCGTTTTCAGTCTCACTAACATTGCTTTCCCCTGGGAAATGACTTGCTGTTTCTCCTTCAACAGCCCCACCGTCAGCCCTGTCTGAAGCATGTATAGAAATCTGTAATCCATCCTCCTCCTCATCATCCTGTAGGAATTCTGGCTCACAGAGCCAAGCTTCAGACTCAGAGTCAAGCTGAGTCACAACCCTTATTAACAAAAGGCCTGTCCTGAGTTGTCCTTCAAAAACAGCCTTTAGAGAATGTTGAAAGTAAAAGAAAAAGGCTTTACTTGAGCAAACACAAAGGATAAGCCAATGCAATTGAAAAGTGCAAAAGAAAGCAAGGAAGTCTTAATCCAGACACAAATTAAAGTCTCTTACGAAGCCCCAAAAGAAACACCAGTCTTCCATCAGACAACGGGCAATGAACTAAGTTCTTAGCAGCAGACACAAAGCAGATTCCATTGGAGTGAAAACCTCAGTATTAGGGTCGTTGTTACCAGCGAAAGCTGACTGCTCCTAGTTTATAGCCCTGAATTCCCCACGCAGGAGGTGCTAGGGTGTCTCCCAATTAGCTCAGCGTTTTTAGCAGCTATCCTAGCAGAATGCTGTCTGTGCTCTGTCTCTTATCATCTCTCTGGAAACGTAGGCACTTGTAAAACCTCATCATCCAATTCTTCTCCTCCCTCCAATTCCTGAGCACTTCCCTGCTCCCCTTCCTCTTCCGAAGATGAGGAATCCCCAACACCTAAGTCCATAAGTCACCTAAGTCCAAAACAGCAACCTGCATCCTCCTCCACTGAGGTGGAAAGCAAACACATCCACCTCCAATGAGGTGTTCAGCAGATTGAAAACCTCAGTATCAGGGTCGTTGTTACTGCTCCTGCTATTGATTTATAGCCCTGACTTCCCCATGCAGGAGGTGCTAGGGCGTCTCCCAATTAGCTCAGCGTTTTTAGCAGCTATCCTAGCAGAACGCTGTCTGTGCTCTGTCTCTTATCATCTCTCTGGAAACGTAGGCACTTGTAAAACCTCATCATCCAATTCTTCTCCTCCCTCCAATTCCTGAGCACTTCCCTGCTCCCCTTCCTCTTCCGAAGATGAGGAATCCCCAACACCTAAGTCCATAAGTCACCTAAGTCCAAAACAGCAACCTGCATCCTCCTCCACTGAGGTGGAAAGCAAACACATCCACCTCCAATGAGGTGTTCAGCAGATTGAAAACCTCAGTATCAGGGTCGTTGTTACTGCTCCTGCTATTGATTTATAGCCCTGACTTCCCCATGCAGGAGGTGCTAGGGCGTCTCCCAATTAGCTCAGCGTTTTTAGCAGCTATCCTAGCAGAACGCTGTCTGTGCTCTGTCTCTTATCATCTCTCTGGAAACGTAGGCACTTGTAAAACCTCATCATCCAATTCTTCTCCTCCCTCCAATTCCTGAGCACTTCCCTGCTCCCCTTCCTCTTCCGAAGATGAGGAATCCCCAACACCTAAGTCCATAAGTCACCTAAGTCCAAAACAGCAACCTGCATCCTCCTCCACTGAGGTGGAAAGCAAACACATCCACCTCCAATGAGGTGTTCAGCAGATTGAAAACCTCAGTATCAGGGTCGTTGTTACTGCTCCTGCTATTGATTTATAGCCCTGACTTCCCCATGCAGGAGGTGCTAGGGCGTCTCCCAATTAGCTCAGCGTTTTTAGCAGCTATCCTAGCTGAACGCCGTCTGTGCTCTGTCTCTTTTCGTCTCTCTAGAAATGTGGGCACTTTCAAACCCTCATCATCTGATTCTTCTTCTCCCTCCAATTCCTGAGCACTTCCCTGCTCCCCTTCCTCTTCCGAAGATGAGGAATCCCCAACACCTAAGTCCATAAGTCACCTAAGTCCAAAACAGCAACCTGCATCCTCCTCCACTGAGGTGGAAAGCAAACACATCCACCTCCAATGAGGTGTTCAGCAGATTGAAAACCTCAGTATCAGGGTCGTTGTTACTGCTCCTGCTATTGATTTATAGCCCTGACTTCCCCATGCAGGAGGTGCTAGGGCGTCTCCCAATTAGCTCAGCGTTTTTAGCAGCTATCCTAGCAGAACACTGTCTGTTCTCTGTCTCTTTTAGTCTCTCTGGAAACGTGGGCACTTTCAAACCCTCATCGTCTGATTCTTCTTCTCCCTCCAATTCCTGAGCACTTCCCTGCTCCCCTTCCTCTTCCGAAGATGAGGAATCCCCAACACCTAAGTCCATAAGTCATATTTCTCTACTAAAGTCCAAAACAGCAACCTGCATCCTCCTCCACTGAGGTGGAAAGCAAACACATCCACTTCCAATGAGGTGTTCTGCAGAGTGAAAACCTCAGTATCAGGGCCGTTGTTACTGCTCCTGCTATTGATTTATAGCCCTGAATTCCCCACGCAGGAGGTGCTAGGGCGTCTCCCAATTAGCTTAGCATTTTTAGCAACTATCCTAGCAGAACGACATCTGTTCTCTGTCTTTTTTCATCCCTCTAGAAATGTGGGCACTTTCAAACCCTCATTGTCTGATTCTTCTCCTTCCAATTCCTGAGCACTTCCAATACCCCTTCCTCCTCCGAAGATTAGGAATCCCTAACAAGGCCCTCCCTATAAATGCAGAGCAGAGTAACCTCATTAGTAACAGTGTGACCCAACACCAGTAGCCCAAGGTGATTAAAAAATAACAAAAACACACAGACCAATGTGATCTTCCTTAGGAGATCACATTGTGGGATTAACAAAACTCAAAAACCACTGGATGAATTGACATTAAATTTGGACACAATACACCTATCAGGCCAACGAGTGACCATCACTCAGAATAACACTGAAAAACACAGAGGAAAGGACTTAAAAAGGCAAAAAAGCAAAAAAGACGTTACAGCACATGCGTAAAAACAACTCCCCCAGCAAACAAAACACGCAATAGCATATCCATACTCTCTTCCGGACTACAGCTCCCAGCATCCCCTAGTCCAGGCCCTAAGTCCGCAGATCCAAGTCATAGTCCAGAGTTCCAGTCCAAGGCCTATTCATTGACAATTCTCATGAGTCATTGCAGTAGCTGCTCGGTCAGCCGCCCAAATGTTTGGCCCCAAAGCCAAGATTTAAACTTTTTTCTAAAGGAGAGGAGAGAGAGAGTCATAGACTAAGGCCTAACTCACACCTTCTCTCAGAAACCTTTCTCCCACTGAGGTTTACCTCAGACTGACTGCTACTAAACTACAGGCACACTTGCTCATATAGAACTGCAGCTTTTTCTGAGTCACGGCATCCATGTAATCCTTTCAGTGCTTGACCCACATTTTTGTAATTAAAAATACCTATAGTTATTTTTTAATATTTCTGACAAGGGGTTCTCTCTGCCATCCCACCCCTCTTCTCAGAGGAGGTTGCCCTCTTTCAGCCCTGTCTCCCCTCCTTCCCGGCATCTGCTGCAGGGGGCTCCCGTTCACAGCTGTCCTTGCAGGGGAGTGGGACACAAGGTCCTCTCTGTTTGGCCAGTCCCTTGCAGCAGAGTGCTGTAGTGACCGCTCCCCCCCCTCCTTTTTCTTAGGCGGGGGAGCTCTTTGAGAAGATCCGGAACCCGCAGAGGGCGCTGGAGTGCTACCGCAAGGGCTGCTCCTTCCTGAAAGGTAAGTGGGTGGGTTGGGAAGATGGCCCTGGACCTGATGTGCACCTTGACAGACAACTTTTTATTTGTTTGTTTATTTATTTATTTATTTTTACTATATTTGTATACTGCCCTTCTCAGCCCTCAGGCCACTCAGGGTGATTTACAGAGGCAACGATAACACCATAAAACATTTATTGCAATTTCCAGTGTGAGAGGGGACATCAGATTACAGAAAATTATATTTTCAATCACCATTCACACACATGTACATGCATTCATCCTCATGCACCCAAATATTATTATACCCTTTTCTCCCTCCTTGGAGAAGCACCTGTTCGGCCAGACCCTGCTTTCCTGCAGCCTGCCAATGCATAGTTTCATATCTCACATAATGCCATAACTTCAAAACACTGACATTTCAAAACTTCTTTCCCTAAGGACAATGCCAAGAACCAGATATCTGTTTTCCATACCGCAGAATCTGACTCCCTACACAAAATCCAAGATTCCAAAAGCGCACTTCTTCCTCTTCCCCATCGTGGTCCCTGTGAATCGCACATATGGTATTTCCTGCACCTGCACAGATAGTTAGGAATCTTCTAGAAAACCTATTAGACACTTTTAGCTGGTAGCCCCGCCCACTCTCCCCTTGAGAGTATATATAGCCAGTGGGAGGGGCTACTCCCCCAGTTCCTTTCATCCGCCGCTCTGGCAGCAGCTAGGAATCTTTCATTTTCTTCTAGAAAACCTATTAGACACTTTTAGGTGGTAGCCCCGCCCCCTCTCCCCTTGAGAGTATATATAGCCAGTGGGAGCGGCTACTGCCTCAGTTCCTTTCATCCACCGCTCTGGCAGCAGCTAGGAATCTTTCTCTCATTTTTCTTCATCTTTGACTAGCGTTTCTGGACTGCGTGAATTTTTACTATTTTATTTTTATTTTACCGTACTTTAATTTTAGTTCCATAACTTCCATAATGCCATAACTTCAACGTGCCAAAACGAATCCTTTCCCTAAGAACAATGCCAAGGACCAGATCTCTGTTTTCCATACAACAGAACCTGACTCCCTGCACAAAATCTAAGACTCCAAAAGCGCACTTTTTCCTCTTCCCTTGAGAAAGAAGGCCAAAGTGATCAGATCCTTCCATTCTTCCATTCATTCCCACACATCATTAAATTAACACTTATCAAATCTGCACATTGACTTTCTTATTACATGCCTTCCTTCTTCTAAATGGATGGAAGCTCTTTGCCTGGTGCCGCCTGACCCTTGACCCCATCTCTGTGATCTGCAGCAGTGGAGTTGGCGCGCTCTGCCTTCCCGGCGGAAGTAGTCAAGCTGGAGGAGGCCTGGGGTGACCACTTGGTGCAGCAGAAGCAGCTGGATGCCGCCATCAACCACTACATCGAAGCCCGGTAAGCCAGCCCCTCTAGCCCCCTTCCTCTCCCTCCCTGTTGAGGCCTTCTCCTCAGGAGTGTGGTGTCTTCCAGGTGTGCCGTCAAGGCCATAGAGGCCGCCATCGGGGCCCGGCAGTGGAAGAAGGCTGTGTATATCCTGGATACGCTGGACGCCAAGGTGGCCGCCAAGTACTACCTCAAGATCGCCCAGCACTACGCGGCCCTGCAGGAGTACCAGGTACAGCCGGCTCTGCCACCGCCCCTCCCTCACTGGACCCCTGTTCCATGGGACACAATTGACGGAGGGGCCGGGCCTTGGTTCCCTCTGCAGATGGCGGAGGAGCTCTACGTCAAAGGGGACCACACCAAGGAGGCCATCGACATGTACACTCAGGCCGGGCTCTGGGAGCAGGCGCACAAGGTGAGGAGTTGGGGCCTCAGAGCAGTCCAGAGTGACCCTCGGTCTGTGGGTAGAGAGGTAGTGCGCTCTGGGCCTCTCTTGGCAGGTGGACCCCTCCCTCTCTCCCTCCCTCCCTCCCTCGCACTGGCTCCCAGCCCCTCCCCTCCCTCTCCTTCAGCTGGCCTCCAAGTGCATGCGGCCAGAGGACGTCTCCATCCTGTACATCACGCGGGCCCAGGAGATGGAGCACCAGGGCAAGTACAAGGAGGCCGAGAGGTCAGTGCGGGGCCTGGGCCTCAGGGTCGGGGGGGTGGGCAGGGGGTGTGTTGTGGGCCAGGGCCAGCTCAGCCCCAGGTGTGGCCCCTCCCCATCTCAACGCCAGGCTCTATATCACGGTGGACGAGCCGGACCTGGCGATCACCATGTACAAGAAGTGCAAGAAGTACAAGGAGATGCTGCGCCTCCTGGGCAAGTACCACAAGGACCTCCTGAGCGACACGCACCTCCACCTGGGAAAGGTAGGGCAATGCCAGTGGGGTAAGCAAGGGGTCACATATGGGGAGGGGGATGCAGCATGGAGGACGGGTGTTCCCTTGGGTGACCAGTTGGCTGTTGGTGCAGGAGCTGGAGGCGGAGGGGCGCCTGCAGGAGGCCGAGTATCACTACCTGGAGGCCAAGGACTGGAAGGCGGCCGTCAACATGTACCGCGTCAGCAACATGTGGGACGAGGCCTACCGGGTGAGAGCCAAGGAGTGTTGCAGGGGGGGGGGGTGTCAGCCCCAATTGGCAGCTGGAGTCCTGTTGTTGCCTCTGCATATTGCCTTCTGTCTTGGAGGCCACAATGGGACACCGCCCATCCATCTGCTCCCCTTTTACCCTGCTGCAAGGCAGGGAGTATCTACCCCTTGAGGCAACTGACCCCTCTCCTCAGCACCTAACTGCCGCTCTGGGCCAGAGTGAAGAGAGAGGGGGCCAGGGGACAGTTTCATCTTGTCTCCTGGGTATGTCATCAGTTGGGGACCCCTCTCCCCAGCATCAAGTGCCGCTCTGGGCCAGAGTGAAGAGAGAGGGGGCCAGGGGACAGTTTCATCTTGTCTCCTGGGTATGTCATCAGTTGGGGACCCCTCTCCCCAGCACCAAGTGCCGCTCTGGGCCAGAGTGAAGAGAGAGGGGGCCAGGGGACAGTTTCATCTTGTCTCCTGGGTATGTCATCAGTTGGGGACCCCTCTCCCCAGCACCAAGTGCCGCTCTGGGCCAGAGTGAAGAGAGAGGGGGCCAGGGGACAGTTTCATCTTGTCTCCTGGGTATGTCATCAGTTGGGGACCCCTCTCCCCAGCACCAAGTGCCGCTCTGGGCCAGAGTGAAGAGAGAGGGGGCCAGGGGACAGTTTCATCTTGTCTCCTGGGTATGTCATCAGTTGGGGACCCCTCTCCCCAGCACCAAGTGCCGCTCTGGGCCAGAGTGAAGAGAGAGGGGGCCAGGGGACAGTTCCATCTTGTCTCCTGCATATGTCATCAGTTGGGGACCCCTCCCCCCCAGCACCAACTGCCGCTCTGGGCCAGAGTGAAGAGAGAGGGGGCCAGGGGACAGTTCCATCTTGTCTCCCACATATGTCATCAGTTGGGGGGCCCACCCCCCAGCATCAACTGCCACTCTGGGCCAGATTGAAGAGAGAAGGGACCACAGGACAGTTCCATCTTGTCTCCTGCATATGTCCTCAGTTGTGGACCCCTTCCCCCAGTACCAACTGCTGCTCTGGGTCAGAGTGAAGAGAGAGGGGGCCAGGGGACAGTTCCACCTTGTCTCCTGTATATGTCATCAGTTGGGCACCCCTCCCCCCAGTACCAAGTGCCGCTCTGGGACAGAGTGAAGGGGGGGGGGCAGGGGACAGTTCCATCTTGTCTCCCACATATGTCATTAGTTGGGTGCCCCACCCCCAAGCATCAAGTGCCGCTCTGGGCCAGATTGAAGAGAGAGGGGGCCAGGGGACAGTTCCATCTTGTCTCCTGTGCTATGCTAATAATATAATATAATATAATATAATATAATATAATATAATATAATATATTGTAATATATTGTATATACTTATAATATTTATAATATTATAATGTAATCCAATATAATACTAATACTAATACTAATAATATGATATTATAATTATATATTTTATATTGCATATATTACTAATATTACATGCAATATTAGTAATATTACTACTAATATTACAATATAATGGTATAGTACAATATAGTAGTATTTAATGCTGATATTGTACTAATAATATAATGTATTGTATGTATATATATCTTGTAAGCCGCTCTGAGTCCCCTTCGGGGTGAGAAGGGCGGCATATCAATGTCGTAAACAAATAAATAATAAATAAATAACCTGAGGGGCCTTTGCTGGGCTAGGTCATGGGAGTAACTCTCTGGGCGCTCTGTTTTTCTGGAGGGCCCCCATTCTCAACCCCCTCCCCACCCCCAATCTCCCTCTTTTCCTTTTGGGACAGGTGGCCAAGGCCCACGGAGGGGCCAACTCCCACAAACACGTGGCCTTCCTGTGGGCAAAGAGTCTCGGCGGGGAGGCCGCCGTGAAGCTGCTCAGCAAATTTGGGCTTCTGGAGATGGCCATTGACCATGCGGCCGACAACAGGTACGTAATGGGGGACGGGGGAGGTTGAAGAGGGTCTGTGCAGGACTCTGACATGGCCCACGCCACTGGCTGGAAGAGATGGATGTACCGCCCACCCACACCCTGCCCTTGATGGACGACCCATTGCACAGACCACGCTTGTGCGGCCAGAGGGGAGGCGCTCCCCAAGCAGTCCCTCTCCCTGTGCTTCTTTCTCCTCCCACAGCATGTTTGACTTTGCCTTTGAGCTGGCGAGGCTTTCCCTGAAGCAGAGGCTCCCCGAGATCCACTTCAAATACGCCTCCTTCCTAGAGGACGAGGTGCGCGCGTGTTTGCGGGGACGGGCGGACTGGTAGCTGCTCCCAGTGGGCTTCCTTCGTGGCGATGGGCGCGCTGGTGTCCCCTGACATTGCCTCACCTTCCTTCCTTTTCCCTTTCCTTGAATTCAGGGCAAATTCGAAGAGGCAGAAGTGGAGTTTGTGAAGGCTGGGAAGCCCAAGGAGGCCGTTCTGATGTGAGTGGGCCCTCTCCCAACGGGGTGGGGGTGGGAGGTCGGAGGTTTAGCACAGCTGGTAAATCACCAGCAACTATACGATCTACCAACCAAAAGGTTGCCAGTTTGAAGGTCCAGGTCGGTGTGAGCCGCCAACTTTCAAGACCAGTTTACTGTTGACCTAATGCTTGCCATAGATGCAGATGAAACATCAGGAGAGAATGCTTCTAGAACATGGCCATATACCCTGAAAAACCTACAACAATCTAGTGATTCCAGCCATGAAAGCCTTTGACAATACATTGAAACAAACCACCTCCTTCTGTTCTGTCTGTCTGTCTACAGAAAGAGACATGTGTACTGTGATCCGCCCTGAGTCCCCTTCAGTGTGAGAAGGGTGGAATATAAACAAATTGTTATTATTATTATTATTATTATTATTATTATTATTAGCAGCCCCACTTCCACTGACACCTGTCGACTCCCCCTCCAGGTATGCTCATGCCCAGAACTGGGGGGCGGCACAGCGTGTGGCGGAGGCCCACGACCCAGAGAGTGTGGTGATTGTGCTAGTGGGCCAGGCGGACGCAGCCTTCAAGCAGAAGGAGTTCCAGAAGGCAGAGGCCCTCCTACTGCGCGCCCAGCGCCTGGACCTGGCCGTCAAGCACTACAAGGTGGGACACCCCCCCCCCCCATTGCCTTCCTTTCCTTTGGGGCCTCAAAGGGCCTGGGTGAAGGAGGAGAGGGAGAGGCCTGCTGAGGGGAAGGGGTGACAGCCCCCTCTGATCTCCCCCTGCTTTCTGGCCCCCAGGAGGCTGGCATGTGGATGGACGCCCTGAGGGTCTGCAAGGAGTACCTGCCCGGAGACCTGGACGCACTGCAGGAGGAGTACGAGCAGGAAGTGGCCAAGAAGGGGCCCAGGTGAGCGAGAGAGGCAGGATGGCAGCTGGTTGGTCTCAGCCTCTCCCGACAAGGGCCCTTGCTCCCCTCTTCATAATGGCTGGGGGTGTCATAAGTACTTTTAACAATAGGTTCTTTTATTCCGCTTTCAGTGAGACAGGTTGCATGAGGCACTTTCAGAGAAAGCAGTAGACACAGACTCCAGTCCTGGGTTTTATAGTAATTATATTGGTTGCATAGACAAAGGGGGATACTGCATCCACATTTACACATATACTCTAACATTAAATCATTCATTCATCAAGCATTCTTACCATTCTTGTTGAAGATCTCAGCTTTCCCATCGTGGTCAACTGTGAATGGCACATATGGTAATACCTGCGCCTGCGCAGAACAGCTTTCAGGACCTTCTAGAGCAGTGGTTCTCAACCTGGGTTCTCAACCCAGATGTTTTTGGCCTTCAACTCCCAGAAATCCTAACAGCTGGTAAACTTGCTGAGATTTCTGGGAGTTGTAGGCCAAAAACATCTGGGGACCCCAGGTTGAGAACCACTGCTCTAGAGAGTTATTAAACATTTTTGGTGGTAGCCCCGCCCACTCTCCCCAGTGAGTATACAGCCTCCAGTTCTCTTCATCCGCCGACAAAGCAGCAGGAAGAGAACCGTCACTCATTCTTACCATTCTTGTTGAAGATGATCAGCTTCTTGAGAGGAGGCGGCTGTTCATGAAGGTGTTCGGAAATGGTGTTCATTTTGCCTGGCACACTTTCTGAGAGAGAAGGGCCCTTTTATGTAGTATTTTCTGTTGACATGGTTCTGAAAGTTGTAAATTGCTGACAGACAGATTCCATCAGGTCCTGGACAGATGTTGATTTTGTTTAATTGGCTTTCCTTATCAAGGAGCCCTGTAAACATTTCTGTCAGGAGCCACCGTGTTGACTTCCTTACTTAGAAGAACCATTGTCTTTGGCAATGTAAACAAGTTGTTTTTCCACCAAGAGTTCATCAAGTCAGAATGTTGTTGCAATCCAGAGCAGGGAACGAGGCCCTAAGATAACTACCCACCACACTTGACTGTGAAAAACAATCCTTTTTTATTGAAGAAAAATGATTACAAAATAAAGGAGAAATGCAAGTCAAAAGCCACAGCAAAATCAGCAAACATGAATTTAAATTGATAAAGCAAAACCCAAAGCCACACTGTAAAATACTGGAGCCTGTTAGTAATCCACTAACCGTACTTGATATCCTAGAAATCTTTCAAGACAATGGGCCAGGGAAACCGGGAGAACTGCCAAGGTCTTCATTAATTCTGAAACGATGCCTGAACTGAGAAAGTCAGCCCGGCGGGAGGCAATTAAAGCCAAAGAATTGGTTCCGTGAACCGCCCCCCTTCTTTGAAACCAATGTTTGTAATTCTTTAATTCGAGAAGACCTTCGCAAGCTGAGTGATTTACTTCTGTCATGCCAAATCTGGCCCCTTCTGTTGTCATTAGAGTTACCAGGTGCAGAAGGGAGGGAAAGTTCAAGGTCTCCCTCTGAAACATTCTCATGAGCACTGGTACTTTCATTTTCTAAATCTACAGAAGTTCCTTCCTCACTAATTTCAGGATCATTGGCATTTTCCAAACCTACAGCAAATGTCAACAGTTAATCATTTGTCACAGGTCTCATCGGCAATTTTTAATTACAGTCCATGAGTTCTTCACCTCTTTCATGTAGTTTTCCAGGCCTCATTCCTTATCTTCAGTCCAATTAGGCCACATTTGTACGCCTTTCATACAATCTCACTCAAAATATACAGCATATATTATCATGACGGGTGCCAGTCTGGGGGGGGGGGTTTCCCACCCTGCTGCCCCCAATGGAAGGCTGACTCAGGCTGCCTTGGGCCTTGTGTTCTGCAGGGGCCTGGAGGGTCTGGTGGAGCAGGCGCGCGAGTGGGAGCAGGCCGGGGAGTATGCGCGTGCTGTGGACTGCTACCTGAAGGTGCGCGACCCCAGCAACAGTGCCCTTGCCGAGAAGTGCTGGATGAAGGTAAGTGGGGTCTACAGGTTGGGGGGGGTGTGGGGAGGGAAGGAGGGAGCGGCCAGGCCAGAAGGGTTCCTAGGAGGGTGGGGTCTGGAGGGGGCAAGGGGGAGGGGCTGTGTGACCCCCTCTGACCCCTCCCCCTCCCAACAGGCAGCAGAGCTGGCCATCAAGTTCCTTGGACAGCCGCGGAGCACGGAGGTGGTGCGGACGGTGGGGCCGCTGCTGGTGGGCCTGGGCAAGTTCAGCGTGGTGAGTGGGGCAGAAAGGGGGGCTGCAGCCAGAAAAGGGGGGGGGGGACGACGGACACAATCCACTTCGGCAGGTTCTCCTCCTCCGTGGAATGGCAGTGACTCCTATTAGGGAAAACTACCCTAAAATATACAGCAGAGCACCCAAACACAAACAGGATACAAAAGTTGAGCACCAGCTCATTAGAGAGCAGAACGCGAAGTACCATGTAATGTGGCTGTAAAGAATTCAGAGCTTAGGAGGCAAAGAGGCAGAGTCCCATCTTTAAAAAAACCACAAAAGGTTTATTTACAATAATAAAGAACTAACTGCATTTCTGGGTCTGAGAACTGGGTCTGAGCTACTCCAACACCCATCTCTTCTAAGGTTTCAAAGAGAGGAGAGAAAAAACTCGATCACTCCATCTCTCCTGACACACAAGCAGAGAGAGATCTCAAAGCACACAGCACATACTCTCCAGACCAGTGTTTCTCAACCTGGGGGTCAGGACCCCTGGGGGGGTCACGAGGGGGTGTCGGAGGGGTCACCAAAGACCATCAGAAAACCAATTATTCTGTTGGTAATGGGGGTTCTGTGTGGGAAGTTTGACCCAATTCCCTCGTCGGCGAGGATCAGAATGCTCTTTGATTGTAGGTGAACTATAAATCCCAGCAACTACAACTCCCAAATGACAAAATCAATCTATCTCCAACCCCACTAGTATTCAAATTTAGGCATATCAGTATTTGTGCCAAATTTGGTCCAATGAATGAAAATACATCCTACATATTTACATTACGATTCATAACAGTAGCAAAATTACAGTTATGAAATAGCAACAAAAATAATTTTGTGGTTGAGGGTCACCACAACATATGAGGAATTGTGTTAAGGGGTCATGGCATTAGGAAAGTTGAGAACCCATTTTAGGAGTGATGGGATAAGAATGTCCTGGAATGTTTTATAGTATGTTGTCGTAAAGCCATCCGGGCCTGGTGCTTTATGTATTGGTAAATTTTTAATTGTCTTACTTATTTCTTCTATTGCAATCTTTCCATTTAATTTTTCTCTTTGTTCCTCTGTCAAGTCTCGCTATATCCTGTGTCCCCAAATATTGCATCACTTTTTCTTTTGATATATTTCCATTCTCATAGTTTTTTGTAAAAATGTTCAAATTGTTCAATAATATCTTTGGTGTGATAGTAACTTTTCCCCCCTTCTTCTATCTTAGATATGTGTCAGGCCTGTTTTTTGATTACAGTTTTCCTTGCTAGCCATTTCCTTACTTTATTTGCATTTTCAAAGTGCTGTTGTCTTGCAAATTTAAGCTTCTTTTCCATTTCCCCTCATTCTAATGTCTTCATTTGTTACTTTAGTATTTCTAGTTGGGGGAGTACCTTTTTATTTTGGGGATTCATTTTGGCCTGTGTTTCAACTCTCGTTATCTCTTTTTCTAGCTTGTCGTGTTTTTTCCCTCTTTATTTTATTTAGTATCCGTTTTAAACAGCCAATCAGAATGAGAGCAGAAACAGAGAAGACAAATTGTCATTCAGGAGACATGGGGGAAGGGAAACCCTTAGTCTATACTAAGCTAACTAAAGTGTTCCTCATTGAGGACTTGAGACTTGGTCAGTGTGGGATTGAATTCCAACAACCCCTGCCTCCCGTTTCCCTCCCGCTTCTGCAGGCAGCAGAGCTGTATCTGAACCTGGACCTGATCAAGGAAGCCATTGATGCCTTCATGGAGGGGGAGGAGTGGAACAAGGCCAAGCGGGTGGCCAGAGAGCTGGAGCCCAGGTGAGGGAGACTGCCCAGCCCCCATCTCCCTCCTTTCTTCCCTCCCTCCTTTTCCCGGGGCCTTCAGGGGCCACCTTTTTCTCCTGTGGGAGGCCCTCCTCCCCCAGCCTTTCCCTCTCTGGGGCAACGACCGTCATCTTGTGAGAAGGTTTGATAGGGGGTGGGGGTGGCACCTTTTGACCTCCAGGGATCCCATGCTGCATTGGGAGCCTTCCTTTTGTGACGATGCCAGGGCTCTGCCTTATTCAGGTAGAGATGAACCAAACTCCCAGTTTGTGTTAAACAATTTAATTAAAACAGCACTTACTTTCTGCCTGTTTTAATAGTCCAAAACATAAAGCATAAAGATAGCACTCAGCCACAGAATATAGAACAAAACTGTCAGCAAGCACTGCTGCAGGTTCAAGATAACACCGTAGTCAAAAGGTCCAGTCTAGTGGTCAAACGCCGAGAGTTCAATGAGCAAAGTCCAGGGATCAAGATTCTATACCGTAGTCAGAAACCAGTCCAGAGATTCAAGGTATCAGGATTCCAAAGGTTCAGGAGACAGGTCAGGATACCAAAAATCCACAATGATGGAAGAGTTAATGTAAGTCTTAAATTCTAAAGGGCTGAGTAAATTTATTTGTTTGTTTGTTTGTTTGTTTGACTTGTACTCCCAGTTTGGCTTGGAGCGGTTTACAAAAGCAAATTAAAACAATACAATTAGCTTTAAAAATAACCATAACAATAACAATAAGCAAGCAAGAACAGGCATAGCCCGGGTTGTTCACCCATCAAAAGCTTGCCGGAAAAGAAAAGTTTTACAGGCTTTCCGAAAAGCAAGTAGATCTCGGATGGTTCGAGTTTTGACCGGCAAGGCATTCCATAAATAAAAAGCCCTAGGATATGGGTTGCTTACCTGTAACTGTAGTTCCTTGAGTGGTCACCTGTGAATTCGCACATATGGTAGTTTCTGCGCCTGAGCAGACAGCTTCGGAACCTTCTAGATAGATTTAGAAACATTTTGGCAGTAGCCCCGCCCACTCTCCCCTTAAGAGTATAAGTAGCCAGTGGGAGGGGCTACTGCTCCAGTTCTGCCGCGAAAGCAGCCAGAAAAACTGAGGCATGACAACAGCGGGGATGATGGGTGTGGATATGGGAATTCATAGGTGACCACTCGGGGAACTATGGTTACAGATGAGCAACCCATATTCCCCCATCGTGGTCCCTGTTAATCGCACATATGGTAGTTTCTGCGCCGAAGGGCCCGAAAGTAGTTGCTGGGCAAGAAGGCCCTCTGCAGCTCCAAGTCCAACACAGCTCCAATAAATTGGATTCGGCGTGGAAGCTGCAGACAAGATTTCTCCAGGTTCACAACGAGACCTAGGACTGGAGGAAAGAGAAAAAAATCCTCTATCCCTCTGTCCCTCCTTTGCAGGTATGAGGAGTATGTGGACCAGCACTACAAGGAGTACCTCAAGAACCAGGGCAAAGTGGACTCGGTAAGGAGTGGCTCTGGGGAGACAGTGTGCGGGGAGGAGTCTGGCTGGATGGCCATCTGTGGGGAGGGAGTGGGCCTGACCGGAGGGCTGGGGATGTTGTATTCCAAGGCGGGAAGTATAATAACTCCTTAGGGAGGTTATCAAGGCAGGGGGTCAAAGAATCCCACCGCTGCCACCAATTATAATAACCTCCTTAAGGCCGTCTGGGCAGGGGGGTCAAAGAATCCCACCACTGTCCCCAAATTATAATGATATAATTTCTTGATGGCCAAACAATATCACTGGACAGGGGGCAAGCAGATCCCAACACTGTCCCTCCTTCAATAAGGAATTCACACCACTTTGGCTCTTATAGCGTTTGAGGGAATGTCTCTTTCTTTAAAACCTTCGCTGCCACCATAAACTGAAGAATAACGAACCCTCTAGCTATTTAGAATGTTAAAAGGCTGTTTAAATTATTAAAAGGCTTTTTTACTCCACCAAATACTGTGTAATAACAAGGGCTTTCTTTGAGGGGAAAAAATGGAGAGGTTGATTCAACGAAGAAAAGGATTCCATCCAAAAATGGCACTTGACTCAGGCTTAAGTTTTAAAAATAACAAGAAAGAGTTTATTGATTACAAATTACAGAATTATAAGTGAATGCAGGTTCAGAGGCTTGGCTGTTACAAATAAAAGTGTTCTTGTTTCTTAGAAGCGTAATGGTTACTTGAGAGAATGGTTCTTTCCTTTGTTACAATTTCTTAAACACAAAAAACCAGCTATTTTTTCCCTAAAATAGCTGTAACCAGTTTGCCACAGCCTATTTCACTGTGCAAACTCCAGGCAAACTGCCTATTCTAATAACGAACTCCTAATACATCCAAATCCTACTCTAATCTCTCTCAGAACTGAACTGCTCTCTCCTCTACTCAGAACTGCTCTCTTCACTAAACTAAAACTGAACTGTCCAAATTAAGCTGCTCTCTTTCCCTCCATCTGGCTAACTCCGCCCCTCTTTTCCAAACCAATCCTGGCTGTTGCTGGGCTGGCTCAGGCCTAGGCCACTCCCCCTCTCTGAACTGGAGCTTTTTCCCTAAACTAAGATGGCTCCAGCAGCTCTCTGCCAGGCCTTCTAAGCTGAAACCACCCAGCCTGTCTCTTCCTGGGCCCTGCCACCCCCAGCTGGCAAGGTAAGGGATCTTTACAGGAAGCACCTCTGCACTTAACAACCACACTCCAATCCAGTGTAAATCAACAAAGCAATGTATTGAAGAATATATAAAAAATAGTTCAGCAAAAATAGTAAAAACATCTAATTGTAAGAAATAGTCCATAAAATCCAAGATACAAGCGTTGTGTCACAAACCAGGAAATGCAATAGAGTCAGGATACACAAGGCAACATAAAATCCGATACACAGAATTCAGGAACAATCCTTTACACTTGGAAGCATGGAACATGGACTGCTGGAGACATGAAACTAGAATTCCCTTAGCTGGCTTGTCTAGGACTTGACAAGAGATGTTGCTTCAAACTCCAACGTTGACCAGACTACTGAAAAATCCCTCTCGTCTCTCTAATAAAGCCATGAAATCAGGCCATTTGCCCTGGCAAACTGATCGTGGCTTCCAAGTGTAAAGGATTTTTTCCTGAATTCTGTGTATTGGATTTTATGTTACCTTGTGTATCCTGACTCTCTTACATTCCTGGTTTGTGACAGAGTCCGTGAAGCAGCTCAGAGTTTGCAAAAACTAAGTCTCCTATCTAGCAGCTCATCAACCTCTCCCCCTGGCAGTTCATCCTCTGAACCCGCTTCCCTAGAGAAAGACTTCTCTGGGTCCCTCTCTGGAATGTGACCTTCGCAGGAGACACCGAGTGCTCAATTTCAGGACTTAAAATCACATGCTGGCTCGCAGGCTCAGCAGGCCCAGAAACCCCATGACCCCCTTCCTCATGGACATTAGGCACAATCATTGGTTGAGTTACAAAAGGAGAAGAGCGCTGGCTGTGTGCCAGGTGAGTTCTCCAAATCATCCCCCATAACCACAGTCTCCTTTCCTGGCAGCTGGTGGGCGTGGACGTGGTGGCCGCCCTGGACATGTATGTGGAGCGGGAGCAGTGGGAGAAGTGCCTGGAGACTGCCGCCAAGCAGGTGTGTTGCTGAGGGTGGCGTGGCCATGGAGGTGGAAGCATTAGCGTCATCCTCATTGGCCCCTTCGAGGTGACCCCTGCCCACTCCTGTCCCCCTCCCCCTTGCAACACAGTCCTGACCCCCTCCCCCTTCTGCTCCCACAGAATTACAAGGTGCTGCACAAGTACGTGGCCCTCTACGCCACGCACCTGATCCGGGAGGGCAGCTGGGAGAAGGCCCTGGGCCTCTACGTCCAGCACGGAGCCCCCGCCAATGGTCAGGTGAGCAGGGGAGGGGGGGACGCAGTGGGGAGGGGTCAGCAGGGGGGCGGCAGGAGGGCATGGAGCACAACACGAGGCCCCCTGTCAGGAGTCAATTTCTGACGGCATGAAGACATCACAAATTCCCTCCGTGACATCCTGACTGAATCATCCTGGCTGAATGAATTCTCTCTCTGTGACATTTTGAAGCCAGCAGATTGCGCTGGAAACCTTGTATGGGAACTTGTGAAGCAACAAGCTCTAATAAGGAAACTGAGAAGAGGGGGAGATGGGCAAGAAAGGTGTCTAAAAGGAAGTGGTGGTGGGGAAAAGTCACTAGTGTCTTTCTTTGCTGCAGAGATACAAGCAATATATCCATTTCAAAGCAAAACCGGCTTGTGAGTGGTCATTTAATACTGCTATATAAAACCTACAGTCTTACATCCCCCCTCATTCCCCTGCTTTTCCCTCCAGAACTTCAACATCTACAAGCGGCTATTTGTGGAGATGGTGAACGCAGGCGGCATGAACTGCGCAGAGGCCTACCACCGCTGGGCTGACCTGCGGGACCTCCTCTTTGGCCTGGTGAGACCATGCCCCCTCCTCCTCCCTCTCCCTTCCTCTCCAGCCGTCTCCACTGGGGGGGGGGCTCCTGAGTCCATCCACAGCCTTGGAGGGGGCCACTCTCCTCAGCAGCAACCCTGGGAAGCTATAGATCCCATCACACACATACCCCAGTTGCACAGTCAGACTGTAGGGTGCAGCGGACCCCAAGCCCAGGCCCCTTCTGCTCAGGGCAGGGTCCCCCACAGGATCAGGGAGTTGCCCAGAAGGAGATGCTGGCTCCTGCTCATGTTTGGTCAGAATCTCCCCTCCTGTGACTGAGAACATGAGGCAGCCCTGGAGGCACCCCTCCCCGCCTGCCCTTCTCTGGTCCAAACAGGCCGAACTAATCTTCCAGCCTCTCCTCCTAGGCTTTTTTTTCTGTATTAGTGTCCATATGATTCTTCTCTGACTTCCAAAAGAGGCACCTGGAACTGAAGGCAAGACGCCAGGTTGAGGCCTCATCTCCACAAAATGGGTGGGTGGGTGGGTGGGTGGGTGCAATGACCCCTGAACTGCCTCTCTTTAAGACAGTAATTCCCAAACTGTGGGTTCCCCCCCCCCAGATGTTTTGGCCTTCAACTCCCAGAAATCCTTACAACCAGCTGAGATTTCTGGGAGTTGTAGGCCAACACACTTGGGGGCCCTCAGGTTGAGAACCCCTGATCTATGCTGACGATCGTGCCATCACCACTTAAGCAGGGAGCTTTGAAACAGAATCTCTGCAAAGATCTAGGGCAGTGATTCCCAACCTGTGATTCCCCAGATGGTTTGGTCTTCAACTCCCAGAAATCCTGAAAGCTGGTCAACTGGATGGGATTCCTGGGAGTTGTAGGCCAAAACACTTGGGGAGAACCACAGGTTGAGAACATGCTGAGATATCACTTGCCTTCTTCCCGACAGCTTCATGGCAGGCTCAAGTTCAACAAGAATACCAAGGTCTTTTTTCACATCTCTCCAGGAACAAGTGTTGCCTCTATTGTACTTGTATTTGGGGTTTTGTGGCCGCAGCGTAGAATTTTGCACGTGTCCCTGGGGCGTTGCATTGTGCTGTTTTTTGGACTCACTGAGACTCGTGTCAACTCTATTTCCCAAGTGTGCTTTGAGATTAGGGAAGGGCTCGTCCAAAACGCCTGTTTCTTTGGCCCCTGAGGTTTGCTGTCTGTGCTCCCCCACCCCCACTACTTTTGCAGTGTGAAAACCTGGTCAAGTCCAGCGAGGCCAACTCACCTGCGCACGAGGAGTTTGAGCGCATGCTACTTGTGTCCCACTACTACGCCACGCGCTCTGCGGCACAGAGCATCAAGCAGCTGGTGAGGAGGGGGGGAAGGAGGGAGGGGTGAAAAGGGGGTGCCCCACTCCCCCAGGTACCCGCCCCCTCCTGTGTCCTCCTCCTCCAGCCCCCAAAGTCAGGCCCTTTCTTGGGACCTTAGCCCGCTCCCTCCTCTGGGCCAAGGGCAAGGGGGGCTTGGGCATCTGGGGGCCCCTCCGGAGCACATGGAACACCAGCTCTGCCTCCCCAGGACACCATGGCGGCCAAGCTCTCCGTCTCCCTCCTGCGACACACGGACATCATCCCGGTGGACAAGGCCTTCTACGAAGCTGGGACGGCGGCCAAGGTGAGCAGGAGGGCGGGGCCACTGGGCCAAATGCACAGGATAAAAATGGATAAAACCCTGGGTTGAGATAAGTAAATGGAGTAAGATGCCTCTCAACCACCCCCCAGGACCCTCACCCTCACACACACACATGCACGCACGCACTTCATCCCCAGCCATGGGTCCTGCCTTGAAGGAGTCCATTGTAGTAGGGCTGCCCCATGGTTCTTTCTCCACCTCAGTCAGAGGGCAATGGACTCCCTCAAGGCAGGACCCATGGCTGGGGATGCAGTGCGTGCGTGCATGTGTGTGTGTGAGGGTGAGGGTCCTGGGGGGTGGTTGGGAGGCATCTTACTCCATTTACTTATCTCAACCCAGGGTTGTATCAATTTTTATCCTATGCATTTGGCCCGTCTGCTGTGGTTTAATTCCTCCACCATCTTATTTTGCATTTGTTTATTGTATGTTTTGTTACGGTTTGCATTTTACTTTGATATTATTATCTGTTTGCTCTGTGGTTTTATTCCTCCACCATCTTATTTTGCGTTTGTTTATTGTATTGTTACTGTTTGCATTTTTGATGTTATTGTCTGTTTGCTGTATTGTAATTCTTGGGCTTGGCCTCATGTTAGCCGCCCCGAGTTCCCTTTTGGGGAGATGGTGGTGGGGTATAAAGATTATTATTATTATTATTATTATTATTATTATTATTATTATTGACACAAAAGCACAGTATGTCATAGCAAACGAGATGCTGGGTTTCATATCACAAAATCACAAGTTGAACACTTCCCAAGCATCTAGGATGCTTAATATTATTATTATTATTATTATTATTAACACAAAAGCACAGTATGTCACAGCAAACAAGATCTATATGCCGGATTTTGTATCACAAAATCACAAGTCAAACACTTCCCAAGCGTCTAGGATACTTCTTCTTCTTCTTATTATTATTATTATTATTATTGACACAAAAACACAGTATGTCACAGCAAACAAGATCTATATGCTGGATTTCATCACAAAATCACAAGTCGAACACTTCCAAGCAATCTAGGATGTTATTATTATTATTATTATTATTATTATTATTATTATTATTATTTGACACAAAAACACAGTATGTCATAGCAAACGAGATCTCTATGCCGGATTTCGTATCACAAAATCAAAAGTTGAACACTTCCCAAGCATCCAAAAAATGAAGGAAATGCTGAGCAGCATTCCGTGGACACAGATACTAAAAGACAAGGGAGTTACGGATGGATGGGAATTTCTCAAGAGTGAAATACTCAAGGCGCAATTGCAAACCGTGCCAACAAAGAGAAAAAATAGGACAAGTGCAAAGAAGCCAGAATGGATGTCCAAAGAACTTCTAACTGTGCTAAGACACAAAAGAGACATGCACAAGAAGTGGAAAAAGGGAGAAATCACCAAAGAAGAATTCAAACAAATAGCCAACACCTGTAGGGAAAAGGTCCGCAAGGCTAAAGCACAAAACGAGCTCAGGCTTGCCAGGAACATTAAAAACAATCAGGCTTCTTTTCTTATGTCGGTAGAAAAAGGAAAAACAAGGAGGCGATAGGACCTCTTCGAGGAGAAGATGGGGCAATGCTGACAGGGGATAGGGAAAAGGCAGAACTACTTAATGCCTTCTTTGCCTCGGTCTTCTCACAAAAAGAGAGTCTTCAACCTCAGCAAGATGGAGTGGATGAGGGATTGGAGGACATCCAACCCCAAATTGGGAAAGAAGTCATCCAGGAATACCTGGCCTCTCTTAACGAGTTCAAGTCCCCCAGGGCCAGATCAACTACACCCCAGAGTATTGAAGGAACTAGCGGAAGTCATTTCGGAACCATTGGCAACCATCTTTGAGAGTTCTTGGAGAACGGGAGAAGTTCCAGCAGATTGGAGGAGGGCCAATGTGGTCCCAATCTTCAAGAAGGGAAAAAAGGATGACCCAAACAACTACCGTCCGGTCAGCCTCACGTCGATACCGGGCAAGATTCTGGAAAAGATTGTTAAGGAAGCGGTCTGCAAACACTTAGAAACAAATGCAGTCATCGCTAAGAGTCAACATGGATTTATCAAAAACAAGTCATGCCAGACTAATCTGATCTCTTTCTTCGATAGAGCTACAAGCTGGGTAGATGCGGGGAATGATGCCGTGGATGGAGCGTGTCTGGATTTCAGGAAGGCCTTCTTCGACAAGGTCCCCCATGACCTTCTGGCAAGGAAACTAGTCCAATGTGGGCGAGGCAAAACTACGGTGAGGTGGATCTGGAATTGGTGAAATGGACCAACCCAGAGGGTGATTCTCCCCAAGGCTTCCTCCTCTTCAACGAAAGAAGTGACGAGTGGAGTGCCATCAGCAGGGTTCCGTCCTGGGCCCGGTCCTGTTCAACATCTTTATTAATGACTTAGATGAAGCGTTAGAAGGCAGGATCATCAAGTTTGCAGACGACACCAAATTGGGAGGGATACCCAATACTCCAGAGGACAGGAGCAGATTCAAAACGATCTTGACAGATTAGAGAGATGGGCCAAAACTAACAAAATGAAGTTCAACACTGACAAATGCAAGATACTCCACTTTGGCAGAAAAAATGAAATGCAAAGATACAGAATGGGGGACGCCTGGCTCGAGAGCAGTACGTGTGAAAAAGATCTTGGAGTCCTCGTGGACAACAAGTTAAACATGAGCCAACAATGTGATGTGGCGGCAAAAAAAAGCCAATGGGATTTTGGCCTGCATCAATAGGAGCATAGTGTCTAGGTCCAGGGAAGTAATGCTACCCCTCTATTCTGCTTTGGTTAGACCACACCTGGAATATTGTGTCCAATTCTGGGCACCACAATTCAAGAGAGATATTGACAAGCTGGAATGTGTCCAGAGGAGGGCGACTAAAATGATCAAGGGTCTGGAGAACAAGCCCTATGAGGAGCGGCTTAAGGAGCTGGGCATGTTTAGCCTGAAGAAGAGAAGGCTGAGAGGAGATATGATAGCCATGTATAAATATGTGAGAGGAACTCATAGGGAGGAGGAGGGAGGGAGCTTCCTTTCTGCCTCCCTGGAGACTAGGACGCAATGGAACAATGGCTTCAAACTACAAGAGAGGAGATTCCATCTGAACATGAGGAAGAACTTCCTGACTGTGAGAGCCGTTCAGCAGTGGAACTCTCTGCCCCGGAGTGTGGTGGAGGCTCCTTCTTTGGAAGCTTTTAAACAGAGGCTGGATGGCCATCTGTCAGGGGTGGTTTGAATGCAATATTCCTGCTTCTTGGCAGAATGGGGTTGGACTGGATGGCCCATGAGGTCTCTTCCAACTCTTTGATTCTATGATTCTATGATCTATTAGCTTATTATTATTATTATTATTATTATTATTATTATTGACACAAAAGCACAGTATGTCACAGCAAACGAGATCTATATGCTGGATTTCGTATCACAAAATCACAAGTCGAACACTTCCCAAGCGCCTAGGACTGTGTGATGTATTTTTGAATGATGTGCGCAGATCCAAGTATTATTATTATTATTATTTTACTGACACAAAAGCACACTATGTCACAGCAAACGGGATCTCTATGCTGGGTTTCGTATCACAAAATCACAAGTCGAACACTTCCCAAGCGTCTAGGACTGTGTGGTGTATTTTTGAATGATGATGATGATGATGATGATGATGATGATTATTATTATTATTATTTTACTGACACAAAAGCACAGTATGTCACAGCAAACGAGATCTATATGCTGGATTTCGTATCACAAAATCACAAGTCGAACACTTCCCAAGCGTCTAGGACTGTGTGATGTATTTTCGAATGATTCATGCAGATCCAAGTAAGGTTATTATTATTATTATTATTCACACAAAAGCACAGTATGTCACAGCAAACGAGATCTCTATGCTGAATTTCGTATCACAAAATCACAAGTCGAACACTTCCCAAGCGTCTAGGACTGTGTGATGTTGTTGTTGTTGTTGTTATTATTATTATTATTGTTATTGTTGCCCATTTAGAGGGGTTCCCTGCCTTCTCAGCTCCAGACCCCCTGAGTTGGGAAGTGTGTATGTTTATGTTTGTGTGTGTGTTTAGGGGGCATAAGCTCATTACCCTCACAGGAGACCCCACCACCACCACCCACTCCCCTTTTTCCTCAGGCTGTTGGTTGGGAGAACATGGCCTTCATCTTCCTGAACCGCTTCCTGGACCTGACAGACGTGAGTCTCCCTGTCCTTCTTGAAGTGTGGGTGGGTGGGGGGCTTGTGGGGTGTGGCTCTTGGGGTCTGTACCAACCACCCCACCTCACACACCCCTTGCCCAGGCCATTGAGGAGGGCTCCCTGGACGCCTTGGACCACGCCGACTTCCAGTACACGGACATTCCTTTCGAGGTGCCCCTCCCGGCCAAGCAGCACGTCTCCGTGAGTGGCAGCAGACCTTTCTAGGAGGGAGGGAGGGCATTTCCCCAGGCCAGGCCAAGGGGCACATCCTCCCTCCATGCACCTGCCCCTCCCCTTCCCCACATGTCTGTCCCCTGCCCATCCGTCCGTCCGTCCATCAGGAGGAGCATCGGGAGGAGGTGCGCGACTGGGTGCTGACGGTCTCGATGGACCAGCGGCTGGAGCAGGTTCTGCCGCAGGATGAGCGCGGCACCTACGAGGCTTCCCTGCTGGCCCCCTCCACCGGCGTGCGCTCCCTGCCCTGCCTGGTCACCGGTAAGGAGGGCACCAGGGGAGGGGGGCATGAAGAGACCGGGGGGGGGGTCCTTCTTGTCTCCTGCATAGGTCATCAGTTGGGGACCCCAACTAGCTGTCCCCTGCCACATGTTGCTGTGGCCCACATGGGGGTTCTGTGTGGGAGATTTGGCCCAATTCTATCGTTGGTGGGGTTCAGGATGCTCTGTGATTGTAGGTGAACTATAAATCCCAGCAACTACAACTCCCAAATGTCAAGATTCTATTTTCCCCAAACTCCACCAGTGTTCACATTTGGGCATATTGAGTATTTGTGTAGGGTTTGGTCCAGATCCATCATTGTTTGAGTCCACAGTGATCTCTGGATGGAGGTGAACTACAACTCAATTCGCGCAGTGGTTTTTGAGTTCTGTTAATCCCACAAACGAACATTACACTTTTATTTATATAGATTATTTATAATATTATAACGTCGTACAATATAATAATACTAATAATAATGTATTATAATTATATATTTTATATTACATGTAATATTACTAATAACATTACAATATAATGGTATAGTACAATATAGTAATATATAATACTGATACTGTAGTATGCTAATAATATATTGTGTGTATACACACACACACACACACACATCTGGTAAGCTGCCCTGAGTCCCCTTTGGGGTGAGAAAGGCGGCATATAAATGTTGTAAACAAACAAACAAATAAATAAATATGCATGCGCAGCGCACTCTCCTGCGCAAGGAATGGCCCAGGACTCCCACCTGTCCCTTCTCATGAGGCTTGTGCAGGAGATGGGTTTGGCAGCATTCTTCTGATGGGATCATTAAGGGAGGATTCTATGGGGGGCAGGAGGAGGAGGAGGGGCTTCCTGGGGGTGCCACCTCCCCCCTCCCCTGGCAACAGCTGTCCTCCCCTGCCCCTCCCTCCATCTCAGGCTACCCAGTGCTGAGGAACAAAGTGGTCTTCAAAAGCCCCGGGAAGGAGGCCAACAAGGAGAGCTGGAACAAGTTCCTGATGGCGGTCAAGGTGAGGCCAGAGTGGGGTCCTGGGGGAAGGGGGAGCGGGGGCCAGTCTCTGGTCTTCCCAGTGCCCTGCCTCCCATTGGCAGAGGTAGCCAGGTATATATATGTGAGAGGAAGTCCTAGGGAGGAGGGAGGGGGCTTCCTTTCTGCTTCCTTGGAGACTAGGACGCAACGGAACAATGGCTTCAAACTACAAGAAAGGAGATTCCACCTGAACATGAGGAAGAACTTCCTGACTGTGAGAGCTGTTCAGCAGTGGAACTCTCTGCCCCGGAGTGTGGTGGAGGCTCCTTCTTTGGAAGCTTTTAAACAGAGGCTGGATGGCCATCTGTCAGGGGCGCTTTGAATGCAATATTCCTGCTTCTTGGCAGAATGGGGTTGGACTGGATGGCCCAGGAGGTCTCTTCCAACTCTAGGATTCTATATTATTATTATTATTATTATGCTAGTCTCCAGGGCAGCAGAAAACAAGCTTGCTCCCTCCTCCTTCCTAGGACTTCCCCTCATTTATTTATTTATGTATTTAAACCATTTATACTCTCAGTTCTTGTGGGTTTTTTCGGGCTATATGGCCATGTTCTAGAGGCATGCCTCTAGAACATGGCCATATAGCTCGAAAAAAACCCATAAGAACTGAGTGATTCCAGCCATGAAAGCCTTCGACAATACATTTATACTCTGCTTTCCTTGCAGATGTCTCACAGCCCCCCCTGCCAGGACATCCTCCGGTTTGTGGGCCAGTGGTGCGGGGGGCTGCCCACCTCCGGCTTCTCCTTCCAGTGAAGTCCTACCTGGCAGCCAGGCCCCCCCTCTCTTCCTCCTCCCCCCCCCCAAGAAATTCCGGAAGTCCTCCTTGTATTTATTCTCCTGGATTAAACCTTGTTTCTACATCCCTGTGCTTCTGGGGGCTTCTTTGCGGTGGGCTTGGGGAGGAGATGGAGATGGGACCTGGGACCCCCCTCCCATTGGCAGAGAGGGCCTCCTGCCCCTTCCCACCCCGTGGGGGGGGGGTTGTGTGGGGTGGGGGGGATCAGGGAGAGAAAAAGGTGCAACGGCAGCCAAGTCCTTACAAAACTGTTTATTAAAAATAGGAACAGAAACAACACACGGGTGGAGGGGGTCCCGGCAGCCCAAGGGAAGAAGGCCCCCCATTTCCATTAACCAGCTCCGCCTCCCACCGACTCCCCCCCCCCCATCACAGCCTCTGGCCATTGGCCTCATAAAGAGAACAGCCCCCTGCCCCACCCACCACCACCACCTCCACCACCACACCACCCCCTTTCCTTCCTGCTTGCCTGCCTGCCAGGGGCCCTTTGGGGGAAAGGGAAGGGCCCCCCACGACTGATGATCATGGGAGCCCAATGGGGTGGGAAGGAGGGGGGCTTTGGGGGCTCCTCTCCTCCCTTAAATAACAAGACAGACCTCTCTGTGCTGTGCAAAAACTCTGTACAATTCAAGCAAAAGAAAACTCCATGCGGGTTTTTTTCTGAAGGGGGGGGCCTTGGGGCCACAGGGGAAAGAGTAATAATACTGTCACAAGGCGCGTGGCCCCTCCCTCGCCCAACTTGCCCCCTGCCCCCCATTCCGGCCCCCCAACGGTGGCATCGATTGTCTGCAGGGCGGCCGGCAGCGGCATGCAGGCAGCAACGCGGCAGCGGCAAAGGAGGCGGCGGGGCCAGGTCTCGGTTGGCTCTCTGCGCGGGGCGGCGGCGGCAGCAGTGGCGGCAACAGCGGCGGCGGCGGTGCCGAGGGAGGGGCGGGTTTAGGTGGAAACCGTGACAGCCGCCATGCCCCCGTTCCGCGAGAAAAGGAACTTGCTGAAGGCGTCTTCAAGTAAACAGCTCAGCCGGCCCTGATCCGCCTGCACAAGGGAAAAGGGGAAAAGGGGGGGGGGTCAGGGATCAGACAGGACGGGGGACCCTGGCCCTGAAACAGTCCTCGGGGGAGGTGTCACAAAAATATCACTGCAGATTTGATCAATGTGGGTGGGAATGAATGGAAGGATGTATGGATGGAGTTAATAATGTTGGAAGCAGTAGTAAAATATTAAGGCCTGCAACGTCTAACTACCTGTTTGCTGGACTGTAATTAAAAGTTGCTAATAAGAACTGAAAATTAAACTCTGATCAGAACTGTGACAGTGGTTCTTTCAAGTTAAGAGAAATGTTTGCAACATTCCTTATGATAAGAGGAATGGAAGGATGTATGGATGGAGTTAATCATTTTGGAAGCACCAGTAAAATATTAAGGCCTGCCATGACTAGCTACCTGCTTGCTGGACTGTGATTAAAAGTTGCTAATAAGAACTGAAAAGTAAACTCTGATCAGAACTGTGACAATGGTTCTTTCAAATTAAGGAAATGTTTGCAACATTCCTTATGATAAGAGGAATGGAAGGATGTATGGATGGAGTTAATCATTTTGGAAGCACCAGTAAAATATTAAGGCTGGAATGTCTGACTTCCTGCTTGCTGGACTGTAATTGAAAGTTGCTAATAAGAACTGAAAAGTAAACTCTGATCAGAACTGTGACAATGGTTCTTTCAAATTAAGGAAATGTTTGCAACATTCCTTATGATAAGAGGAATGGAAGGATGTATGGATGGAGTTAATCATTTTGGAAGCACCAGTAAAATATTAAGGCTGGAATGTCTGACTTCCTGCTTGCTGGACTGTAATTGAAAGTTGCTAATAAGAACTGAAAAGTAAACTCTGATCAGAACTGTGACAATGGTTCTTTCAAGTTAAGAGAAATGTTTGCAATATTCCTTATTATAAGAGGAATGGAAGGATGTATGGATGGAGCTAATCATTTTGGAACCACCAGTAAAATATTAAGGCCTGCCATGACTAACTACCTACTTGCTGGACTGTGATTAAAAGTTGCTAATAAGAACTGAAAATTAAACATTTATAAGAACTGTGACAATGGTTCTTTCAAATTAAGGAAATGTTTGCAACATTCCTTATGATAAGAGGAATGGAAGGATGTATGGATGGAGCTAATAATTTTGGAAGCACCAGTGAAATATTAAGGTCTGCAATAACTAACTTGCTGGACTGTAATTAAAAGATGCTAATAAGAACTAAAAATTAAACTCTGATAAGAACTGTGACAATGGTTCTTTCAAGTTAATGTTTGCAACATTCCTTATGTTAAGAAGGAAGTCAACACAAGCCTTGCGTTTGTCAACACCAATCAAGAAGAGTCAACATCTGGCCAGGAAACTGAGATGGAGCCAGCATGGAAGACGTCTATCATTCATTTTCAGTTTTGGGACGACATCAGCAGAATATTCCTATAAAAGACTCGATCTAATAATGCTCAAAGTGTGGCAGACCTGAGGAGTCTGGTTCACCCGCCATGCTCTGCTCCACGGGAAGGAGAGAGACGGTGTATTTGGAGAGTGGCAGATTCACGAGTTATTCATAACAAAGGGACCAGGCAGTCTTATTGGGACACGAGTGGAACAGGAGCTGAGGCAGCAAAAAAGGCCAATGCCATTCTAGGCTGCTTCGAGGAGCCTTGGATCTTGTCTGGGCATTCTACTTAGGTCAGGGTTCACGTGGAATCGCCCTGTGTCCAGTTCTCGGTCAGGGAAGCCAAGAAGAAGGCGGACAAGAGGGGAGGGGCCCAGGGGAGGTCTTGGAAGGCCCGGAAGCCAAGACGGCATCTGAGGAGGGGCCGGCAGATCGGAGAATAATGGGACTGTAGAAGGGACTGTTAGTAGGAGAGCCAGGCTGAACTCTTGCCAAGGAAGAGGAAGAAAGAGGCAGCAAGGCTTGTTTCCTGCACTGGGTTCAAACTGCAGGAGAGAAGGCTCCCAACTCCTCCCTGAGAGAGGAATCCCTGGCTGAATGAGGTTTCTAAGCAGAGGCCAGATGGTCGTCTGTCAGGAGGGCTTTGAGATGATGCTCCTGGCTTGCAGGAGGAGGTTGACCTGGCCCTTGGGTCTCTCCCACCACTACCACCACCACCACCTTGATTCTGTGAGCGGTCCCCCTTCTATCTCAGTCAGGGAAGGGAATTGCCACAGTGGGAGGCTGTGCCCGCCAACTCCCCGGCCTAATGGTTCTTTGGAGGGGGGGGGGGGAGGCCTGGGACCCAAAGAGTGGGGCAGGGGAGGAAGCGGGCAGGTGAGGGGGGGGGAACACACCTCGCTGATGAATCCCAGCTGGACCAATTCGGCTGCAAGCTCCTGGATGTTGTCACCTGGGGGGCAGAAGGGAGCAATGAGTGCCTGGCCCCAAAGTGTTGGGGGGGGAGGGGAGGGAAGGGAAATGGGGGGGGGCACTCACTGGGAAGCAGGTCGCAGCTCAGGTGCCGGTTCAGTTTGTCTTCCAGTTTCAGCAGCAAAGTCAACTGCGGAAGGGGAGAGAAGGAAGTGGGGCCCTTGAGGACCTTCATTTCGGAGGCTGGAGGAGACCCCCCAAAAAAAACCCCAAACACCCCCCTATCCCATGTAGACATACGTGATGCTTGACGCCCTCCTCCACCGGCTCAATGTTGCACTGCATCAGGACCACCTGACGGGAGAGAGAAGCAGAGTGAGGTCGAGGAGCAGCGGCAGGAGGAGGAGGAGAAGTGGGGGCTTCTGGAGGGTCTGCCTTCAGACCGGCAGATTTCAGGATTGGGGGGGGGGCTCACTTTGCGTGTCTCCACTTCAGCTGGCTCAGGCGTGGGGGTCTTGACGGAGGGGGGCGCAATGGGGGACTTCACCTCTTCCTGCTGCGGCTGCTGAGGGCGGGGGAGGCCAAAGGCTGTCAAGGGGTAGATGCCATTCCTGCAATTTGGGGGGGGGAGGGGGAGAAGGAGGAGAATCAGGGCCGGTGCCCCACGGCCTTTGCAGAGAGGAAAGTGGGGGCAAAGGGGTCTTGGCCCCTCGCTCTTACCGCACGTCTTCCAGGAACTTGTCCAGCTCCAGAGCCGGGGACTGGGAGAAACTGGGAGGAGAGGAGGAGAAAGCAAAGGACCCGGTCAGCAGGGAACAAACACACCCCCCCCCCCCCACAAAGGGGGTGCTAACCAACCTCCCCCCCCCCCCCGCATCTATCCAGGGGCCTCACATCATGCGGACGCCCTCGCGGTCTGCGTGGTGGATCTCGGCCAGGACGGCGCTCATGTCCAGGTTCTTGGTCCTCTCCTCCAGCGCGTTCTCCGGGATCATGTCTGCCAGGAGAAGGGGAGCCGGGGTCACGCTGGGGGCCCTTTCCCTCCCTGTGGGGCCCCCGAATGGGAGGGAGGAAGAGAGGGAGGGAGGGGCCCCTGCCTTGGGCACGGGTCCCTCTTGCAGGGAGGATGGGGCCCTAAGGGAAATCAAGCGTAAGAGGAGCCGGAGCCCTCGGCACGAAGGAGGCAGGAGCAGGGAGGCACGGCCAAAGCGAGGGGGTGGGCCGAGGCCTCTCCTCCTTGACCCTCAGGGAGGACCCACTGCCTCCGTTTCCCCCTCGGTGCCAAAGAGGCTGCTGCTGACCGAGAGTGAACATTGGGCTGGATCCGCTTGCTGCTCCCCTCAAGAGGCAATGGGCGTAGGGGCTGGAGAGGGGCCCCCAAGCAGCCTCCCCCATTCCCCCACGTACGCTGATGCCCCACGATGCAGTGGGAGGCCAGGAGCTTGAGGGAGGGCACTTCGAAGAGGGCCTGGTGGAAGAGCAGCTCCCGGGCCGTGGGCCTCCGGCTGGGCTGGGGCTCCAGGCACTTCTGGATGAACTCCTGGAGGGAGAGAAAGAGGGAAGGATGGGAAGGGTGGGCAGGCACCTCCCAGGAGGACGAGGAGAAGGAGGAGGTGTCTCTGATGGGTGGGAACCCTTGGGGTGCCTCCCCCCCCCCACACCACCACCACCACCACCCCGTTAACTGGGCAGCGGGTGTTCCCCATCGTGGTCCCTGTGAATCGCACATACGGTATTTCCTGCGCCTGCGCAGACAGTTTGGAATCTTCTAGAAAACTTATTAGACACTTTTAGGCGGTAGCCCCGCCCACTCTCCCCTCGAAAGTATATATAGCCAGTGGGAGGGGCTACTGCCTCAGTTCCTTTCATCCGCCGCCATTGCACCAGCTAGGAATCTTTCTCTCATTTTTCTTCATCTTTGACTAGCATTTCTGGACTGCGTGAATTTTTACTATTTTATTTTTGTTTTACTTTAATTTTAAGTTCTGCAGCCAGACCCATCCCTAGGCAATATGTTCTTAACCTTCACCCCCAAAACCAGGGGTCCTCAAACTAAGGCCCGTGGGCCAGATACGGCCCTCCAAGGTCCTTTACCTGGCCTTCACTCGGTCAACCTAAGTCTGAAACGACTTGAAAGCACACAACGAAAACAACAACAATCCTATCTAGGATGTTAAGATCTTCTGGAGAGGCCCTGCTCTCACTCCTGCATTCTTTGCGGGGACGAGAGACAGGGCCTTCTCAGCGGTGGCCCCTCGACTGTGGAACGCCCTGCCTAGAAATATAAGATTGGCTCCCTCCCTCCCGATTTTTCAAAAAAGGGTGAAAACCTGGCTTTTTGAGCAGGCCTTCCCAAATACGGCACAGCTAAATGGAATTATGGAACTACTTGATAACGCAACGGAATAACGGTTTGACATGGAGACGCTCACAATAATGTTTTCAGGCTTTGTACAGTTTTTACATTTTTTATATACTATTGTTTTTAACATAATTTCTTGATTGTTTTTACTTGTTATAATTGTTGAGGCATCGACTTGTTGCCCATTTGTGAACCGCTTCGAATCGCTTCTGGGTTGAGAGGGACGGTATATAAATATAGTAAAAAATAATAAATAATATCTCATCAGCCAAAAGCAGTCCCACACTTCCCACTGAAATACTAATAAGTTTATATTTATTAAAAATAAATATGTTCATTTTAATTGTTGTATTCTTTCAAGACATGTGCAGTGTGCATAGGAATTCATTCATGTTTTTTTCCAAATTATAATCCAGCCTTCCAACAGTTTTGGGGACTGTGGCCCTCTGTTTAAAAGGTTTGAGGACCCCTGCCCAAAACACTCTTGGCTTCCGGAGGTGCAACTGGGACGAGGGTCTGCAGGGTCTTCCTTACCCGTTGCAGGGGGTCCTCCAGGAGCTGGATGGCGCTGTGGATGGCCTCCTGGGGCACGTACGAGGACTCCCCGTTGCCCTGGATCTCCAGCACCGCCATCTGCACAGGGAGCAGGGGGTCAGCGGGGCGGACCTCCACAGACACCTCCCCACAGCCGGGCCCCACTCCTTCATTGGGGCCAACGTCAGCAGCATCCCCACCATCCCCAGGAGATGGGGGTCTCTCTCTTTCTCCCCCTTCTTCCCCTTCCTCAGGTTCTACCAGACTGCCCCAGCCCCAACAGGGCAGCTCTTCGAGACTCCCGGGAAAGGGAACGAGGCCCATGCCACTTCACCCCAAATGCGGGAAATGAGGGCAGGGGGAAAGAGAGGCGCCTCACCTCCAGCGCACACATCCCAAAGGAGTAGATGTCCACCGCGGTGGTGACATGCGCAACCTCTGTGGAGAAGAAGAGAGGCCATCGTCAGGGTGGAAACGGCTCTCAACAGCAATCAGAAGGGAGCATGTTGAAGCTGTTTGCCATTTATAATGTAGATTTCAAAGTATGTCAGGGGTGATTTGAATGCAATATTCCTGCTTCTTGGCAGAATGGGGTTGGACTGGATGGCCCATGAGGTCTCTTCCAACTCTTTGATTCTATGACTCTATGACTCTATGTATGCATGTATGTTTAAAATGCAGTAGCTATGTGCCGAGTGTAATGCATTCCTGTGTGGAAAGAGTTAACTGAACCATGGAGGGAACAGCATTCCTAGAGAGGTCATAAATCAAGTGTGTAGAACAAATGGAAGCAGCGTCATACGTCGTATGTCTCTCTGGAATGCAGGAGGTGTGGACTAGTGCTGGTAACAGTTGAAGATGTTACAATTGGACAGTAAAGAAGCATGTTTACGATGTGCTGAGTATTAAGTAGATTCTAATGCATATAGCTGTAAAAATAAAGTAGTTTATAGCTTAGGTGGCTGTGATTGATCTGTTCCTGCCTTGCTGTGCTGCCAATGTCATTGACAGAGCAATGGGGGGGGGGGTGTTTCAACACAGGAAGCCCCCCCTCCCCCACCCCCAGCCCCACCCCACATTGCAGGTCTCAGATCTGGCCCTACCTCCGTATTCCGGGGCAAAGAAGTGCAGGTTCTTCTGCTCCTCGCGACAGGTCTTCACGTGGTTGTTGATGGTGTCTGGAGCCACTACAGAGAAGGGGGAAAGGGAGGTGCGTGAGGGGCCCCCGTCCTGCCCCTCTTCCTCTGCCCAAAAGGAAAGGGAACCAAGGCCGGGGGGGGGCGTCCCTGCAGAACCCCACGCAGCCCCAAAAGCCCCGGCCTGAGACAAGAGGCAGAGCAGGGAAGGGGGAGAGAGAGGGAAGAGGGCTGAAGGAAGAGGAGGGGAGGGCCAGGAGGAGACCCGGCCCCTCCTGGGAGAGCAAAGGCAGCCAGAGAACACGGCAAGCGCAGCACCATGCACACGCACTGGAGGCGGGCAAAGCAGGAGCCCAGAAGGGGAGCCCAGGGGAGGCGGCTCTCTTGCCCAGCCTCTCTCAGACATGGCAATCCCCCACCCCCATTAATACACCTACGAGCCCCTGAGTCCCCCACCAAAACAGGAGGCGAGTAGAGGGGACGTGGCAAGCTCCCTTGAACGCACGCAGAACAAGGCCACACCAGGCAGGAACAGCCAGGCCTAAGGAGCAGGAGGTCAGCAAGTCAGGAAGGAGACCCCAAGGGGCATTCTCCCCACCCCCAGCTTCGGTCACAGAGGGAGAGAGACCACCCAAGCCCCCTGGACTGCTGCCAGGGGACAAGCGGGGCAATTCCGGCCATGTCTGATTCCATCACAAGCTGGCTTCAGGAAAAAATGTTGAACCTGACTCAGCACATAGAAGATGGTCTTGAAAGCCGGTCAGAAGTCAAGATCAAGTCCATCGACTGGTTTTTCAGAGATGACCACTCACGAGACCGCTCTACATGTCTCCTTATTACACCGGAAGACAGACTATTAGTGCAGGAGCTGCTCTCCCTTGGGCCCTGAGTAAAGCCCCGGGGCATCACTTTCAGAAGGCTCCTGGTGGATCCCCTAGTCCGCCCTCTGGCCACCGGGCTGAAACCGCATTTGCAGGACCCAATCAGTCCCAAAAATAGGACAGAAAGCCCACTTGTCAGGGCCCCTCCTTCCGAATTCCATGCACCAGGAACACCCAAGGGTCACTCTGCCCTGATCCTCCTGCGGCCCCAAAGAGAGGATGACCGGGGGCAGTTGCTAATGCCGATCCTGACCCACAGCTGCAGCCCCTCCCCTCCTGCTCCTCCACCAGAGAACACAGAAGAACCAGCGGGGAGAGATGGGACCAAGAAGGCTGCCAGTTAGGATCACAGAGCTGGAGGGTGTTGAGCCGTGTTTGGTGTATTGGGAGATTTCAAAGTGTGTTTGTAAAGCTGCCTAGCACGGGTAGAGTTAACAGACCAGAGAGGTTTAAGTTATCCTAGAAGGACAGCATGAAATGTTCTCCTGCTTCCTCTGATGAGACCAGACTCTAATCATCAGAATGGAATGTGAGAAGCGTGCCTTCACTGATAAGAGAAAACTACAATCGCCATTTTCCCCGAGATGTCTTTGCCTGAGTGCAGACGGGCTTGCTTTGTGCTGTGTTGCTTTCTGTAAATAGAATGTAAATAAACTAATTACTTTATGGCTGCAATCCGTCCAACTTTTATTACCACTGCGACAGAGGAGACCAATCCTGGCCCCTTCTGCCAGGCAGGAAGGCACCACCAGCCAAGCCCTCCCAACAGACGGCCATCCTGCCTCTGCTCAAGGCCTCACAGGAGGAAGGAGGCTCCACCGAACTCCCAGGCAGCAGCAGCAGCATTGGGTCGTTGTAGGTTTTTCCGCCATGTTCTAGAGGCATTTTCTCCTGACGTTTCGCCTGCATCTATGGCAAGCATCCTCAGAGGTAGTGAGCAGCAGCATTCTCCACTGCCCGGCGGTTTGGGTGATCAGGAAGGCCTTCCTCACGTTTAAGAGGAATCTCTTTCCCTCCACGGCTCCGTTGTGTCCCAGACTCTGGAGCTGAAGTAAACAAGCTTGGCCTCTTCTCTCAGGTGACGTCCTTTCTAACATTTAGACGTGGCTCTGATGCACTTTTCTCTTGGACTCTTCTGAGACTGGCTCCTGAGAAGAGGAGGAAGAGCCACAGCCCAGAAGGCGACATGCAGACCCGTTCGGCCTGCTTCTCCTCTCCCAGAGGGCCAAAGAGAGTCTACCTGTTCACACAAGCTCTTTCCTTCCTTGGTAAGTGGAGTGCCATCAGGACAAAGAAAGAGAAAAACTTCAGGGTCTGCTTCTGTTGCAAGAGCCCATACAACCCTTTGTCACAATGGGACTGGTCACCAACATGGCCCCAGGAGGACTCGTGGCTGCAAACTTGATGATCCGGCCTTCTCACCCATCATCTAAGTCATGAATGAAGATCCTGAGCAGGACCAGGCCCAGGACGGAACCCTGCGAATGGCCCTCCGCTCGTCACTTCTTTCCAGGATGAAGAGGAGGAAGCCTTGGGAAGAATCACCCTCTGGGTTCGTCCATTTAACCAATTCCAGATCCACCTCACCATAGTTTTGCCTCACCCACCTTGGACTAGTTTCCTTGCCAGAAGGTCATGGGGGACCTTGTCAAAGAAGGCCTTCCTGAAATCCAGGTACACCACATCCACGGCATCATTCCCCGCATCTACCCAGCTTGTAGCTCTATTGAAGAAAGAGATCAGATTAGTCTGGCATGACTTGTTTTTGGTAAATCCATGTTGACTATTAGCGATGACCGCATTTGTTTCTAAGTGTTTGCAGACCACTTCCTTAACAATCTTTTCCAGAATCTTGCCTGGTATCGACATGAGGCTGACCGGACATTGGTCATTGTTTGGGTCATCCTTTTTTCCCTTCTTGAAGATTGGGACCACAGTGGCCCTCCTCCAATCTACTGGAACTTCTCCCGTTCTCCAAGAACTCTCCAAGATGATTGCCAATGCTAGTTCCTTCAATACTCTTGGGTGTTGTTGATCTGGCCCTGAAAGGGGACTGGAACTCATTTAGAGCGGCCAGGTATTCCTGGACGACTTGTTTCCCAATTTGGGGTTGGATGTCCTCTAATCCCTCATCCACTCCATCTTGCTGAGGTTGAAGATGACTTTCTTTTTGTGAGAAGACCGAGGCAAAGAAGGCATTAAGTAGTTCTGCCTTTTCCCTATCATCCCCTGTCCGCATTGCCCCATCTTCTCCTCGAAGAGGCCCTATCGCCTCCTTGTTTTTCCTTTTTCTACTGACATAAGAAAAGAAGCCCTTTTTATTGTTTTTAATGTCCCTGGCAAGCCTGAGCTCGTTTTGTGCTTTAGCCTTGCGGACCTTTTCCCTACAGGTGTTGGCTATTTGTTTGAATTCTTCTTTGGTGATTTCTCCCTTTTCCACTTCTTGTGCATGTCTCTTTTGTGTCTTAGCACAGTTAGAAGTTCTTTGGACATCCATTCTGGCTTCTTTGCACTTACCCTATTTTTTTCCCTCTTTGTTGGCACTGTTTGCAATTGCGTCTTGAGTATTTCACTCTTGAAAAACTCCCATCCATACGTAACTCCCTTGTTTTTTAGTATCGGCATCCATGGAATCTTCTTCTCAAAGAGGCCCTACCCTTGTTCTTCCTTTTTCTACTGGCAGAAGAAAAGAAGCCCTTTTTATTGTTATTAATGTCCCTGGCAAGCCTTGAGGGGCTCCTTCCACCCATCACTGTGTGGAGACACAGAGACAAACCTGCAGTCTTCTGGAAGCAGGCTGTGAACCAAGGGTCTGCTTTGAGGGGATCCTAGCTGTTCCTCCTTCTCCTCCGGCAAAAGCAGAGCTCCCCCTCAAGTGCCCATGGACCGATCTGCCCTCCACTCTCTCCTTGGGGTTTCCAACATGAAATCAAGGCAGCACACATATGAGCCTCCATGCGCTTCTGTGTGCTAGTCACAGCACATGCCACATTAGGGAGAAGTCCTCCTCCAGCGGCAAATATTTCTCCAATTACTGCTTCCATTGTGGTTCTTCACAAGACATGCAGAGCTTGGAGGAGATTCCCCCTGGGATACCGGATATGGCTCTTGTCCACACTTCTCCGGCAAGCAGAGCATTCCCTGCAGATGCCGCGGCTGCTCCTCAGAGGGATTCCTGACTTGGCTCCTCTGGGCCGCCCTCCTCTGGATTCCTTCCCTCTTCTTCTCCTTCCTGCTCGGCCTCTGCTCTTCCTGGGATTCTTCTGCATCCCGCTCTGTCCCTGGAGGGAGGGTGCAGCCCCCAGACCCCATCCCTCCATCCACATCAGCCGGGGGACCCCCTCAGGCGCCACCCCCAAAGCCCGTCCCTTGCAGCTAGCAGGGGAACAAGCCCCGCACCTGGTCCTTGCATGCAGCCCCTTCCGCCGAAGCTGCTCCTCCACCTGCGGTTACCTTCCTCGGCCTCTCCTTCGCTGCCGCTGCTGCCGCCGCCACCGCTGCCTCTCCGCTGGGCCCCGGTCTGGTCCGCCGTCCATCTGTGCCCCGCCCCCGAGAAGAACGCCTTGGCCAGGGGCTCCAGAGCCCTCCTGCCTGGCCAAAGCGAAGGCACTCTTTAGTCCACAAGACCAAACCATGGCGGACAGGGAGGCAGGCCGGCACTCCCTCCGGCTTGGGGTCCAGGTCCCAACACCCAGAGCTGGGCGTCTCCTCAAAGCCGTCAAAGCAGAGGCATCGGGCAACCAGCTAAGGAAGGCAGATGCCCTGAGAGCAGAGGCAGCAGCAGCAGCATCGGCCTAGGAATTAGGTGCCTGCCTTTTGGTCCAGCCAGACATCCTTTGCTCTTTGGTGCAAGGGGGGCAACACTAAGCGCGCAGCCAAAGCAGCAGCAGCAGGAGGAAGAGGAGCCAAGGCTCAGCCCCTTCCCCTGAAAGCCCCAACACACACGCACCACACTGGAGCCTCCACAGCAGACACAAGCAAGAAGCAAGCGGAGCCCAGGCCGAGGGGAAGAGCAAGGAGAGAGGCCTTGGCAGTAGTAGCAGCAACAACAACAACGACTAAGAGCAGCCATTGAGGCCGCGTGCGGGAGGCTCCCCCATGCAGCAGCAGCAGCAGCAGGACAAAGGCAGAGCCCCTCCTCACCCACCCCTCAATGGATAATCTACAAAGATGGGGGGGGGGCAGGCCCACCAGCCTCACAAGCAAGAGGGGAACACCTTCTACACGCCTTCAGGACATATATATATGTGTGTGTAGCTATCACACATGTATTTCATCTGAAAGTCACACCACAGAACAGAGGCACAGGCTCACCATTAGCAAAGATCCTGTGGAAGACTGTCGCCAAGAGAGAGGGAGGCAGAGAAAGAGAGAGAGAGAGAGAGAGGCACCCCATAAGTGGGAGAGCAAGCCAGGCAGGGGCGAGGGTGGGGCAGCAGGGTGGGGCCTTGGCTCTCCAGGGAAGGAAGGAAGGGAGGAAGGGGCCACCCCTCGGGTCATTGGTCTGGCAAATCCAGTGGGGCCCCCACTTCCCTGGGGACAGAGCCCACCGCTGCCCAGGTGGGTCCTGCCCCTCAGGGACCCTGGTGCCCCGTCCCCTCAGGTGCCTTGGACTGCTGACCTGAAGAAGCCTCTTGGGAGGAAGACAAAGAAGAGAAAGGAGAGCAAGGTGAGGCTGTGGGTTTGTCTCTGTGCGAGGGACCCTCCCCACTGGATGGAATCAGAGCTGGATGAGGCCACAAAGGCTATCCAGCCCATCCTCTGCTTTGGCTTCCAGGGGAACACACAGCCATCCTATTCCCCCCACCCACATTGCTTGCCCACCTGCCCCAATGGGACCCAGAGAGGGAGACTCAGGAGGAGGAGGGCCAATTCACCCCCGAGGGCCCAATCACGGAGGACCTGATCAAAGCAGGACCCTTAGAGGCAAGTGACCATGTGCTCCTGCAGTTTGCAATATGAAGAATGGCTGAAACGAAGACAAGTCAAACCCACATTCTGGACTTCCGAAAAATGAAGGAAATACTGAGTAGGATTCCGTGGACGCCGATACTAAAAGACAAGGGAGTTACGGATGGATGGGAGTTTTTCAAGAGTGAAATACTCAAGGTGCAATTGCATATAGTGCCAACAAAGAGAAAAAAGTGCAAAGGAGCCAGAATGGATGTCCAAAGATCTTCTAACTGTGGTAAGATTCAAAAGTGACATGCACAAGAAGTGGAAAAAGGGAGAAATCACCAAAGAAGAATACAAACAAATAGCCAACACCTGTAGGGAAAAGGTCCGCAAGGCTAAAGCACAAAACGAGCTCAGGCTTGCCAGGGACATTAAAAACAATAAAAAGGGCTTCTTTTCTTATGTCAGTAGAAAAAGGAAAAACAAGGAGGCGATAGGGCCTCTTCGAGGAGAAGATGGGGCAATGCTGACAGGGGATGATAGGGAAAAGGCAGAACTACTAAATACCTTCTTTGCCTCGGTCTTCTCACAAAAAGAAAGTCATCTTCAACCTCAGCAAGATGGAGTGGATGAGGGATTAGAGGACATCCAACCCCAAATTGGGAAAGAAGTCGTCCAGGAATACCTGGCCGCTCTTAATGAGTTCAAGTCCCCAGGGCCAGATCAACTCCACCCCAGAGTATTGAAGGAACTAGCGGAAGTCATTTCGGAACCATTGGCAACCATCTTTGAGAGTTCTTGGAGAACGGGAGAAGTTCCAGCAGATTGGAGGAGGGCCAATGTGGTCCCAATCTTCAAGAAGGGAAAAAAGGATGACCCAAACAATTACCATGTCCGGTCAGCCTCACGTCGATACCAGGCAAGATTCTGGAAAAGATTGTTAAGGAAGCGGTCTGCAAACACTTAGAAACAAATGCGGTCATCGCTAATAGTCAACATGGATTTATCAAAAACAAGTCATGCCAGACTAATCTGATCTCTTTCTTCGATAGAGTTACAAGCTGGGTAGATGCGGGGAATGATGCTGTGGGTGGAGTGTGGTCTGGATTTCAGGAAGGCCTTCTTCGACAAGGTCCCCCATGACCTTCTGGCAAGGAAACTAGTCCAAGGTGGGCGAGGCAAAACTACGGTGAGGTGGATCTGGAATTGGTTAAATGGACGAACCCAGAGGGTGATTCTCCCCAAGGCTTCCTCTTCATCTTGGAAAGAAGTGACAAGTGGAGTGCCATCCGCAGGGTTCCGTCCTGGGCCCGGTCCTGTTCAACATCTTTATTAATGACTTAGATGAAGGGCTAGAAGGCAGGATCATCAAGTTTGCAGATGACACCAAATTGGGAGGGATAGCCAAGACTCCAGAGGACAGGAGCAGGATTCAAAATGATCTTGACAGATTAGAGAGATGATGGGCCAAAACTAACAAAATGAAGTTCAACAGGGACAAATGCAAGAGACTCCACTTAGGCAGGAAGAATGAAATGCAAAGAGACAGACTGGGGGATGATACCTGGCTCGAGAGCAGGACATGTGAAAAAGGTCTTGGAGTCCTCGTGGGGAAGAAGAGGAACATGAACCAACCATGTGATGTGGCGGCAAAAAAAGCCACTGGGATTTTGCCTGCATCAAGAGGAGCCTCCAGGGAAGTTATGCTCCCGATGCTTATTCCGCTTTGGACAGACCATGTTTCCTGGAATCCCACTGTGTCCAATTCTGGAACACCACAACTGAAGGGAGATGTTGACTCCAAGCTGGAATGTGTCCAGAGGAGGGAGACTCGAAGGACCCAGAGTCTGGAGAACAAGCCCCATGAGGAAAGGCTTAGCGAGCTGGGCCTGTTTAGCCTTCAGAAGAGAAGGTGGAGACAAGACATGATGAGGGCCAGGTATACATACGTGAGGGGAAGTCCTAGGGAGGAGGGAGGAGGCTTCCTTTCAGCTGCCCTGGAGACCAGGGTGCAAGGGAACCATGGCTTCAAACTACAGGAAAGGAAGGACCTTCCACCTGAACATGAGGAAGAACTTCCTGACTGTGAGAGCTGTTCAGCAGTGGAACTCTCTCTCTGTCGGGGATGCTTTGAATGTGATTTTCCTCCTTCTTGGCAGATTGGGCTGGGTGGCCCACGAGGTCTCTTCCAACTCTAGGACTCTAGGATTCCAGACACTGTTCCCAGAGATGTTTGGCTTGGAGAAGAGAAGGCTGAGGGAAGGGCACATGTGGGCCAGGTTTCAGTATTGGAGAGAAGACCTCGTTGTTTCCTGCTGCCCTGGAGACAAGGACTCAATGGAGCCACGGCTTCAAATAACAGAGAATAACACCTAGACATTATGAAGAACTCCCTGACTATGAGAAGAGCTGTTCAATAGTGGAACTCTCTGCCTTGGAGTCTGGACATCTTTAAGCACCTTTTTTTCTGGACATCTTAAAGCAGAGGCTGGATGGTCATCTCTTAAGAGGGTTTTGGCTGTTAAGGGGCTTGGGCTGGATGGCCCTTTTCCAACTCTAGGCTTCTATGATGGCCTGAGCTCTGCACCGGATGCTCTGGACCTGGGCCTGTGTGTCCTCCGGCAGCACAGGAGCCCAAGGCAGGCTGTGGGGCTGGCCATCTCTCTGGGAGCTCCTCTGAAACTGGCCACAAAGGAGGCTTCCCTTCCTCCCTGATGTGGCTGCAGAAGAGGCTCTGGCTCTGCATCCGCTCCTTCCGTGCTTTCTCTCCAGATCCATGGGGTGTCTGTCCCTTCATCCATTGAGGGGACTGTGGCCTCCCAGCGACTACAGATCATATCATCCTCTATCGCGGCCACAACCTGAGGCTGATGGGACTCGGGAAGATGCCCAGGGGCCCACTGCGCTTGACCCAAATCCCATTCCCAGAGAAAGACTTTGCTCCAAAGCAAATCATAACACGTTCTTTAAAGAGAGAGCTGTAAACATCAACAAGTAAAGGCACCGGGTTGTTGTCGGGTTTTTTAAGGCTAAATGGTGATGGTCTAGAGGCATTCTCTCCTGACGTTTCACCTGCATCTATGGCAAGCATCCTCAGAGGTAGTGAGGTCTGTTGGAACTAGGGAAAAGGGTTTATATATCTGTGGAATGATGATCAGGGTGGGACAAAGGACTCTTGTCTGCTGGAGCTAGGTGTGAATGTTTCAACTGACCACCTTGATTAGCATATAATGGCCTGACAGTGCCTAGAGCAAACTTTTGTTGAGATGTGATTAGATGTCCTTGTTTGTTTCCTCTCTGCTGTTTTGCTGTTGTAATTTTAGCGTTTTTTAAATACTGGTAGCCAGATTTTGTTCATTTTCATGGTTTCTTCCTTTCTGTTGAAATTGTCCACCTGCTTGTGGATTTCAATGGCTTCTCTGTGTAGTCTAATATGGTGGTTGTGAAAGTGGTCCAGCATTTCTGTGTTCCCAAATAATCTGCTGTGTCCAGGCTGGTTCCTCAGGTGCTCTGCTATGGCTAACTTCTCTGGTTGAAGTAGTCTGCAGTGCCTTTTCATGTTCCTTGATTCGTGTTTGGGCAATGCTGCTGCGTTTGGGGGTCCCTATGGAGGCTTCTTGTCCACAGCTGCATGGTACATGGTTGACTCCTGCAGAGGTGAGAGGATCCCTCTTGTCCTTTGCTGAAAGAAGCATTTGCTGGATTTTCTTGGTGGGTCTGGAGATAAGTTTGTAGGTTGTGTTTCCTCATCCGCTTCCCTGTGCGGTCAGTGGTTCCCTTGATGTCTGGCAAGAACCCTTTCCCTCTGGGTGGGTCTTGGTCTTGACTCTCGTGGCTTCTTCTCGGTGGTCTTGCAGCCCTTCTGACGTCTGAGGTGGAGTCTCCATTGGCCTGGAGAGCCCAGTTGAGGGGGTTCCATTCCTCTTGGAGGAGGTGGGCTTTGCAGATTCTTTTTGCATGGTCTGCCAAGGCTTTAATGGGGCTTCTTTTTTGACTTGGGAGATGGTTGGAGATGGTTGGCCCAGTGATTCCGGCCATGAAAGCCTTAAACAATACAAGTAAAGGCACCCCTTGGCTCTGGGATGCGATGCCTCTATACTGTGTTAACAAAGGGGTGAGCCTCTTTCGTGGGAACGGCACAGGATAACAGGAGGGAAGGCCAGGCGTTGACCGGTTTGAGACGAAACGATGAGTTGGAATTGAGAAGAAAAGGCATTGCTCATTGAGAACAGACTTCCTGGGATGGCAGATGACCCTCCGCCATTGGATGCCTTGAGAGAGAGGCCGGCTTGGCGCCTGTTTTTGGAGACCCCCGCCTGGCAGGAGGGGTCTGAGGGAAATGGTTGCCCTGGGGCCCCTCCCCTGGGCTCCTGGTCCACCCAAACCAGCATCTCTAGGAGAAAAAGTGTCCCGGTCCCCAGTCTCTGGGGCTCCTCGGCAGGAAGCTCCCGTAAGCGCAGCCCCCCCCCACCCTCAAATCGCATGGAAAAATGCAGAGTGGGAAAGGCAGCCGTGCAAGGACGGCGCAGACAAGAGCAACAAGCGACCCGCCTCTGCCACACTGGCCACACAGACACACTGCAAGAGGGTGGGAGGGGCACGCCAAGGGAGGCCTCCGCTCCCTAAAACACTTTGGAAGGCAATACACAGGAAACTCTTTCTCCCACCCAGAAACACCCCCCTCCAGCCCCTCTGCAAAGGCCAACAGCCAGACCCCGAGCAGGAAGCGGCCCAGGGCAGCCTGCCAGGAGGTTTCCAAAGGTCAGCAGCATCTGCTCCAGAGAGAGCGGCCAGGAGGAATCACTCCGGGTCCTGGGACCCCCTTTCCACCTTCCTTCATTCCTTGCAAGATGGGCCAAGAAGGTGGGACGGCCGAAGGGGCCCCATGGGCTCAGGGCCTCTCCCAATCACTGGCCAGCTCCACACAGATCCATCTTACCTGAACCGATCTTGATGAGCCCGTTGTGCTGGATGAAGATGGTGTCACACGTCAAGTTGCCGTGGATGATGGGAGGGTCGCAGGAGTGAAGGTAACTGGGAAGACAACACAGGAAAATGGGCAAAGAGACACACAGGTGTGTATGGGGGGGGGGGGGATGCTACTGTCATGCCCAGCTTAATTTCTGGTGTTGTCATCTCTCTCATCTTTCCTTTTGTCTTAATCCTCTTTATCCTATAATTATCCTATAATGCTTTACCCACTTGGTGGTGTTGGAACTCAGCCTGTGATTGAACCCATTGAACTTGAACCTGTAAGTGTGTTTCAGTTTCCTGATGTGTCTGATGTGGGTAATGAGGAAGGAAGTCAGTCTCCTGTTGCTTCTGATGTGGGGGATGCTGGGCCTGACTCTGAGGTGCAAAATGGAGACACTTTGGTCAATGAGTTTCATGCAGACACTGACAGAGAGGCTTTGGTGCAAAGGGCAGATTCTCATGAGAATGTTTCTGTCAGGCCTCGGGAGGAAGGGTTACTCCCTCTGCCTGTGAACTCTCCAGATTCTAGTTTGGAAAACAGTCTGGCACCTGGGAAAGTTAATGAGGAGTCAGATAAGCAGAGTCGGCGGCTGGAGATTAGCCAGAATCGACAAGAGGCCCAATGTTTATGTAGATCCGAAAGAATCTGACAATTAAAGTCAAAGTCTTGTGGAAAATGAAACCAGTTTTTGGGATTTAAAGTGTATCTGTAGAAAATCTTGTCAGATCAGGCATCATTTGGAAACTAAGTATAAGCCTCATGGAATTCCTGCTCGAGTGGTCTCGTCTTCCTGAGTTTTTCTAGCCTTTCCAGGTGACTAGCAGCGTCTGGTCTGTTCTTGCTTCTTGTTTGATTCCTGTCTAGATATCATTGCCTTGGATTATATTCTCATGCTTTTTGGACATTGCTTTTGATAGCTACGTTTTGGACACTGTTTTATCTGGCTGCCTTTGGATGCCTTATTGCTTTTTGGAATCTCATCTATCGTTACAAGCATTTATTTCTACTGGCTGTTTTGTTAAGCTTTAATAAAAAGGAATGTTCTTCCACTCAACGTGTGATGTGTTTATAGTCAGAGGGACTATTTCCTGTTCTGGAGTGCAACAGGTGGGTCTGCAATTCCTTAAGTCTCAATATGTTTAGTTATGCATTCAATTAAGTAGAAATTATAGAACTTTACCAGCTTTACAGATTTTGTTCAAGGCACAGATATCCAATGTATCTATCCCCAAATTACAGTACGTTCAGATTTACCCCTTGTCCCCCTTGGCCCAATTAATTATCTACCCAATTAATTATTGAACACAAGTCTTGGTAATTGTCACTTATGCAAGTTAATCAGGTAGTAAATCAATAAGTGTAAATAAGATACAACTCCTTTCATCAATTCATTTCCTTTCATTCCTTTCCTAGCAACATGTCCTTGATCCCTATCTGAACACAATTCCCTGGACCTCCTACCCCTCCACCCCAGACTTATTATTTTAAGCTTGATAAACTGTCATGGCAACAAACAAGGCACGGCAACAAGGAGGAGTCAAAATGCAGCAGCCGTGAAAGACCCTCAATGAAGAGCCTGCTCCCTGCTGAGACCAACTGTTCTAACTGTCATTCACCTCCAAGACAAGTCCACCCAGATGGCCCTGGGCCAAACAAGGCCCACAAAAGGGAACCCCCCCCCCCCACATTCTACAAAGAGAAGGGCCTGGGCGATATCCTCTGACTGGGCTCCTCTGGATGCCGTAATCCCATCTCCCACTGCCCCATTCCCCCCAATGCCGCAAACAAGGCCACCTACCTGAGGGCCGAAAGGATCTGGGTGCACCAGCGCTTCCAGGCCTGCAACACAACCCCAGAGACACCCCCACAAAGACTATAAGTACTTCATGTGAAGATTTGAAAAAGGACACCATGATATGGTGGGTTAACTGGAGAGACATGTATCAGCAGCTAATTGGCTGAGCATGCCAAGAGCCAGAGTTCTGATTGGCGGCTGCCTCTGACTACCTGCTGAGACCAACGGTTCTAACTATCATTCTGCCATTTCTCACTCTTTGGACAATGAAGAGAAAGCGCTGGCTGCCAGATATCAAAAAGACTGATTATTTTAAGGCATGAGACTTATTTTAAAGAGTATTTAAAAGGACTATTTTATTCCTCGGATCTCCGCCTGAATTTAAAGAGACCGATATATATATATTGTTACTCTGCTTGAACTCTTGAACTAAAGGAAAGTAAATGGCACAAGCCTGAGTGACATTTTGTTAGAGTTCAGCCTGTAATTGTGTTTCAGGATCAGGGTGCTTTGGACGTGGGGAATGATGTTAATGAGGTTCAAGATGAGTTTTGAGATGGCAATGATTTGGTGAGTGATATTGATGCGGAGAATGGCCAGGAAATCTCTGCAGTTTCCCATGAGAATGTCCCTGAGGGGTGTGGGGATGATGGTGCGCTTTCTGAATTGTTACCAGAGAGTTCTCATTAAAAAATTAATGAGCAAGTAGATAACGAGCCCAGAGATAGAAGAGATCAGTCAAAACAGGAGAGCTGAGCAATGGCTTTGGTGCTCTGCCAGGCTTTGACAGAAAACAATAACAAAGCCTCAAGTAAAGAGAAAACAATTTCTGACCGCCAGTGACCTAGCTAACGAGGGGATAAAAGTCTCAAGTTTGGGATGTGTAGTCAGATGAAGCATCATTTAGAATCACGCCAAGTTCTCGTCCTTGTTTTATGGAAATCCTGCTTTGAAATCTCAAGATATTTCTTGTTCATGGTTTTGGCTTCCTGGATTTAATGTTTGCTTACCCAAGCTTTGGATCAATGTATTCCTAATTTTCTGGATTGTATTAGAGATGTGTGGACTTTGCTTTTATGGACATTGCTGAACTCTACCTTGGACTAATTTGTTCCTGCTTATCTTCTTACCTAATTGGGTTTACCAATTTCTTTAAAGTGCTTTTTACTTTGCTGATTTTTACTTATCTTCAATAAAAGGATTGTTTTTTTCCTATTCAACGTGCGGTGTTTAAAGTCAGAGGATTATTCCTGTTCTGGAGTGCAATACATTTTATTATATTGCAGGATACTATGGTATAGCTTCTCCTTATTCTGCTTATACACATTTACCAACCCTCACACATTGGGACCCAGGTCCCTTTTTGCTGTGAGGAGCTTTCCTTGTGGGCCCAGGAGCCTACTGTTTCTCCTCAGGGTGTGTGTGTGTGTGTGGGGGGGGGGATGTCAGCTTCAGGGCCCCCCAGAAGAGAGGTCTGTCTGTGGAGAAAGAGGAGGAGGGGAGAGGGGGACTCGCCTTCTCGTTCATGGTCTTGTGGTTCTTCTTGGTCTTCTTCAGGAACTGCTTCAGGCTCCCTGAAGACATGTACTCTGTGATGAAGATCACCTGGCAGAACAAAAGAGAAGGAGGAAGGAGATGATGCAGCTGCCTGGCCACCCTTGCAGTGGGGAGGGGGAAGAAGGGGGTGGGGAGGGGGAGCACTTACCCTGGCTTTGTTCTCCTTCACGTCAGCCCAGTACTTGTGGAACTTCACAATGTTCAGGTGCTCCAGCTGGATCAGGTTGTCGAAGACGGCCTTCACTTTCTCCTGTGGAAAAGTAAGAGGGAGGAAGGGGAGGTGAGTGGACCCACATTGAAGAAAGGGGGCTGCATCACGGCCTCAGGCCAGCTCCCCCTCCCCAAAGCCCCCTCCCAAGGACACCCACCTCCTGCAGCTTGAAGTTCTTGCGTTCCGAGAACTGGACCTCGTTCCAGACCACTTCCACGCCTTCCTCCGTGTCCATGGCCAGGTAGGCGCTGTCGATGCCCGGAACATTGCGTTGATTCACCTGGATGGGGAAAGGGTCAGTCAGAAGTGAAGGCTGGGGAGCAGCCTGACCCCCATGCCCTCCTCTGTCCAGCCAGGTCCATGAAGGGAGCCAGGGCCAGATAGTGGGCCCTGTGCTGGTATCCAATTCTACCCAAAAGCAACCCAAGAAAGCACAAAAGGAAAGTGGGGGAGGCCAACTCAACAAAACACGGGCAACTGGACTGCAGCCCCCAACATTTAGCACCGCCCTCACTGAGTGAGGATGGTGGGCTCAGGCCCACATCGTCCAAGAAGCCAAAGGCCCAGCATCCCTGGCTCAATCAGTGCTTGGGTTTCCATTTTTACTTTAGCTGCTTTAGGATACTGAATTGTTCATTAGTACAAAAAAAAAAATCCAAAGAGCCATAACACTGTAGGAAAAACAAGAACCAATTTTAGCATTTCAACCAGGATTCTCAGTATAGAGCCTGAAGAGTGTGGTCAACAAAAGGCAGAAAGGGATACAATTCAAAGGTTTCTCACTGAACCAGCAACTCGCAGCTCACCAGGTTTGTGGAGCACAAAACTGAAAGGGTTCAAGCATTGTGTTGCAACCCAGAGCAGGAAACTGGACCCTAAGACAACCATCCACCACACTCGACTTCAGGAAAAAACAATACTTTTTATTGATGAAAGATGAGTACAAAAATAGAGGAAAATATGCAAGGTAAAATGCCACAGTAAAAATCAACAAGAAATGTCCATGAACAAGATCAAAAACCCACAGTAACCCTGCTAAATCCTGGAACCCGTTAGCAATCCACTAACCGTACATGAAGCACTAGAAAAACTCTTTGGAACAAAGCCACTTGAAGCAGGAGAACTGCAAGAATCTGCACATTAATCTGAAACGATGCCTGGACTGAATGAGCATCCAGGCCAAGCGTTTTAAAAGCATTGAAATCTATTTCGTGACGTGCCTGAAGGCCGTGTTTGCATTTCTCTTAATCTAGCTGACCTCTGTAAACTCTGCACTTTGCCTCTGCTTTGCCAAATCTGCCCCCGTCTATCCTCGTTAGAGGGACCAGGTGTCAGATTATCTGGAGAGCTAGAAGGGAGTAAAAGTTCACTGCTTGGCTCTGAATCATTCTCATGGGAATTTGGACTTTCGCTTTCCAAAGCAGCAGGATTTTCACTACACAAACCGTCATCTTCTACATTGACCTCAGAATCATTGACATCTTCATAGACATCAGGAAATACAATCAGAGAGTCAGGTACAGGTTCGCACACAGGCTGAACCCCAACACATTGCTAAAGTGAACCCTATTGACTCATTCCAATGACCAGCCTACCAGGAAGCGCATTTGGAAAGGTACCCTCCCCCCCTCCCCACTTCCAATTAAGGAAAAATCTTTAATGATCTTCAAGGAAGTCCGGGACTTGTTGACTCTTTTTTAACAGAAAAGGACTTGTTTACTCTTATTGAAGGCAAGCTGAAATTCAACCCCATTGTTGTTGCGAAAAAATAACAAACCTAGCTAGGGGAACATTATTAAAAGTAGAAGTTATATGGCACTATTTAAAGGGAGTGGAATACTAAAGGTACAAATCAACAGGCAATGAGTGTGATCACAGAATAGTTATTTGTGGTTGTTAGTGTAGGTTTGTGTTAAGATAGTGTGCTTATTTTAGGTTTAGTTTTATAAGACATCATAGTCCAAGTGTTATAGATTATTAGAATTTGCTTTCTTTGCAATGTTTTGGTTTTCTTTTTTGACTTCTGTTTGCTTCAGTAAAAGAAAAGCTGCCCCACTGCTCCTGATGAGCCTCTGTGGGCTTCCTCTGGTCCCCCAGGGGCCAACTAACCAGTGGGGAACCTTATAATAATAATAATAATAACTGTATTTATACCTTGCCACCATCTCCCCAAGGGACTCGGTGCGGCTTACATGAGGCCGAGCCCACAATACATCAATAATAAAAGCAATAAGAAACAAACAATACAAACAGTTAAAATAAATCTCATAAACAAAAAAATAAGCAATAAACATTAAAAACACAGTGGCTCTGCTCAGGCTGGCCTCGTGCCCCTGTTGGACAGACAGACAGACAGACAGACAGACAGGCACTGCATTTACTGAGGATATGTCATCCTTGGGCCCAGAAGGATGATCAGAAGGCTTCCTCAGTGCTGGGGCACCTCAGGACTCTCAGGTGGGGCTAACTGGGGAAATTGGAGGGGATAACGGGAGTGCACAAGATGTTTGAAAGCTGGGAGGGGGTTTCCACCAGAGACAAGTGGGGTTCAGCCCCTTGGAAGGAAAATGGTCCTAGGAAGGGCCTGGAGCAGAGGGGAAGGCAGTGAGGGGTCCAGCCTGGAATAATGAGGTCAAGTACGTGTGAAAAAGATCTTGGAGTCCTCATGGACAACAAGTTAAGCATGAGCCAACAATGTGATGTGGCGGCAAAAAAAGCCAATGGGATTTTGGCCTGCATCAATAGGAGCATAGTGTCTAGGTCCAGGGAAGTCATGCTCCCCATGCTCTATTCCGCTTTGGTTAGACTACACCTGGAATATTGTGTCCAATTCTGGGCACCACAATTCAAGAGAGATATTGACAAGCTGGAATGTGTCCAGAGGAGGGCGACTAAAATGATCAAGGGTCTGGAGAACAAGCCCTATGAGGAGTGGCTTAAGGAGCTGGGCTTGTTTAGCCTGAAGAAGAGAAGGCTGAGAGGGGATATGATAGCCATGTATAAATATGTGAGAGGAAGCCACAGGGAGGAGGGAGCAAGCTTGGAGACTAGGACGCGGGATGAGGGGAGATATGATAGCCATGTATAAATATGTGAGAGGAAGCCACAGGGAGGAGGAGGAGGGAGCAAGCTTGTTTTCTGCTTCCCTGGAGACTAGGACGCAATGGAACAATGGCTTCAAACTCCAAGAGAGGAGATTCCATCTGAACATGAGGAAGAACTTCCTGACTGTGAGAGCCGTTCAGCAGTGGAACTCTCTGCCCCAGAGGGAGTGTGGTGGAGGCTCCTTCTTTGGAAGCTTTTAACAGAGGCTGGATGGCCATCTGTCAGGGGTGATTTGAATGCAATATTCCTGCTTCTTGGCAGAATGGGGTTGGACTGGATGATGGCCCAGGAGGTCTCTTCCAACTCTAGGATTCTATGATTCTTTAAGTTCTGGGCAAAGCAATTCAATAGGGAGCTTTACAGCATCCAGAGTAGGGCCAAAGTTTGGAAATTGTGAATCCCTCTGAAAAGTAGCGTAGGGAGATGGAGATGTTTAACTTGGAGATGCTTAACAGAAGCAGACATGAGAGCCAGGCTTACATTACTGAGAGGATGAGGCAGAACTTCCCTTCACATTGGGAGGTCAGAAGGCTGGTCCTCGCAGAGGATAAAGGACGGGAGGAAGCCATTCAGCCAGCCTCCCACCTTCTCCCTGCCAAATATTGCCAAAGACCTGGGTGCTTTGAGAAGGCAGAGCAGCTCCCTGGCACAATGACTGAGAGCAATGGGGCTGCTGCTGACTCCTCCATCCCCTGGCTTTGGTGCCAGGTATTCTTCTGTTCCTGCCCCCCCCCCCCCAGTGCCAATTGGGCCTCCTCTCCTTGTCCTCCCCCCTGAGTGGGCCTTGTGCCCTGCTTCCAGGCTAGGGGAACCACCTTGGGCCCCTGGGGCGGGCCGCATTCCTCCCGGTGCCTCTCCCTCCCCTGGATGCCTGCCACTTCCTCGAGTGGCTCCATTCACCGTGAGTCACCCACGCCACGTCATTTGTTGTCAGGCTGCTGGTCCACCTGGCCAGGCCCTGCCGGAGGCTCTCTCTCCTGGGGGAGACGGAGGACGAGGGCACAGGGCCAAGGACCGTCATGGGTGGGAAGGGAGGAGGGCAAGAAGCACCAGGCAGGAAGAGAGCCGGCACAGCAAAAAGCAAAAGAGCAGGAGAAAGCAAACACCGTCCCCCCCCCCCCTCCGCCCCCAGGGATATGCTAACAGCCTTGGAAAGGGTTCAAGCCACCATGCAGAGTTGGAAATAAAGAAACAAGAAACCTGATCCAGCAAAGCTGCCTGCCCTTGTTGACATCCTGCTGCCACCCTTCCAAGCAGCATCCAAGGATTAATCCAAGGCCAATTCCAAGGATTAATCCAAGGCCGTTCAGCAGTGGAACTCTCTGCCCCGGAGTGTGGTGGAGGCTCCTTCTTTGGAAGCTTTTAAGCAGAGGCTGGGTGGCCATCAGTCAGGGGTGATTTGAATGCAATATTCCTGCTTCTTGGCAGAAAGGGGTTGGACTGGATGACGGCCCAGGAGGTCTCTTCCAACTCTAGGATTCTAGGATTCTATTCCACCAACTGCAAATACCAGCTAGGGCTGCTGGGAGCCACGGCACAACTGCCCCTGGGGATGGACAACATAAACAACCCCCCCCCTCCCCCCCCCACCTGGATGGCTGTCTGTCTGTCAGGCTCAAATGGTGCCTTCCTGTCTGGCCCCTGAGAGTCTATGCCAACTTTCTACCAGAGTTGGAAGGCCATCATACTCTATGAGATGGAAGAGACCTGGTGGGCCATCCACTCCAACCCCATTCTGCCAAGAAGCGGGAAAATTGCATTCAAAGCACTCCCAACAGATGGCTGTCCGAATGTGTTCTCCCCTATGAACCATCAAGAGTGCTAAAATCGTCTGGAGATGCCCTGCTCTCGGTCCCGCCTCCTTCGCAGGCCCATTTGGTGGGGACGAGAGACAGGGCCTTTTCTGTGGTGGCCCCTTGGCTATGGAACTCCCTCCCAAATGAAATTAGATCTGCCCCCTCCCTCCTGACCTTTAGGAAGCTAGTGAAAACCTGGCTGTGGAACAAAGCTTTTGCAGAATAATGTCTGAGACCGGCAATCGAACAAAGTTACTGACCACAATATATGGACAATATATGGACTGATTATACGGACTGAACTGCACACGGTTTTATCTTGGCGAACGACTTTTATGTAATTTGTATTGTCGAAGGCTTTCATGGCTGGAATCACTAG